GAGGAAAAATACAATCCTATGGAAATTTTTGTTCTAAAGTCAGATAGTCTTCAACACGTGGAAAATTCAATCTTTCTAAAAATTATAATTAATTTGTCCTTCCAGGATTCGAGTCAAGGTCAAAATCCAACAGAATTTGTAGTCAAACTATATGACGACTGGGTTGAAGGGAAACACGCTGGAAATGAGGAAGAACTCGACAAGTCATTTAAAACTGCCAATCCCGATTTCTCATCTGGGCAGACACCTCCACCAACAAAAAATTGGTTATTTATCAAAATGGAGCTGTGTCACTTAACTTTAGACGACTGGCTGAAAAGGGACAAAATTCAAGGCTATGCATCCACTTTTAACTTCCCCTCACCATCCCAACACCTTAAAATAATTCACCAATTACTCCAGGCTTTGTCCCTCATACATAACCATCCCCCTAAAGGAGTCGTCCATCGGGATATTAAGCCCGCAAATATCTTCCTCAACTGTTCTACTGCTGGGGATATCACCATGAAATTGGGGGATTTCGGGTTGGGTAGGGTGCTTCGGGAGGACAAAAGTCGTGTCAGCACAGTAGCCCTTGGAACTGCTAGATATAAAAGTCCCGAAATGTTGAAGGAAGATGGATACTATGACACTAAAACTGATGTCTTCTCCATGGGCTTGGTTTTCCTAGAAATTATCGTCAACTATGAAGGGGGTATTTATGGAGAGACGACTCCAAAAGAAGTCCAGAGAATCTTAAACAACTTGTTTTATCGGTTGCAAGTTGGAAAATTGTCAAATCTTGTGGATGAGTTCTCATCAGAGGTTCTTAATCTGGAAATTGAAATCGTCAATAGGATGACGGCCTTTGATAAAGATGAAAGATTTACAGCGGGAATAGCGCTGGGATATCTTGAAAATCTGGGTAATAAGTTAGAATTGTATAGTGCTTACAATGACATAACTCCATCATAGATTTATAATCTCCCTCCTATTAAGTGTCCTTAGATTTCTAAATTAGTATCAACTTCATAAGGTCATGCAAAACACAACTTGTGTATCGTACATGTAAACCCAATTTTTTGCACTATTTAAAAACTTGGTGAATTGATTTTTGAGGAAGGCTATTTTGGCAAAATGTCAAATGAATTAGCAATTTTAAAATTTCATTTCATCACATCGTCATATTATGTGTGTAACCTTCACATATTTGAGAAAGTTTTTCTATATTTCAGACAAATTCTCCGCCCTGCTTGCCAAGGAAAGGAAGGAAGCTCGTCTGATTTTTTATAACGTTCCGCCTCCAACCACCTTTGTCCTGCGTGGGCGCACTGAACAGGTTCAAGACCTCGAGAACTTCCTGCAACACGAACCCTCAACTTCCATAATGTGGTTAAGTGGTCCTATGAGCATTGGCGTAACGGAATTCGCGTCATATTGTGCCCGTAAATCGAAAGGAGAAATGCACATCGTTTGGTTAGATTATCAATCAATTTCAACTAGTTTAAAAACTTTAGTTTCATTCTTAGGAATTGAATTCAATAATTTAGATTTTGACAACAGCCATGATCAGATAGATTTAACTTTGTTAAAATTAGTTATAACAGATCTACGCAGAAGAGATAGTACTGTACCAATACTTTTCATATTCCATGATATTTTTTACACTATTGAGGCATCAGAATTAGTCGAAAAATTACTCAATTCTGACAATAATAGACTTTTAAAATTTATTTTGGTTACAAAATTCAATCCACCTGACTCTCTTGAGTCAGTATCTTCTAAAATTATAAAGTTAGAAGCACTGGACTTGTATTCCTCTACCTTATTGGTAAAAGATTGGCTTTCCACGCTCAATTTGGACTTGGATAAACATTCAACTAATATTGAAGAGGTTGCCAAATTAACCTTCAACATTCCTGGGTTTATTAGAAGGCTCTGTGACTACATAAACTCTTTATTACTAACTTCAGATCCGATAAGTTTGAATGAGGCAATTACCTTTCTAAAATATGATATGAGAACTCTCCTAAAGTTTAAGGGTGGAAGACGAAAATCATTCCAGTCGCAATGGCAAGATATTAAGGAACGTTACGTAGACTTGGAGGATTGGGAATACAAAATTTTGCAAGTCCTATCTTTCGCCTTCCCCAGAGGCAAAGGGGACACATCCATTTTATCTGAAATCTGCAACAAAACCCTTGGTCTCCAGTTAGAGGAGGAAATGGATTTCGATAAATTCCAATACAATGTATCCGAGTTTAACATTTGCTCAGTAATAGTCGACAGGGGTTCCTACAGTGGCCAATCTCTTGAAATATATCCACTGCTAAACGAAATCATTAAAATGGAATTTATTTCCGCAGAAAAAGAGGAATTTGGTAATGTCCTCGTGCAACTATTGGATCTCGCAAAAAAATCAGGTGGCATAGACGAATTTGGGGGGATGCCAGAAATACTGTTTCGCACCTTATGGGAGTGGCTAGCAAAAGAGGATGACCTTAGAGTAAAATATGTCCAAGAATTTATTGAATTCACCATAAATCTTGGAGGAAGTTGGGAGCTTCCCCCTCTGAACGAGGACTCAAATAGGTTCGCTTGTAGGGCCTGGGCACAAGATAAGTTTAGGCAGTTGCAACAAGATCTAATTAGTGGCGGGCATGGTGAAGAGAACCTAGCAATAATTACGATTAAGTGTTATGAGATTGTTTACAATGTTTATAATGACATTTCAAGGTCGATCAAACCATTCATAACTCTGCGTAATTTCCTTATAGAAAAGAAAGAGAAGATAGAAAAGTCCAATAATAATCTGTCCAAATTCTTGCTTGAACATTGTTGCCCTCTAGTTTCGAAATTCGTTTTTGAGCAAGGTTCCACCATCTCGCAATCTGACAAGGATTTAATTAAATATTGGATACTGTTAGAAATAAATGAAATTGACGACTGCATTAGGGACGTAGACTTTGTGATATTCTCTTTTCTCCCAATTTTGCGAGCGGACGAGTACAAAACCATTTTAGAAATTGGTGAAATGGTAATTTCACACTGGTTTAAATATCAAGACATTCACCAACCAAACCAAATAATTGTTGTGGTTATATTCCTGTGCATAATGATAAGTATGAGTTTGAGAGGAATCCCGGAAATGGACGAACTCCTAAATAAACTAGAGGCAATTGTGAAATTTAACTTTCCTTCAGTTTCCCAAGGTTTATTCTTGTGGAAATTGTGGTTGTTCGATAAGTGGCCAAAGTGGTTTGCAAGCTCTTTGTTCATCTCAGGAAATAAGTTGGACCTTATCTTAAACCTACTTCTGTTAATATTTATCAAGTCTCATAACACCCAGCAAGAATTTTTTGAAGAGTTGAGAGGAACGTATGTTAAGTTTCTGGAAAATTCAAAAGGTCGCGTACAAGATATCAATGGTCTTAGAAAACGCTATATAAAGATTCTACAAGAGATGGTAGAACAAACAAATGAATTATTTGAGGCCGGAATAATCCCAAGATTTTACAGAAATTATGTAAAATCAGAAGTAAATCAGTGTTGTGCGTTGGCAAACTTAAAACTTGAAGGATCTATTGACTCCTCAGCTTATAGTAGTTTAGATATTTACACTAAAAATGTGGACGATTGGACCCCCTTTTTCATAGGTTTAGCGATGTACGGAAATCACCCCGAGTTGGATGAAATGTTGGATAAAATCGTGAAGAAAAATGGAGAGAATGGTGTCATAATAATTAATGAGAACGGCTACTTCATATGGGACCCTAATCTTACTAATTTACCCAATAGTAATCAGCTTACAACACTTGGTCACGTTAAACTATGTCTAGAACAAACTGGGGAATTAATTATGCCACAAATTATGGAAAACTTTTCTCCCATTTACCCCCATCTGGGCGGTGGGGTCCTAGTTCACCTCTTCCTCTCCCCGATAACTGTGCCTTATCGGGGTCAACTACTGCACAATTTTCTTACCCATGCAAAAGATAAAGCTACTTTAAAATCAGTTGTGCACCTATTAGCAGAAATGTTGCAATTAGGCAGTCATATTTACGAGATTGAGACACTTTTTGACCTTTCCATTGGCATCGTGGCACATGTACTTACTTGTGGTACTGAAGACGAAGAAAATTTCGGACTTGCCACTCACCTCTTGAAAACATTAATAAGGGAATTTTCAACCCATTATGAAGGTCGTGGTAGGCTGGTTAGTCTCGGAGAAAATTTTTTATCGGCGTACCCCATTGGAAAAATTTCTCTTAGAGGAGTTGAAATCGGAATCAGGGAAGCTTGCGTGGGTTTAATGAATCAGCATTGGGAAAAAGATTGTGCAATTAAATGTCTTAATTTACTACGAGCTCTAATGAAAATTCGAATGAAGGCAAAATTTTCGACGCCCTTCGCAACCAAGGAAAATATGGTTGAGCAGTTTGACAAGATTTTGGGTTATTTTAACAAAATTGGGATTGGAGATGTTGGTGAAAGTAGTAAATTCTCGGTTAATTTGGCCACAATAATTTTCATGTTGTGTTTAGAAAAAGATTTACCGGGCAAGGAGGACGACGCGGTCAAGGTTTTAGGGGAGATATTTAAATATTATGTGGAAATCGAGGGATTCCATGAGATTTTATATTTCCGAGAAAGTATAGAGTTTAGTGGGTGGAGATCTACGAAATTTGATTCGGTCCGGGAAAAGGCTTGTCAACTTGTGCAGCTTGAAGGAGGAGAAACACTTTCTTTTTCTAAGGTGGAGGAATTATTGAAAAGAAAATTGTTCACGGTTAAAAATGACGGAAATTTGGAACTGAAGAGGGTTGGGGATGAGGATGGGATTGTTTTATGAGTAAAATTTTTAATCTGTAACATAATTGGAATTATGGACAATTATTGCAGTTCTAAATAGTAAATCTATTATTTAAGACAAATATTTCAGTTATTTAAATTTACATACATTTACGTGGGAAAAAATCTTGATTTTATTCACGACTGAAATTTAACTCATTGAATATTTTTCATCGGACCGCTTTCTTTTCGTTGGGGAAGTACGACTTGTAAAAGAAATGCGAAAAGAGAAACAAATATGAAATAAACATAAATAAGGTGACCAAACTGCTTTCGTTGGAGACTGCGCAGGGATCACCGGTCCCTTTGAAGAGAGGAAAATATCAACAAATTACTCACTTAAAACTAAAAACCACCTGAATTTTTATGAAATTTTGTTACTTACATTTTACACCAACGGCGTAAACATTAATGCCAATGGCAACCACGAACTGACAGATTTGCAAAAGTGTTAACCCCATCGACATGAACTTGAGAGGTTTGTAACCCAAAGTCTAAATACGAAGATCAATTTGTTACTCTTACATAAATTAAAAGTACAAAAAATTGATTTAATATCCATACCGAAATTGCGAAATATGTGTACATGATTCTGTAACGAAATAAAAAAAGATAGCAGGCATTGTGTAACTTGTATGATCGTCAAACTTCAACACTCTTAAAAATAATGTTACCATTTTGAAACGTAAATGCTATCTAAATTCTACGATATTACGAAAAGTGCTGGGTAACGTTAACTTAATAACGCGCTAAGATCTAACTTGACAGAGTACACTCTTAGAAATGGGGTTACGATTATAACCAAAAAGTAAACGTATGTGACTCTACCGCCGTGGTTATAAATTTGCCATTGAGTGGTTACAATTGTCACCCGCTAATTATAACGTTTCACCGACTTGGTATTAAATTATCACCCAAGGTAATATTTAAATTTATAACCAATTGGTGACAAACTCATAACCACGGCGGGAGAGTCACATACGTCTACGTTGTGGTTATAATCGTATGTAACCCCATTTCTAAGAGCGTACAGAATTAAGACTGTATTCCTACGTTTCAAAAGGGTCATATTATTTTTAAGAGTGTACCATACTCATTTCACGCATTATGTACGTGCAAAGTATAAATTATTTCCTCACGTGTGTATTAAGGCGTTAATCGTTCCGTAATATCGTAGAACTGGTTCTCCTTGAAGTATTGAAAATGCCACGAAAAGAAATGTCGCTCCTTGGTGGTACCTCGGAATAAAATACTCTATTTTATACTCATTAATATGGATGGATAATTACTTAATTACATGAATTTAGGATTTTACCAGTGTAAAAATATGAGCCGTCTCTTCCTCAAAACGATAAATATTGTGTCCCCAAACTCCACCACTTTCGACCAGAGACCGAGCTTTATCCAAAAAATGGAACTTGGGTTTAACGAATCCCTGAAATAAACATATGTACGAAGGTATAACACATCCGTATTCCGTGGTTTCACACCTTTGGTACATACTGTTGGATCTGCTGAGAGAGTTGGAATCCATCGCCGATTTGCATTTGCCGAATGAGCCGAATTTTTTTATTTTGGCGTGAAACCTATTCAATTTCCCAAATTTCAGACGCACAATTGAATGCTTTTTACGCCAAAATAAAAAAAATTCGTATTAAATAATTAGATAACCTTATGCGATTCGGCACATTCGGCTAACGTAAATCGGCGATAGATTCCAACTCTCTGAGCAGATCCAGCAGTACATAAATGCGCTGTAATGATTTATTCAAAGTGTAAATACATATTGACCGGTTCCAAATATTAGTAGGAAATGTACAATGTTCGTTTAATTTTCCACAATCCAGCATGTATGTACCTGGCACAAACGGAGCGATGAAATCCTTCATCCCCACCGAGGACTTGAACCAATTCTGGGACAGTACGAATAAAAGCGATCGCTGAGAACGCCGCCATCCCAAAGTTCCACGTGGTTAAGGGCCCAAGAAGCTGGAATGGCTCGCGGTCACGCATAATCCATCGAATCAAGTGAATCGTGACAACATAGGAAATCACGATTTGAAAATAAAAAGGAAACGCGTTCCATATTTTCCCCTTTTCAATCGTGGGGTCCAGCCCTGCCTCAAATTCGAACGGTTCTATCGTCGGATTTTCTAAGTAGTCCCAGTTATTAAAGGACTTCTCTATGTCGGGTAAAACTCTGTCTGTACAAATAAACTGGTATAGTTAAAGCAATTATTGAATTCTTGGTATTAAAGTTTCTACCGCTTGATATTAAAATTAAAAATGCAAAAATTGTAATACTGGGCATTTACTTTATCGGAGTACTTGTCAATACCGGTAGAGTCATATGAATAGGTATACTTATTCGTATGAACATACTTATTTCCATACCTACCAAACTACCATATATTCAATAACATAACACTTTAATTTCCAAAAAATTCTTTAATTTCTACATAAATAAATATGTAAATAGTAAACAAATACTCACCAAGTATTTTACGAATCAAGTCCGATGTCATATTTATTTATTAATGCTTCAAATTATTAATAGTACGAACATTTTATTATGTTAACAGTTTCGCGGATAAGCCTGGATTTTCTTTCTAGCTCACAGTATATTAAAAATCGCACAATTCTATAATTTAATTTACTTATCTTGTGAAATGGTTGCTCGCAATTAATTCTTGATAAGTTTCACTTTTGCAATGCCCACTCTATAATTACTGGAAAGTAACTAAGTTAATTACTAGTAACACACATACATATATTCGAACAGTGGTTATCAGGAAATCAAACGGCTAATTAATTTTAAATAGGTCTAAAATCTACTATCCAATCTGTGAAATATCCTTGAGCTTTTCCTTTACCGTGCGAAAACAAGAAATTAAACAGGACAAGTTGTCATTAAAAATTCTGGGTGATGTCACACAATTGAGAAATCCTTTGCTGATCGTGTGTCCTCATTAGTGACGGGATTGTTTATTTTTGTTTCGTTCTGGCTGTTATGCATTATCAAAAAACCAAAAACAAGAAAATTTTAAACAAAACTTATTTGTTTAAACAAAACAAATAAGAGGAGAACAAAAAATGTTTATTGATTTATTTTTATCAGATGTATACACATGTAAATTTCGCGAGTTACTGTAAAAAGATGTAATTCTGATAAATGCAATTTAGCAACTAAATTACATTTGGTAAATTTTGTATTAACTAATAGGGTAAAATAGGCAAATTTGATATTAACTAATTTATGAACTTTGATTATAACTGGATTGAATTTATTTCCATCACAATTATCAGAAGCTATACATTTTGCAGGAATTTATGACATAGACACTGAATTGTTTTAAGTATAGAAGGAATTAATGCATCAATTTTGTGGAGCAATATCCCCCAATCGACACGGAGGTGGTGTTGTCCCAATAATTTCAGTCAACGGGGTAACCTGAAAAAATTAGACAAGATTATATTATTTTGTTCTTAAAATTAAGACTCCAATGTAATAAATGCAGTGCATGAAAAGAATATGATAGACTCGGTAATAATTTATCACCAAATATGGCATTGATAACTTTGTGCGAAAAGATATTAAGACTTAATCACAATTGCAAGGTTCAAATCAAATGGAAAATTCAGACCTTATCGGTCACAAATTATTATGAATTTAACAAAACGGGGTAATAATTTGTTACTGAATTTGTTTCTCACCGTAAACAAGAATCGCAGATAGTCCATGACCGACTTCAACACGGAATGTGCACCCGCCTCTTCCAACGCTTTTGGAATCAGCTGAGTCAAAGCGTCGAAAACGTCTTTGCCTAGATTTTCCGCGCCCTCATCAATTACCAAGTCTTCCAGGGAAATTTGAGAATTCGAATAGTTCGGAATTAACGTTATGTTTCGGAACTCGAATCGTTCCATGTTAATGTAACCATCCTCAATGGCAAAACCGACGAGGTTTAGGTCGATTTCCAAGGCAAAATCGGGTAGAGACCAGGCACCAGAGCCGAATACGGGGTAAAGGGAGATCACAGTGCCGGACAAATTGTAGATTCCTGCAGAACATTATAATCATTTGATAAGTTTCCTTTTAAAGTAGGACGCGAGGACTCATCGACAAAATCAGCATGTTTTTAATACTTTCTCGTCTCTGAATTTATTTAAAAATTATGACAATTGACGGATTTGTTGGACAGATCGTTACCAATTTTTTGAAAATATGCACTCTAGATTTGATACTTTTTTTAGGTGTGTAGGAGATCTTGAGTATAAGAAGCCTTAACATAATTGGAACTTATCGGACCTAGCTGCCCTTAATTAAAAAACGAATTCGCATTCTCTGATTCAATTACTGACTACAAATTTGTGGTATAGAATTTGGAAATATGTTTCCAGAGAAATTACTAAAAATGTGTTAACTTTGATCATCTTGATGATGAGGTATCGAATTCAACGCTAATATTTAAGTATCAAGCTAATTTTTCTAACCTCGTAATTCCAGCTGTCTCAACAATATTGCAAACCTGAACTGTAGGGCTGCAAGGTCCGAGGATATTTCGTAAACTTGTAACTCATTCGACATTCCGGCGCCTACAGAATTTCTAGATCATTTGCTTATTACAAAATCTCATGATTTAAAAAAATCTTAAAACTGTTAATGGGTTTTTTTACCTTAGCTGTCCCGAAATTTGAAGGAAAGACGTGTTTATATTGACATTAGTGGGAGCAATAATTGGAGGAGAAGGATCAAGGCGATTACTTATTAAAAACTCGTCATAATTGAAGAACGCCTAGCGAAGAAAGTTGTTCAGACCGTCGCTTAGAGAACCTAGAAATTTGTAAATTTTAATAGTTTTTTTTCAAAAATTTACCTTTATAAATATACAATCGTAGAAATGGTGTTACCATCATGAAAAATAAATGCACTCTGGATACTAGATTAAGTAAACTGTTAAAAGTCCAGAAAACTTTGCTCTTTATCAAATTAACGTTACATACTCTGGATTTAGTAAAATTTCCTTAATTTAGAAATAACGCATTTACTTTTCAAATGGGTGACATAATTTTCTAAGAGTGTCTATCGCTACCGGATTGGCAGGGGTTAGCAGTGGTCGTGGTGGTGGTAGTCGTCGTCGAAGAAGTCGTAGTTATTGTAGTTGGTGTAGTTGTGGTTGGTGTAGTTGTAGTTGGTGTCGTTGTAGTTGGTGCAGTTGTAGTTGGTGTAGTTGTTGTTGGTGTAGTTGTAGTTGGTGTAGTTGTAGTTGGTGTAGTTGTAGTTGGTGTAGTTGTAGTTGGTGTAGTTGTAGTTGGTGTAGTTGTAGTTGGTGTAGTTGTAGTTGGTGTAGTTGTAGTTGGTGTAGTTGTAGTTGGTGTAGTTGTAGTTGGTGTAGTTGTAGTTGGTGTAGTTGTGGTTGGTGTAGTTGCTTCCGTTGTCGTTGTAGTTTCGCAATTGCTTTGCCGATTTCTGTCCATCAGAAAATCAACACTTGCAGATCCCCTATTATTGTTATCATGGTATGCAATTGAATCGGAATTTCCGAACGCCCATATCACGCGGTTTTCCCCTGCCTATATCGTTCCCTCAAAATTTTAATTTGCCCGAAAGCTAATTTGATTGATTTCTATGACATTAAAATTCCCACCACAATTGGAATATCCTCCTCATAGTCGCATGTTTCTAAAAGTCGTGAAAATTTGACAATTGTTCGACCTGCAGATTCCCTTGCCTCCAGAAGTATCCAGTCCTGGCGGTCATCAATTTTAGGCGTTTCTCTCCCCGTCGCGAAACGATCCTAGCAATAAAAACTAAATGTAAGCATTGATAAAACTTGTTGCGAATAAAATTGCAGAAATTTGTTCTAAAACTATCAAATTTTGGCATCAAATTTAATTATGTGAAAAGGGGCAACAGGCGCTATCAGGGAAACCCAAAATTTGAGTCTCTATCAATTTAAGGTTATTTATCTCTAAATCGGAGATAATCACTTCACACCTACGCATTGTTAGTAGACCTTCTTACCGATGAATAATTCCCCCCGGATGCATTCACTCCAGCTATAAAAATATCCGACCCGTTCATATTACCATCGGGGGAAATGCCCAGCCCGACATATCCCAAAGTATACACATTCATGTCAAACTCGATTGTGACGTCGTTAACAATCGTCCACTTTAGATTTACGTTCGGACCTAACTGGACCTCACCGTGGACGGAATTCTTATCGTTTTCCAAATTCACCCCATTTCCGAAGGAATAATACGACACAAAAATAACCAAACAGGCTAAGAAATATGTGTTATGTGACTCCATCCTGTTTTATTAAACACTATTAAATTAACTTTCAATTAAGGAAGACACGCTTTTCACTCTGCTACCAATTGGTGATTAATAATTGAAATAGTCATACATATTTATGTATGCACCCAATCTGGTTATCTTGTAACCATGGCATACACAACTTTTGGGGTTTGATCCATATGCAAGTTGGACAATGCTTGCTGACCTCATTTCCACATCGACTTGGATAAATCACGGCAAAATCAATTAATTGCCTGTTAAACAACATGCATAATTTGTTTTCAAGTGTGGGACATCTTTTCCCTTCTGCACTATGACGTTTGTTGGCCAGAACGTGAAACGAATTAAAAGATAGCACATTTCCCCATTATGCAGAAACTAGTCTCTTAAGCCCGCAGTGCGGGCTCTAAGCAAAACGATTTTATTATTTTATTACGAAAAACGTTCACTCACGACCCCATGGGCGTGACCACGAAAAACGTTGTCACGACTGTAATTGAGTGTGACCACGAAAAACGTTTAGTCACGACTCTAAAGGGGGTGGCCACGAAAAACGTTCAGTCACAACTCTAAAGGGGGTGGCCACGAAAAACGTTCTTCACGACTCTAAAGGGGGTGGCCACGAAAAACGTTCAGTCACGACTCTAAAGGGGGTGGCCACGAAAAACGTTCAGTCACGACTCTAAAGGGGGTGGCCACGAAAAACGTTCAGTTGCGACTCTAAAGAGGGTGGCCACGAAAAACGTTCAGTCACGACTCTAAAGGGGGTGGCCACGAAAAACGTTCAGTCACGACTCTAAAGGGGGTGGCCACGAAAAACGTTCAGTCACGACTCTATCGGTGTGACCACGAAATTCGTTTAGTTACGACTCTAAAGGGGGTGACCACGAAAAACGTCCGGTCACGACTCTATGGGTTGACCACGAAAAACATTAGGTCACGACTCTAAAGGGGGTGGCCACGAAAAACGTTCAGTCTCGACTCTAAAGGGGGATGACCTCGAAAAACGTTAGGTCACGACTCTAAAGGGGGTGACCACGAAAAACGTTAGGTCGCGACTCTAAAAGGGGTGACCACGAAAAACGTTAGGTCCCGACTCTAAAGGGGGTGACCACGAAAAACGTTCAGTTACGATTCTAAAGGTGGTGTCCACGAAAAATGTTAGGTCACGACTCTAAAGGGGGTGACGTCGAAAAACGTTAGGTCACGACTCTAAAGGGGGTTACCACGAAAAACGTTAGGTCACAACTCTGAAGTATGGCATTGTTCTAACGTTTTAAGTACGTTTAGGCACTTAAACCAAAAGCCCGCCCTCTAGCCCTGAAAAACAGCCAACATCCGATAGGTGGCGCTGGTAGGTAATTAAAATTAGTAAGGCACAGGTCAAGTGTCAACTTTACCGTGGGGCACAGAGGTCACAGGTCAAGTATAGTGGATGTGCCCAGGTCACAGGTGAAATGTCAAATCTAGTGGGTGTGCCCAGGTCACAGGTGAAATGTCAAATCTAGTGGGTGTGCCCAGGTCACAGGTGAAATGTCAAATCTAGTGGGTGTGCCCACGTCACAGGTCAAGTGTAGCGGCTGTGCCGAGGTCACAGGTCAAGTGTAGCGGGTGTGCCCGGGTCACAGGTCAAGTGTAGCGGGTGTGCCGACGTCACAGGTCAAGTGTAGTGGGTGTGCCCAGGTCACAGGTCAAGTGTCAACTCTGTAAAGTGTCAACTTTATGGGTTGTACGCAGGTCGCAGGTCAAATGTCAAGTCCAGGGGTGTGTGCCAAGGTCACAGGTCAAATGTCAAATCTAGTGGGTGTGCCAAGGTCACAGGTCAAATGTCAAATCTAGTGGGTGTGCCAAGGTCACAGGTCAAATGTGAAGTCTGGTGGGTGTGCCCAGGTCACAGGTCAAATGTCAAGTTTAGGGGGTGTGCCCGTTCATTTGATCAAGTCTCGGCAGATCTAAAGGGTGTGTTTCGCTGTTATCGTGTTCGTCAACGTTTTGGACACGTTTTGACACTTTAGCGAAAAACGCCCTCTAGAAACGAAAAATGTAACATAGTGCCCCACCTGCCGCTAGGTGACATTAGCTTGGACAATGTGAGACACGTGTGTAATCAAGCGCCAAGTTCAACTGGTAACACACACCACTGCACAATTCTTGGTTCTGATATTTAGTTTATATAAACATTGATTCGCTCAATTAAGTGATGTTGCATCACAAAGTGTGACTCACTCGCAGTTACATAATTTTACACTTGCAAGAGACTGGGGACGCGATCTTGTTTGGTAGAAATTTAATCTCCGTACCAAAGTTGATCTGTTGCATAGTGAACGTGGCAAGGACCGTGTAAACGTTTCTTAAAATGACGACATACTTTTTGCAAGGTCCTCTCATTATCCGACTCAGATATTGGAATTACATGGCTTGATGAGAGCATAATAAGTAATTATCGTTTGATTTGGAGTATTGAATAGAACTTATGTAAGGTGAGATCGAATCATGTTTATTTCTTATCAAACTAATTAACATATTTGTGCTTCTGTATGTATAAAAGAAAAAACATTCATTTTGTGTTTACACATGTTTATGATGCACATTGGTTAAATAATTCATCATACTAATGTATTTATTTTTGCATTGAAACATGCAGGATTTTTTTTATTGTGAGATTTTACGAAACTCAACATTAAATTTCTTCTCAAGATTTTACTAGAATTTCATGCGATGCAAACTCTGTTAGATGCGCATATTTACAAATTAAGTTTGTGCAGATCATCTTCTGCATGTGAAAAATTGTATAATTGTTTTTTAGTTGTAAATACGTCACCACTTCGAATGAGTAACTGCACATGCAAACTATTTCTGCATAGTGGGTAAACGTGTTATCTTTTAATTTGTTTCATGTTCTGCTCAGAGTGCAGAACGGAAAGGTTTTTCATGCTTGATAACGAGTCAATATGTATATTGATTGACAGGCAATTAATTGATTTTGGCAAGATGCGAGCCGTGATTGATCCTGGGGATGAGGTCAGAATGCATTGTCCAACTTGATCACGTATCAAATTCCAAAACTTTTCCGTCATTTCGTTCTAAGATAACAAGGTTGGGTGCATCTGTACATAACCCCATTTCAAGCCGATTATTCGTCACCAATCGGTAGCAGGGTGAAGTATCTTAATTGCAAATAAATTAGGGTTTAATTAAGACCAATGGAGTCAAAGAAGATATATTTCGTAATCAGTTTAGTTAGTCTTGTGTCACTTTTTTCAACCGGAAATGGGGCGAATTTCGGAAATGAGACGAATTCTGTCCAAGGTGAGGTTCAACTCGATGGACCGAACGTCATGCTAAGATGGACGGTTACTGACGACACCATCGAGTTTGAGTTGGACATATACACCCTGGGATATATAGGACTTGGAATTTCCCCCGACGGTGGCAAGCTTGGGTCAGATATCGTTATTACCGGGATTCACCCGAATGGGACGACATATTTCTCGGTACGAACTTCAACTTAGATTTCAGATGGCGGATATGTATTTAACATTAATTTTTAAAAATCCCACATATTAACGAAATATTTATTTACCAAAAACCGAGATGAAAACGAAAAGGGATTGATGTAATTTTGGTGACCCTCCACAATAATTATAGAATGGGTACAAATATTTTGAAATTTTTGAGAAGTACGCTACAATTAGCACGATAGCGTGAGGGAGCAGAACAACGTTCCCTACGTTATCCGAAGTCGTTATCATCTCACCATGTTAAATTAACCTCTGGCATTCATGTGCTACAAGTTTAATACCTCGAAATGTCCCCCACAGCTTCCGAGACAGGTCTGAAAGCTTGGGAACACATAATATTTGATTGGGTCGTTATTAAATGAAAATGTTTAAAAGTAATATACCCCCTGCTTCAATTGATTTGAATGCAAAATTTTACTTGTGAGTTTTGTAAACAATTTAACTTTAAAAGGATCGGTTCGCGACGGACCTTAGACTTGAGCCGAAAATTGATGATCATCAAGACTGGACGCTAAAGGAAGGTAGGGAATCCCTAGGAAGGACAATTGTTACGTTTTTTCGGCTTCTGGACACGTGTGACGAAGAAGAGGACATTGATATAGTTGTGAGTTGTTAATGCTAAATGTGAGATAATTTGCAGCAGTGGTTTTTGGCAGAATTTATTTTGGTGGGAATATTTTAGGCGGGCGAAAATCATGTGATCTGGGCGTACGGAAGTTCGGATGGACTTATATATCACGACGGTAGAAAGGGATCTACAAATATCGATTTTTTGGTAAGCAGGAATCGACAAAGGAATTGCGAGGGGACGACAATAACGGAAGCAAGTACAACCACACCAACTACAACCACACCAACTACAACCACACCAACTACAACCACACCAACTGCAACCACACCAACTACAACCACACCAACTGCAACCACACCAACTACAACCACACCAACTACAACCACACCAACTACAACCACACCAACTACAACTACCCCAACTACAACCACACCAACTACAACCACACCAACTACAACCACACCAACAACAACCACACCAACTACAACCACACCAACTACAACCACACCAACTACAACTACCCCAACTACAACCACACCAACTACAACCACACCAACTACAACCACACCAACTACAACCACACCAACTACAACCACACCAACTACAACTACCCCAACTACAACCACACCAACTACCACTACACCAACTACCACCACAGCAACAACAACTACACCAACTACACCAACAACAACCACACCAACAACAACTACACCAACAACAACTACACCAACTACAACCACACCAACTACAACAACTACAACTACGCCAACTACAACGACACCAATAACAACTACACCAACAACAACCACACCAACTACCACTACATCAACTGCCACTACACCAACTACAACAACAACTAACGACTCAACTACTCCAGACGATTCAACAACTCCAAGCGATTTAACTACCCCAGACGACTCAACTACTCCAAGCGATTTAACTACCCCAGACGACTCAACTACTTCAAACGACTCAACTACTCCGGATGACTCAACTACCCCAGACGACTTAACTACTCCAAGCGAATCAAGTCCTCCAAGCGATTCTACTACTCCAGTAGATTCTACTACTACGAGCGAAGCAACTACTCAAACCGGCTCAACTACTCCAACGACAACTTCCAGACGACCTCCGAGAACAACGACCACCACTCCCGCCCCGTCCCCGATCCCAACTTCTCAACGTACAACCACGCCAAGCTCAAGCTTTCGCGCAACTAATCTTCAAATTCTAACGGCCTTTTTTGTATGTTCAACATTTTACCTCAGCTAATTATCTAAATATTAATTTTACCTATTTAACATAAGCCTGAATATTCTCAAAATTGTACCCCGTTTCCAACCTACGATAAGTCTTATACACAAATAATTGCCAGGAAAACCACATCGATTGGCAATAAATATATAATTTAGCAATACCTTTGTATCGGCATGAATACCGCTTCGTATTACTTATTTTAGCACTGGTTTTATTAGAGTGTGTATAAATTAGATTGTTTCAAAAAACAACTTACATTAGCATGGTTACATTAAGATGGATCATAAATGGTTACTGTACCATGTAGTGAGGTTATTGCAAATATCCATGGTGACATATTTTGGTCTCAAAACCATCAAGAGGTGGTCCCGGACCCCAAAACGTATAAATTTTTCGATGTTATTTTTGAATTTTTTTAAATTTCCAAAAACGCTCGATTCGGTCGTAGAGAAAAAAATTTGGAATCTTTTGGTGAAAGTAGCATCTCGATATGTTCTCCTGTGTCCCCGTTCACAGTTTTTGCGACTTTGAACCCCTCCCCCTCGGGTAAGGGGCGGAGTTAAACCAAATTATTGGTAGTCTTACAATCACAAAAACCAACTCTACAAAATGTGCAAATCTTAACAAAATCAAATTTTTTCTGTCGTTCGAAATTTCGGTTTATGTACATTATTGTTACTCATTGACTTTTCAAACACGGTGACAAAATCTTAATCGTGGTTGGACTTATGATGGGACTAATTCCTCAATTTAAACAAACTTTGGAAGAGTAGATAAATATGTAAACTGGTTTATTTTTATGGTCCAGAACAATACAAACGTTATCAAGAGAATAACCTGAAGGCTGACGTATTGGGGACATGATTAGCTCGCAATTAACCAAGGTTCGGCAGCGTAGTTGTGCAGGACAGTGTCTTTATTTCTAGACTGCCAGACGTTCTGCGAGCAGCACACATTTTTATTACACCTAGTTGAATTTTTAATTAAAAAACAATTAAAAAGTATCCCTTCGCTAAAAGACGCTCGGTTTTCCAGTGGAATCTGTTCTTGCGGCAGCAGTTGCGCGTCTTGACGAAATTCTGGCGTCCTAAACACACTGAATTTTTTGCATATAAACGTTGTTTCTAGGGAGTTGGTCTTTTAAACAAATATGGTAAAAAAATAATCTTGTTTCAACATTGTTTGCACCCCCATTGGTATTTTTTACACTTTTGTTGTGTTTTTAACGTCTAACCTTTCTTGCTTATGATTCTTCCCTGCATATAAATAAATACCTGCCACGCTGTGAAGAATGCAAATTAAAAATTGAACACACTTATCTCAACACTGCGTTCTGATAATCCTGGAAGTATGGTGTGCACGTTTAATGATAGTGCGTTTCGAGAGCAAAGTCCCACGCCGACACCTGGTCGCTTCAGCATATTCTATTTTTGATCGATGGAAGATTAACAAATAATTCGTATCGTTTGGACGTATGTATAAAAAATTCGGTATAAAATCGCCAGCCTTCCCACAACCTTGCTCAGTTATTTTATACGTTCCAGCCTTTTAGCCAGTCCTAATTTTCAATCTTTCCATTAATTTTGAATAAGAAAAGTGAAAAATGAACACGATTTTCGTCCGGCTTGCCATCTTCGCCACGGTGGCGAATGGTCATGTGGAAATTGAAAGAAAAACTGGGTCAACTCGAAGCTCGGCGTTGGGTGTGGTCGACCCAGTCCGAAGGTGTGGGGGGCTAGCGACTCAAATTCAGCTTAGGATTAGCGACTGTGAAGGAATTTGCCAACTTGTACCGGGAAAAATTTACAATTGTGAAAACGATTTTATGCCAAGTAAGCCAAGACACTTACATATTTACATATATGTTAACTTTACCGGGATTTCCCATTGTTTGCACATTTTAACTTAGATTAGATGATTAACATTTGTAACTTTTATGATCCTTGCGTTTTGTAAAATACTTTTACATCCTTTTGCAAAATAAAAATTGATTTGAGCAAGTTTACTAAAATTTGTTAGATTACACGAATTAATTTACGAATTTTACGCATTTTACGAATTTTTACAACAATTTACGAATTTTATTATGTTATATCTATACCAACGTCTGCGTGAAATGCCTGAATATTTTGATACAAAAAATTATGAAAAATGGTGACTGGAGTTTCTTTACGATTTTCATGCAGATTTTCATTTTAGGTTATATATTTTACCGAAAGCTATTTACCAAAATTTACAAGATACTCGGTGACAAACCGGTGCTATAATGTACAAAAATTTTATCGAATTTTTTTGCAGGTATGGCAGCACCCTCGCTCATGTTAAAAATCGAGATTTGCATGAGTGCTGGATTTTGCATGGTGATTATCGACACGGAGTTGCCAAATTCCTCGGTGCAGCCTGGATTCGTATACACAGCGAAATATTCCATTGTTCCGAACGATATCTTATCAGGACAAAGAGTGGAATTCCGTGCCTATATTATGCACTCGGATGACTTACACATCGACGTTTGTGTTGCTGCGGATGTGGACATCCTTTAAGAAGAATATTTTTAAAATATATTGATTTCTTAAAATTGGGAAGATGTAATAAAAAAAATTAGACGGAAAATAGCTTATTTTTAAGAGGGCATATACATATATACCTAAGTACTTGTAAAATGTATAGCTACTTGTCGAATTTTTGAATGCAAGTGGCCCAAAATCGATAATTTACATGCAGAGTAAAATGAAACAAAATTGCGCCCGTATATATAAATTTGTTATTCATGAAATATGCACAGATATGTAGGATATAAGTTCCGCATTATGAGGCATGAAACGTGACTGGTACAATTCATACGTAACAATTTAACATTTGAAATACATATGAAATGTCACAAACTGTTCTGAAAAAATGGATGATTTTTATTATTTAGAAAGCTTTGTATATTTTTTTGCATCTATGTACATACATATCAGTAATCGTGCCGCAGATGTATGTATGTAAAGAAGGGCCATACTCGAAGATTCTTATTGACTTTTAAGCAATTAAGCCTGTTTTTAATTAAATAAATTATTCTAAACCCAGAGTAAACTTTGCTCTTTATTGAGTTAACGATACTCTGGATTTAGAGTACAGTTTACTCAATAACGAATTCAGAGTGCATTTACACGTCAAAATGGTAACATTACTTTTTTTCCGAGGGTAACATTCACTTTAACTGTGGTTTTCAGAGATTCACAAACTTTTTCAGTCACAAACTGGTGTTTATGAATGGAGCAGTGATTAATCTGTAGAGTTTTTTAAGGCATATAATAATTTATTGTAATCTTTCAAATTGTGGAGGTTAAAATATAATCTGGTTTGAACATGGTTCGATTCCAAATTGCTTAATCTGGGTAGCATTTAGAGGCGTGTGGATATTTTCTTCTAACGTCCCGCATATTGTAGCAGAGTTGGTGCAGAAACTGCTAATAATCTTATCAGATTTTGAAGCTGCGGTGGAAGGTTCGCGAAAAACGTTGCGAGCTGCAGGGGGTTAAATGGTTGACTTGCTCGTGTCTGTAACCCGGCTTGTGCGAAACCATTGTACGGAGAGCTGTAAAAGAGTGGGAGAAAAAATTATTAAGTACTTAATATTTGAGAGCGATTTGCACGCTATCTATAGCGTGCATTTAGAGATGTACATATATTTATATCCAGAGTAATTTACATATACTTTACAGAATAAAGCAATTAGTTTCATTTAGGCAATAACCGTCTGTACTAACCATCCGCCATATATGATGAATGGCATGTTGCTCATCTGTCGGGATTTTCTCAGATCCGTTCTACTCTGAAGGATGAACTCGGGTTGAACTCTTGTTTTCTGGATATATAAATCCGATTAAGTTTTTATCATTATTAAAAAAATGAGGGTTCAGTTAGTACCAAATTATTTAAGGCGTCCTCATTTGCTTCAAGATCTGAAGGAATTTAAATTACAAGTAAGTATTTTTATAAAATTATTGTGCATGCATGGGCTCGGAGAATGCATCAGAAGGCACACGCATGTCTACGGAACAATTTTTTATATATTCATCGTTCACGGAAACATCGCATGACATTTTTTATATTGATCAGGAGCAATATTTAATAATTAATTGAAAATATTTCTTCTGCTAAATTGCGTGCGATAAGCTGTTCCACCCTTGAATTGATTACTAAATAATTTTGTGAATCAATTAAATCACCCTGTTTCCCATAAGGAGGGGTAGAAATTCTTATCTGATCGGTTGATCCGGAGGGAAGTGGAGATCCCAAACTGCTCGAGAGCAAGTAGACGAGAAGCACGAGCTAGAATTGGGATAAAATTACGCATTATGTAAAATGGATTAATTATAGATTATATACATTCTGTACAGGGTGGTTTAAATGTCACGCTACAATGGAAATTCGTAAATTTCCATTAGTTACCGAAATTTTGTCTCTGAAATTCAATATTTTCAGAATTTTGTCATCCGTGTTCCATCAGCTTGGATATTAAGATTAATAAAAATCTCTATCCAAAATCTTATATGGACTGGTCGGTGAAGTTAAGTGTCAAGCTATTTTAACGTACAAAAAATGAATGCACGAATCAAATCTAACGAAACTTTTGTGGAATATCAACGATGACTAGACCGAGGTTTTTTAATCCTTCAGTTGTTTAAATGCCCCTTCCGTACCGATGGAGAGATGACTTTGTCGAGGACCTCTCATGAGGGCTTTGCCACTCGTTTCATCAATTTCTATGATGATTTTCTCCATAACGTATCGAAATTTTTCGAACTTTTTTGGTGTCCATTTTTTCTGAGTACATTGTTTCTTAATTAGTGCCCAAAATCTTTGCATGGGCCTACACTGAGGTACGTTTGGAGCGTTGTCCTTTTTCTTGATGAAATCAACTTTTTCCCCTCGAATATACCCTGTCACTATTTTGGCATTCTACCACGTATCCATGTCAGGCCAGAAGGAAAAATATTTTTTTTCTGATAGGGGGGATCAATCTTTGGATGACACACTCTTTCAAATAAAGCCCAAAGTTCATATTCGTGGTGTCAACCGATGGATTGCAGATGCTCCCATTTTTGTCGATCGCCAGCCATTTTCTGTATTTCATTGGGAATTTTGCTTGGCTCTGAATTTAGATTTCGAACGAACGTCATTTTTACTTCTACATGAGTAGAACTTTACACGATTGAAGCTCAGAGGTCGTCGGAACCGTAGTTTTCATCATCCACGACGACAAACTTCGGGGAGTCGATTTAAACATTTTCTCAACAAGTTTTGGACAAATTGCTTTAGCTCCGGTTTTTTTATCTTCATTGTATTTTAGCCCGGTTAAAATGTTGTAATTTTTGAAGCCCATCTTATTGGCTATGATATTGCGCAGGTAGGTTTTTGAAATTTGTAGTTGTCTTGGTGCAACCCTTACCGATCTGTTCGGGTTTTCTGTTTTTTCATGTTTCTGGTCAGTGTTTTGGTCTTCTGGCGGACAGGTCGGCAAGGCCAAATTTTATATTTTGCATTTTCACGATCCTTATATCTGTATAGTATATGATGAATTTTGTCCGGTGCATCCCTGGAAAAGAGGGGTGGTCACGAGCCTTTTCCCGATCCAAGAAAATGACTTTTTTGCACGAGTGGCAAACTAATTTTTCCACCTCCTCTATATTTTGTGCTGTCATTTTCTAACGAAAAGAGATAATCAAATTCCGTTTTCGGTTTTAGAAAGCTAATCCAATTTGCCAATTTTTATGATTTTTATGTACGCAAAATTAACTGTTAACTGGTTAAACCAATAGGGGGAACTCTGACACTTAACTTCACCGACCAGTCCATAACTAATGGAGATTTAGTGGATTTTAACACGGAAAAACGTCCGTTGTAGAGAAATATTGAAACCACCCTGTAAATAAGTACACTATCTCACTAAATTTTTGATACACTATTAACCAGAAATCAACAATTAACCCAAAATCATCTCTATTTTATTACCTATTCGTGTTTTTATTTTTATAGAATTGAGAAAACTCACCGTGAGCATTATGTGTGATATTTAGAATCTCTTTTTAAGCCCACACTGATTTTTTGAAAAGTATGACTCGGAAATTTTGCCACTCAAGCAATAATGTTATAATTTTTCAAACTGTACTTGTATGTCACTTGTTAATGAATAATTTATAAATTTATAAATCAAAAAAATCACAGATTACAGAATTGTCTTAACAGTTCATCTAAACGAATCACTTTTACGAAAACTAGGAAACTATTATATCTAATTTGGAATTTACCTTCCGAACCATTTGCTTGCTTAACGATACAATTTTAAAATTATGTTCCAAAAGTTTTGTCAAAATCTTAAATCTTCTTAATCGAATGCTGCTGATTGATTGGGAAAAATACGCATTGTCTTGACCTGAAATTCAAGAAGCAAAGCTACCAATTTCGGGTCATTCATACTCATAAAAATATTTATTGTTGAGATGGGCTAAATAAATACTTAACGTTTTGAGTAACTGAATTTTTGCATCATTTATGTGCTGACCTGAGATCAAACAAGGATATTAATTTCGTTGGTTTACGAGCTATATATTTACATACATGCCACAGATGAATAAAATATGGAGCGCAGTAGTACTATTAAAGACGGGTTTTTTATGTGAGATAAGTTTTTAGTTTTTAATGTCTTGTTATAAGCAAATCTGTGAGGAAAATTGACTTTTAATGGATTATTAAGCTATGATTTTTAAATGTAAGCGATACCTAGATTTAAAGAAAAAACATGCAAATTGAAATTTCTGCTGTTTATTTCTGTAAAATCTAATTCTGAAAAAAATATGCTCGTTTACTTATTTTTAACTAAAGCTGCAGTGATTCAGTTTGATAAGCTCTTAAAAAAATAGTCTGTAAACTGGTTGCGATTGAGATTCTCTCGAAAAACTGAACATATGAACATATGAACAAGATTACATATTTGACTTAAATTAGATGCTGGTCGTAATTTCTGCGCAACTTATTGTTATGTAAAACCGGTTCACGATTTGTAGTATTTTCTTATTTACATACATACATAAAAGGTATCTTAAATCTTATGTACATTCTTAGAAAGATAAGTACCGGTCATAAGATTCCTGGAATTGATTAGGGAATCATACAATGGTGCCATCGAGTACAGACTAGTTTTTTTACAGATCATCAGCGTCCCACACTTAAAAATGATATGGGGTCAAATTGCATAATCCCTTTTCCGTAACCGTACATAATTGTTCAAACTTTAATGATCCCGAACATTATCATTTACATAATTGTTAAATAGGTTAAAATTTGAAGGTGTAGTATGTACATACTGATGTACTTGTTTACAAGGCAATGTGCAAAATTCTTTTGTGCAAAATGACCTTGTAAATATGCAAAGTGACTGTTTAGGTTAAAAATATACGTTCCGGGATAATTTTTTATGCAGAATGCATTATGCAAAGTGATACATATGTAACCGAGGCGTGGAATCTAGAAAATCGCGAGCTTTGTGTTACATAATTTTGTTGAGTATCTACATAAACTAAACTAAATCTGGAGCAACATTAACTTGAAAAAGAGTAAAGCCTGATCTGGATTTAGTACAAAAGGTGAATCGACATGCTTTATACGACTTTGCACTTGAATATCTCTGGTGCAACTTCGAATTTTGAGCTGATTTTCGTAGGCAAGCAAGATAATATCCTCAAAAATATGTCTGCAAAGTTGTATTTGGATAGCTTCAAAAATGTCCCCTCCAGGGTCCTCAGAGTTGGAGGGTGCTGTAAAATAACTTTCCAAACTGCTGTTCTAATAAAATGGCGTCGAACAAAAGATTTTTTTCTTAGGCCCTAGTAAAGAAATTGTCTTTGTGACTATTATCAAACGACTTAGCATGCTTTTCACTATATAAAACCACTTTTGGCTCATGCTTATCTTTTAAGTCCGTTTTGTAGTCCAAATTTAAATTAGCCCAAATGGAATGCGCTCGCGCACGCGACTCATCCACTTTTAAGGCCCCCACATTTTAAGACTTTCATGCTAAAAATCCCAAACGTTGTTTTTGTCCAAGATACAAATTGTATGTTGGCAAGTACTTTTGACAAAATTTTGATAAGTGGTTACACTCCTATAAATCAGTTGTTACCAAATCTCATCAGTTTTGTAAAAAGGTTCTCCTCATAATCGAAGCTGAACTTGAAAATTTTTTTAACCAATCAAACCGCAGTGATTTTATTATTTTGCCAGTTGTACCTTGTAGAAAAAATAGTTCTGCGATAGGGGACACAAACAAGTTATAAAAATTTATTTTCAACAAAATTTTACCATTAATTTTCCAAATAAGTTCACTAGTTTTTTAAAATTCCGCGGCAGCTGATTAGCTCGGGTCCTTCTCCAAAACTGTTTACCCAAAATCTCGACTATTTTATTAGCTCACCCTGCGTAGCATGGGAGCTATTGAATTCCTCTTGTCCGTCTGTCTGTCCGTCTGTCCGTCCGTCCGTGTGTTCACGAGTTTTTTGCATCAATTGATGCTAATTAATAATCCCCATGTCCATAATTGAATAACTTAGTCCCACCATTGGTATTGAAAAATCCGAACGTAAATGGTGCGATTCAATTGGGAAAGTTGATGGAGAAAGTACTCCAATATTGTAATAAGTAGCACCGTTAGTATCAAACAACCGGTTATCAAAAATGACGCTAAGTAATTGGGAGAATCGATGCAACATGCACCAATAGTTCTGAAAAACTGGATGAAAGGTGGTGTTAAAAATTTAACACCACGAGTTCAAGGCTCCGGAGGAAAACCAAAATTATGTCAAAATTAGATATTTATTTTGGCTCCTTATTCTGCACCCTTGGTGCAAAAATATATCATTTTATATACCTACTCTTTCTGGTTATCCTGTACCATTGGTGCAAAATTATATGACAATACGATATGTATTTGTTCGATTATTCTGCATCAATGGTGCAAAAATTGTATAACTTTAATACTTGTATATTTTGCGCGATTATTCGGCACCTTTGGTATAAAGTTATAGAAAATCATTATATATGCACATCTTACTCGTTTATTCTGCACCATTGGTGCAGAATTGTAAAAGTATGTTTGTCGAGTTACTCCGCACCTTTGGTGCTAAGTTATAACCAAGGCATTATTAGCTCACCCTGCGTAGCACGGGAGCTATTGAATTCCTCTTGTCCGTCCGTCTGTCTGTCTGTCCGTCTGTCTGTTAACGAGTTGTTTGCATGAATTGATGCTACTTAAAAACCCCCTTGACAATGATTGAATATGTTAGGCGCACCATTGGCATTGAACAAACAGAATCGAATTTGTTAGTAAATAAATAGCACAGTTGATATCTAACAATCGGTAACACAAAATGATGCGAAATAATTGGGGGATGGGATGCAAAACGTACCAATAGTGCAGAATATCCGGGAGAAATGATCATACAATTTTGACAAAGTTTTCAAAATTATGTATCCCGGAGGGTCGCTAATGCTGCACTAATGGTGCAATTGCCTGCCGTTTTTGTTGCACCATAAACGGCATATATATAATGAATATATACATATAAGAGTTGTGATCTATTTTGTCGGCTTATTCCGCACCTTCAGTGCAAAGTTCTGTCTAAATCATTATAACAGGGTGAGCTATTTCTAACGTTACTACAGTTTATTTAATACTACTTAGGACACTTCCAGCTTACCCTCAATCTTCATTTGACCCAGTGGGTCCGCTTTCAAGGTCAGCAGGTCAATTTTCTCAAGAAAGCCAGGATTGCTCGCTTTTTGGGGGCAAAATATCAGCGATGTTGGAGGGCCCACATTATTTGATTCATTGCGGATTCTTTCATTATTAGATACAATATTTATCTGGGGTTATAATAATAACAATTTGTCACCTCTGACCTCTTTGGTTATCATGCCACATGAATAATTAAGTTTGGAAAGTTATTTTACAGCACCCTCCAACTCTGAGGGCCCTGAAGGGGACATTTTTGAAGCTATCCAAATACAACTTTGCAGACATGTTTTTGAGGATATTATCTTGCTTGCCTACGAAAATCAGCTCAAAATTCGAAGTTGCACCAGAGATATTCAAGTGCAAAGTCGTATAAAGCATGTCGATTCGCCTTTTGTATGAACAGTTTACTTCATAAAGAATTTAAAGTGTATTTATACTTTTCATAAGGATTTAACATTATTTTTTAGAGTGCATGATTACTGAGAAAAACGGGTCCAAGAATTTACAACTCTTACCGAGTAAACGACACTCTTTTCATGCAGATATCAATCCATATAAATAGCTGAAAGTTTTCAGTGCAAAACATACCCAGTTTCATTTCGTAAATATTTACTTATCAGCCTTGACTTACATATTTTGCTAACGGGTAGAAAAAATGAATAAACTCATTTTTTCCGCGTTTCTCATTTTGGGCGTGGTCGCATTATGCGCTTCGATTGAATTCGAACGTCCTAGTTTCGAGATCCATCGTAAAAGTGACGCCATCTCGGATTCACTTGCCTACGGGGAAATACAAAATTCTAAAGATCTGGAACCCGTCCTTATTGGCGAGCAAATTCATCACAGAGAAAAACGGGCCCGTATGTAAACCCATAATTTGGAAATTTATACCAATATTTTCCACAAAACTAACATAGACATTCAACTATTTATAGGAAATCGTGGCAGAGAATGGAACAGAGGGCGAGGTAACAGTCGAGGTAAAATATTTATACACTCTTAAAAATCGTGTTGCACTTTTTGAAAATTATGTAAATGCAGTCTGAGTTATATATGTATTTTTGTAAACGGTACTACATCCAGAGTAACGCCAACTTGATAAAAAGTAAAGTTTACTCTGGATTTGTACAGTTTAATTAATATAACATTCAGAGTGCATTTATTAAGTTTTGGAGAAGGTAACATTATTGTTAAGAGGGCATACATATCTCAATAATATTCTTTGATCTGTTTATGTATGTATGTATCTATGTATATATTAATACCTTGTTGCATTTTAAGGTTGTGTCGGGAAAAAGTGTTATTACGCTTGGCAAAGGGGGTAAATATTAATCAAGGCGGAGCTTTGCCAATAAATTGTCTACAAACCGTTAAGGTAATTTTTTTTATGAAAATATTCAAAATTATCTATATTATAAGAGGCAATGTCTGTTGGCAACGGAAGTGAAGGTAAATCTGTCTGTGACGGAAGTTTGTCCGTGACGGAAGTGCAAGTAGTGAAAGCCAAGTTTCGAATGGCGCGAAAATTCAAAAACCTTAATTTAAAATATAAATGTTGTTTATCAAGGTGTGGCGGCCTGGTGGGGTTATCGAGGCTTTGCTGGCTGATGGTGATAATCGGCTCGTGGGGTTATCGAGGCTTTGCTGGCTGATGGTGGTTATCGGGGTTATTGCGCCCTGATGGTGGTTATCGGGATGTGGCGGCCTAATAGTGGTTATCGGGGTTTGGCTGCCTGATGGTGGTTATCGGGTCTCTGTTGCCTGATGGTGGTTATCGGGTCTTTGTTGCCTGATGGTGGTTATCGGGGCTTTGTTGCCTAATGGTGGTTATCCGGTCTTTGTTGCCTGATGGTGGTTATCGGGTCTTTGTTGCCTGATGGTGGTTATCCGGTCTTTGTTGCCTGATGGTGGTTATCCGGTTTTTGTTGCCTGATGGTGGTTATCGGGGCTTTGTTGCCTGATGGTGGCTATCAGGGTGTGGCGCCCCGATGGGGGTTATCAGAGTGTGGCGCTCTGATGGTGGTTATCCGGGTTTGGCGCCCTGATAATGGTTATCGGGGTGTGGGGCCCAGGTGGTGGTTATCGAGGTGCAACGGCCTAATGGGGGTGATCGGGCGTTGCCATTGTCATTACCATTGTTAGTTAATTTTGGCGGTTATCTTATTGAATGCCGTTGCCGTTGGCATTGCCTTGGCAGGCTTGGTTGGTAGACGCGTACCACCCAGTTAGACTGCCACTCTTACTGCCAATGGCAATGGCAGTTCCATTGGCAGACCGGCCTGGCAGAATTTACTGATCCAAGCAGGGTGCCACACACACTGCCACTGGCAATAGCAGTACCTATGACAGATTGGGCTGGAAGAGACGACTGAGCCAAGTGGGGTGCCAGACAAACTGCCAGGCAATGGCAGACTTGGCTGGAAAAGATTACACAGCCAAGTGGGTGACATTTAATTTTCCACTTTAACTTTCGTTATAAATTGCTTTCACTTCCGTTGGCGTCAAATTGTTTTATTAAATAAATATCCACAAAATATTTAACTGGTGAAATTTTGATAATATAAATTATCATCTCTCGCCCGGCGGGAGACGGGCTTATACTCTAGTTTCTGAATAAGACAATGTTTTTTGAAACCTTATTTAACGATTATTTTATTTGCATAGGTACATAAATTGGTGGCCATAACGTTTCCAACATATACCTCAAACCGAGTACATAATTTTAATACAATTTTTTGTAACTTCATTCACCATAAATAGGTTCATTTAATGCATCTCCATTAACCTCTGTAGTATAGAATTCTCGGTTAAATAGACTCATAATAGGATCGATTTATTTATTATTTGACCACTAATAAAGTAATAAATCCTTCCAAAAAAATTCATGTCACAAAATATAGAAGTGCACATTTTAATTTGTAAATTCATTAAGTTTTGCATAATAACATTGACTTTGGCGGAAATTTGGATATGCTAATAAATAAGTAAGTATATAAAAAATGTATAAATTTCCTTAGCTATACACACTCTTAAAAATACGGCAACCCTTTAGAAAAATAAAAAATGCACTCAGAATTCTAAATTATGTAAACCAATCCAGACTGAACTTTTCTCTTTGTTCAGTTACCATAAATCTCGAGTTACTTCATTTAAACTCCAGAGTTCATTTACTTTTCACAAAGGGTGACATTATTTTTAAGAGTGCATAATTCCTACATATATACATACTTATTGCTATAATATAAATTTTAGGATCCACAAAAATATTTATATGTAGCTAATCCCACCCACCCATATTTTCCAGCTTTAATTTCATCCTTGAAGAAATTCATGGCTCAATCTCTCACAGTCGGAGACCACGATTTCGCGATCTCACGAAATTCAGTAGCTCGTCGGAATCTTCGCACACGAAAGGTTTCAAATGTTGGCAGGCAACCTAAAATAATATGACCGAAATGAGTGATTATCTGTTTATTAAATTGTACATAATCAAAATGTTTACTCACGTCGTGCCATTTAACTCCGTCACCTTTTCAGAAAGGTATAAATTTATTAGCAAAATTTTCCCCAAATTCACAATGTTAATGAATTTTAAATAAAATATGTCATCGATTTCATCATGAATGTTTAAATAAATATGTCACAAAAAAATTGTTACCCACCATAGAAATTATTTAAAATGGAGAGACAAGCTTCATCGTTGCCCTGAAAAGGTAAGAATTTCATAAGAATTAAAAAAGTGTAAAAAATCTTTGTTTTCCTTAATATATAACGCAATTATTCGTAAACCATGCAATGGTTTTTGCTCGAAAAGATAGAAAAATTATTGTAGATTGTGTAACTTATACATAGCAGTCTGGCCAAATTGTAGGCCTTGCTAGCTTTGTAAAATCTGCAAACTTTACAAATATTCCTAAGGAAGATGTGTTCAACAATTTTTGTAAGTTTGTTAGATCAAAGGCGTTTTTTGTTTTGTCGGAGCTTGTAAAATTATTTCACACAAATTACGGATTTTACAAGGTTACCAAGGACTAAATACGTCGATTGCGGTAAAGTTTAGAATTTTAGACATTTGTCATAAACTGAAAATTGCTAAGTTATATGCAAATATTGTACCTGTCCAATCTCCCTATTGTCCGGTTGGGCCCTTCCCGCCCCGCCGGAATGTGACCAATCTCCATTCGCGCGATTATTCGTGGGTCCGATTTTGACCCCGGATCCTGACCAGAACCATCCGTTGATCAAATTCGGTTGTTGGTCGCGTCTGTTGCACCCTTCAAAGTTGCATTTCCTCCCGGACGTCCAAATGTACCGGATCCGGGCATTTGCTAATCTCTGTTTGATGAAGTTGTTCTCATCCGGCGTCTCCATGGAGACAAGGTCCATGCAGTGACGTCTGCAAATGTTGCGCGCATCGAGCCAGTCGACTTCCAAGTTACGCGTGCGGGGATGTTCCCAGGAGAAAAAGTAGTTGTGATTGCCACGTCGGGCGTGACGAACCCCTGCAAAACATAAGTTTTTGTAACTTTGTAAAATAATCATTTTGTAAAACGTATGCAAAAATCTGTATGTATGTTTGAGAAACGTGTTAAATAAGTATTGTAATTTAGTGATTTTTTTACAATTTTGCACATTACATTAGCATTAAAATTATTTCGTAGATTTTTAAATTTGCAGAATATTGGTCGTTTTTTGCATGCATTCATATTGTTAAAACTTGACTGCAATTTGAGGTTAAAAACTAAGGATATTTTTTAGAATTTTTTAAGAAATTTTGAAATTTACGAAAAGTTTTCGACATTTAAATTAATCTAAAACTTTATGCGTGTTTATCAATTGCATATGTACATATATTTCTGAAATTTACAACTTGGATTACAAGGTTTACAAATTTTTCACACATTCATGAAGCTAATGCAAATATCCATGTATACATTTAAATACATAGACGCTGATTTTTTCATACTTTGTAACTTAATTTTTATAAAATTGAATTATATGTGATTTGTTAAATTTTGTTTTCTATTTATTATTATGTTGGAATTTTCCAAACAATTAAACAATTACGAAACTTGACGTGAATTAGACTGAAGGTTAAAAAAAACTTACGATTCACACAAGATCTCGGATCCGGTTGGGCGAGTTGTCTTTGTCCCTCGGTGACCAAGATTACGCAACCCAGCAACAATAAAATCCCCGTTTTTATCATTTTCTTCTCCGGTTAAAAGCGAACTCAATATTAACTTTTTTTTGTTTCCACAATAATAATACAATTTACAAAAAAAACTTTATAAAATTACGAAATATTTTTTTTTTACAAATAATTACTCAATATTTCTTGCCAGAAGAAGCAGCAATGCAGTGTGACGACGACGGCCAATTCTATTATGACACAATTTTATTGTACGAATAACTTTTGTGGATTCTTCTTTTGTCAGAAATTGCACAATCCAGCCAACTCTCCAAGGGGGACAGGGTGCCAAAAAAGATGTTTTATATGCAACATGTCTTGCCTCGTTGTTTAATCTAATCTCTGTGTCCTCTAATTAATCCTCAATTTACTTTTTTTGTATTTTCCAACAGGGGTACTCATGACAAAGTCGTTTTTCACCTCATATCTCACTTTTTTATAGCAAATATTTATTTGTTCCTAGTAATCTCGGAATATTCCAATTTTGTTAGATTTGTTAGAAAATTTATGGAAAAACCCTTAGGGGCATTCACGACAATAGCATTTTGCTTATCACATCTCATTTTAAAATAATAATTATTTTACGAAGGAATCCTGCAATATAAAATCTTTTGTGTTGGAAGATTTATGCACGAAAAAATCCTTAGGGGTATTCGCGAAAATGTAATTTTTCACATCATACAGATTTGATACAGATCTGCATTTGGCTTTAAATTAGCAAAATCTTATTTTTAGATAGATCCCTGCAAGTAAGAAATGCTTGAAAATTCATGGAATATTTTTTCCCCAACCCATTTCCACATTTAGGAAAATTGGAACCTTTTTGAATTTGCAACGCTTTGTTAAGCACATTTTCCTAAATCCGTGTCAGAGTAAACAATAAAACGTTAATAACACATATTTTCGAATTTTGTCAACCAGATTTCCATAATTTTTAAAAACCAAAATACATAAATTTCTATCTATTAAAAAGTACGAATTCATAAAAAACACGATAAATCGCACCCTGTCTTATTGAGAAAGGCTTCAAAAAATCCCTGCGAGTGAAGGGGACCAGAATAACTAAATATTAGGATGCATTGAAAGTGAAGATTTTTTATGTCCACAATTCATCCATCACTTTATTCCTTCGCTAATGGTGGTCTTCTTGGTGGTGGTGGTGGTGACATGATAGTGAACGTAATCAAGTTTAATGGCTGAATCGTGAATCTCTTAAAGAAACACCTTCACTATTGACCCACTTTTCCCCCTTTGTGCATATCTACATACCCCACCATGGCGAACTTAATCCTTAAGTGATGATGTTTTTTTACGCCAATATTACACAGTGGCCGCGCAAGGCGTGAATTATTAACATTGTAGGATACACTGCTAAAAATGTGGTAAAGTCATATACATACATACACTCTGTGATAGTATAGATTTGGTAGTAACTTCTACCCGGGTTGGTAACAGTTTGATTCGGAGGGGTAAATTTTTATTACCACAACAATATACTTCTCCACTACAAGGTAATATCCGTTATTTGTTACCGCGCACTCTACAAAATTCGGTTATGATTTTAACCAGAAAGTAAACATGCAACTGCCATGGTTATAAATTTGTTATCGAATGGTGATAAATTTATCACCACTGGTATTATTTTTTTTACTAGTGGTGATGAATTTATGTATGAACAGTTGGTCACAAATTTATAACCATGGTGGTAGAGTCATGCATACGTTTAATTTCTGGTGTTGTTATAATCGTAACCGTACTTTTTAGAGTGTGAAGTATGCACGCGGTAATAATGCAATACCACTTTGCCAAGAGTGTAAAGGAGTGAGGGATTTATATATTTAACATGGGCAGATGATTGAAATACCCGTGGGGACATTGTCCCCTCTAATCCCCTACGCTTTCGCAGCCACTGGTCTTACGTAATAAATAAACACAGCGGTATGCAACAAATACAACAAAGTTTTAAGGTTTATGCACCCGTGTTGATATTTAAGTTTTTATCGTAATTACTGATGGGCAGAAATTATATACACACAAAGGATGTAATAATCGTTGTTTGCCTGCCAATCTTTATTTCGCATGGGTGCATTTTACATTGCTGAAAAAGTTTAAATCACAATTAAACCTACCCTTGAATTTTGCTTACAAATTTTTGAGTTTTTAGGGGAGTTAATTAATGTAATATTATTTATTACTTACTAAATTCATTGGAACTCATTGGTATTGTAAACTTCTGTCGTTCTTCAAACATTGGCTTTGAAAACTTTACCAATTTTGTGCAAAACTTACGGCTTTGGTAACCAGGGCGCTTAGAAAGTGAAATTATGAAAAAACATGCTTTCAATGTTTAACACCGTGGCATACCTGTGCAGCTTCACTCAATTTAGGTAAATTGAGGCTTCATTCACGATGAGGGAGTGAAGGAGAGTGAAGCTGAGTGAGGGAGTTGAAAAATTTGATTGAGTTAGCGAAGGTGAGTGAGGGAGGCTGAGCCGAGAAGTGAGTGGAATGAAGGATGAAGGAGTGAAGGAGATGAAGGCTTCATCTCTCTCACTCATTCATCTCCGGGAAAAAAGGGTGAAGGAATATAACGTCGTTGAAGCTGCCAAAAAGGCCTTCTCCATTTTATGTCAATTGACATAAAATGGAGAAGGCCCTTTTGGCAGCTTCAACGACGATAATTAGTTTAGATAATAAAATCACCGCGGCCATATGAAAATAGTAAGTCTCATATCACCCCAGGAAATTCTCGCGTTGCCCCAGGCTCGTCTTACATTGCCCCAGCCCAGTCTCACATTGCCCCAACCTAGTCTCACATTGCCCCACTAGATGGCGCCAAAATATTTAAATCATGACGACGCGAGGCACTTAATTGAATGAAAGATAGAGTGAGGAAAGTAGCTGAGTAAGGGGAATGAGGAAGTGAAGGGATTGAGTGGGAGTGAAGGGAATGAAGGAGTGAGAGTGGAGTTGTCAGTGAGTGAAGCCTCACTCAGCCTTCCTTCGCGCGAGTGAGGGGAGTGAAGGGCAACTTGACTTGAGGTGAAAATGAGTGAAGTGGAGTGAAGGCATTTTCACTTGCACAGGTATGCACCGTGGCAAATTAATAAGAAGCTAACAAATACCAAAAACTGCTACAAAAAACTAGATTTCGCCATGGAATTTTTATAAAAAAAATTCGTGATTAAAATTGATCTGTAAATATGGTGCACATGTCAGACATGTTTCACACGGATCTTTTTGAAGCTAGCACTAAAATATCAAGGAACTACCCAGGAGACAAAAACACAACGACTCTTTGCGACTTCGCAACGAAATTCAACAGCGAGTCGTTGCGAATCGCTAGCGAATCGACGTCGAAAAAAGAGCTACATGACCGCTGACTCTTTGCGAAAGAGCAGCGAATTCGCGACTTACGCGACGACTCCGCGCTACTTCGTAGCGAATTCGAGGCGAGGTTTCGTCATGAATTCGATGCGATTTCGCTGTTAACCCGTTATGAATTTGTCGTTACACATTTTGTATGGCCAATTTAAAATATATTTATTAATGGTAACACCAGGACAACAAACTTAAGTATTATAGTGAAATAGTTATTTTTAAGGAGTCTCATTGTTCTGTCCAACTGTATTTTCGGGGTTCAAAGGTGTGAAGCTGGGCGAAGCTTTCCTATAAATAAATAAAAACACATTTAGTGTAATTTATCATCATTTTTCACCATGCTCTCTGCTTAATGAGAATCGCTTACATTTTCTTCATATATCTATCAGCTGCCCTCTTCAAAAATTTTTGGTAAGGCTTCATCAATAGATTTTCTTGTAAAAGGCATGGCACAAGCTTAGTTGATAGACTTTCTAAAATACACAATTGTCGCGATTAAGTTTTCTTACATACATGAACATAAATACTGAAACAAGGATTTACCAAATATAGCTTGATTAAGTTGAGGATAAATTAAAAATGATTTTTTCCCACTTCGTCCCTGGTAACTTGGTCGTGAAAGTAATTCATCCGAACATAAGTATCGTGCCATTAATTCCAAGCACTCTTCTAAGTTATCTCCTCCAGATCCCAAAAGCACATTATTCTGTATGGAAATAAAAAATTACAACTTTGAACTTTTGGAGATCAAAGAAATAACAAATAAATAGTTCAAGTAAATACCAATTCTCGCCTGGGAGCAAGACCTTTCAACATTTGTTCCAAACTATCCAGGGAGGCCAGGGTCCGAAGAGGAAAAAATTGCCCAGGGAATGAAAATAATAGATCTTCTATTTCAGGGAGGTCGTTGCCGCGAGTGTTCAGCAAATTAAGGATGTTATTCAGCTGACGTCCGTGTTGATTTTGGGCATCTTAATTTGGTGAAGTTGAGCCAAAATTTCTCTCATAATTTCTACAATAGTGCATAGAATATATATTACAAAAGTCTTGATTATCAATCATAAAGTTTAAATTCTTAGCCGTGCAGTATTTAATACTATTATTACTACCAGGGATACTGTTTGTAGTACTCGGTGTGATGCCTTGGGTCTGTCCTTCTGGCGACACCAAGATTAAATTGCCATCATATCCAGGTAGAATAAAGTAGGTCGTCCCTTCGTTATCATTGTCTTGTCCCAACGCCGAAATAATTTCTGGAGGATTGGTAGTTGGGGGAACTAATAAAATAGCTGGCAGCGTGGACGAGGATATTTTAGTTCGAGTGCCGCTGTGGATCTCAGAATCACTGAACTTGTTTCCAGTTATCGCCCTTGGAAGTTTCTCCGCTGCTGTTGTCTCGTAGGACTCTGCAACGTATTCGTGTATTAATCGAGGAGAGTAATTACCAAACTAGCGTGTAAAATTAAGTTTAAGCTATACTTACCAAAATATTTCAGTACCGCTGCTTCATATACTGCCCAATGATTTAATGGTGCACCGCTTCTCTTTTTTATTTTCTTCACCCCTTTCTCTCCTGTTGGTGGAAACTGGCAATGTGTCGCCTGGTCGTTCAGCCAGCTCGTTGGAACAATTTCCACGGTGTCGTCGGAAGGAAAGTGGACAATGGCATGGGTTGAATTTGACTGGTCGATTTTCAATCCGAGTGAATTAGTGGGAAAACTACAAATCTCCGAGTTTTACTGAGGGGAACACACACATTTATGGGTCACTTCGGAAATTGGGACGCAAAGTTCAATGGCGTCTACTTTCTTTAAGTTCACTCTGAAAACTAAAACATAATTGGAGTCATAAGGATGATCAAAATATTTTCTGGGAGAGGACACAATTTCCAGTAAGATATATTGCATCTGATTCATTCACAATTTTGCTAACGACCAAGATTTTTTCACATTTAAGGAGCACAATATTATTGGTTAACTTTACACTGATTTTGAATTTTTTGTAAGTTAATTTCTTTAGCATGGTAATTTAAACTTGTGGAAATGTTACTCGCGGAATTTGAAGTTTCTAAAATAAAATTTTGCTCGGATAGTCTTTTATGATGGAGAGGAAACTTTGAACTTTTGATTAAACTTTTAATTTTCTCGAGGTAATTCTCAAAACTAAATGCGCTTAACTGGTCTTACGGTCCGTGATTTTTTACGTCTGCCGCCAGAATTAATCCGTATACATTGTAAGACACGTTCTCTCGCCCGTATAATTCTGATGCTGGAGGCGAAGCGAAGTCGTTGTGATTTCGCTAAGAAATCGCAGCTCGATTGGTTGACTTAATTGTTGCTCGAAAGTCGCTGAGAATTCGCTCCGAATTCGAGGAGCTTTTTCTCTCATCGAAAATACAGCGAATTTTTCTTCACGAATTCGTAGCGAAAGTTCGTAGGTCTTTCGCTGTTACTTATTTCGCTGCGATTTCGGGCAGAATTCTACGTGAAGTAGTACTCGAAATCGTGGCGAATCTTCGCTGCAGCGAATTCGCTGTGTTCGCAGAGATTTCGACCATCGAATTGTTTACTGGGTAAACACAAACAACAATTGGTGTAGCACTTCAGCATTTCTGCACAATTCGCGAAATGGGGAAGGTTTTAAGTTGACAAAAACTCGTATTTTCACAATCCGAAACTATACGGTTCCGCTTTCCGATTTTCTCCTCATCGATTTTCACCTTCCCTTCAAAATTTAATTTGTTAATTTCCCAACCAAGTTCTCACTCGGTTTTTCATCTTTTGCGTTTAAATAATTTGTTCACACTTTCTAATATTTGAAATTAATTTAATTAACTTCTACAAGTAGAAACTATCAGTGGAAAGTATTTTCAAAATTGGATCAGAACAGCGGATTCTATTTTTTCAATTTCTTTCTTTCACGAATCCACTATTCTCAACCAATTAAAAAATAATAATTTCCACTTAAGAAGTTAATTAAATCCATTTAAAATAATAAAAATTGTTAAAACATCCTTTAAAAGTCTCAGATGGAAATCGGATCAGAACTTGGTTATGAAATTAATAAACTCTTGGACGTAGGGCGAAAACCGATGACCTGGCGAAGAGAAGCGCAGGAGAAAATCGGAAAGCGGAGAGGTGAACACCATATACTTTCGCATGGTGAAAATATCTACCAGTTTTTGCCAACTTAAAACCTTCTCCATTTCGCGAATTGTGCAGAAGTGCACAAGTGCCACACCAATTGTTTTTTGTGTTTAGTTCCTTGATATTTTAGTGCTGGTTTCAAAAAGATCTGTGCGAAACATGTCTGACATGTGCATTGTTAGATGCACAAAAATTAAAACAAATGTACGCCTTTTTATCTGTAATTATTGACTACAAAATGGGAGGGAATTATCAACTCCTAGTAATTTATGATAAGTACGACTAAATCATCAGTCATCTTCACTAGACTTTCATTAACAAGTTTGTCAATTTTATTATGATGCTTGTTGATTATTATTATCATTCTATGTAATCTTTGAAATGAAATAAAGTATGAAATAAAAAATAAATATTAGTCCATGTAAAATACAAGTATACAAGTGTCGTCACTAAATATATTTACTGCTCTGAATTTAGTTTTATATATGTACATACACATGTTTACATGTTTGTCTTTACTTTTCCCGACCCAATATCCCATCATCTTTTGAGAAGCTTGGCCATCAAGTCTGGTCAATATTGTCCATATCCTTTCTGTATGGAACTTTTGGTTTTTCAGACACTCTCAAGATTGTCTTGGTATTTTTAGTTTCATTTTCAACGTCACCGTTTTTTGGGATTAGTTTTTGGTGTTATCTGTTTTCCTTAAATTATGTATTCCAAAACTTGATATTTGTTTGTCGTCATCATGGGGTTTTGAAGCTTTTAACTTATCAATATCTACTGGAGCATGTGAACTGTCCTCCTTGGCTTTTTGTTTTTCCAGAAATTGTTGCAGTTTAGCATCCAGAAGCAAAGGGCTTTTCTCCTTGAGAGAACTTGGGATTATTTTTTGTTCAATGTCTTGACTCATAGATTTTGCAGCAATTTTTCTTTGCAGCTCTGCGAAGAGTGAGGATTTCTTTACGATCGTACCGTTTGACTCTTCACCTTCATAGCCTTCATCAGCTTCTGTGTTGGGGATCACTGCTGGAAGTGGAGGTGGTGGAGGTGGCATTGACCTGGATATATCTGCGTAATAGTAAGTCATTTATAATTTTGATAATCTTAAGCTCTTTTACAAAATAAATACACGCTGATTCAATATTAGATAACATATAAATTATACCAAGTCAAGGGTAAACTTATTTATAAAATTGATATTACTCTGGATGTAGAGTTTAAATACTTCATTATGAATTAAGGGCGCACTGGCTTTTTAAAATGGTAACATTGTTTTTAAGAGTGTAGAGTACTTTGGAAATAAAGATAATTAATAACCTGAAGTTTGAATTTTGTGTTCCAGTTCCGCGTTTCCAGGGGGACATTTTAGTCTTATATAACCCTCCAGTTCTTGCTTGAAGATTGGGGAGACATGTTTTGCTCCAAGAGCGACCAACCTGCTTAAAATTTTGGCTGGGCTCTGTGGGCTGTACACCTCTAAAGAATTAGATTTAAATATTTACCCAATGTATGTCATATGTCATAAATACATTTTGTGTCAAGAATCTTGACACAAATATATGAAAATAAATATAACCATAAATCAATAAATACAATTCTGTAGATGTGCAGCCTACCTTTCGAAGAAATAAAATTTGAAAATTATGTGGAAGTCGAATGCTTAAAATATTCAATTTGATTTAACTTGGCACTAATCATAGATGTACTTCAAAGTTTTTGATTCGCTTATAGCTATTCTCAAATTGACAATATGGCTAGTGACTTAAATGTTGGTTTTTCTAGTTTGGGCAGTACAAAAACCATGCAATGATTGAATGTCAGAGAATTGTGTCCCCTACCCCCATGGTGTCCCGTATATGCCTCGTGTCATAACTAACAAGGGTGCCTTGACCCACGTCCCTCTCCGAAACGAATACACCCTTATTACATGGTTTATTTGTCGGTCATATTAAGGTTCAACAAATTGTATCGTGTATGAAAAATTAGCTCGAGCTGTATGTAAATACGTATTTTCCACGTAGTGTTAACTTAATTAATTAACTTAATTATTAATTAACTTAATTAATTTGCCACAATTTCAAACAAAATAGGCAGAGATTCGATTTCTGGCCCCTCTATTATGGCCAATTGTAATTTACATACTCTACAACCTCAATGAAGTCTGTTATTTTAGAATCCGCCCAAGCCTGTATGGGTCAGACGGTTTTTTATGACCCAATCTAGATGGATTGGTTCTGATCCGTTTTCTCACAACTCGGGTGAGATTGGATCGGTTGTGTAAGGATTCGACGAGGTTGAATCTGATTGAATCGGTTATTAACATCGCTAACAAAGTCAGAATGAATTTAATTTGATTCAACAAGATTTAGATCCGACCACACCGTGACTTCAACCCCTGTACCAGTTTTAGGCCAAAAATATTTACCAGCTATACCCTTTTCCATCATAATTTTCCACTCCGAGATTAAATTTCTTGCAAATATTGTATCCGGATGGGACTTCGACGATTAAAAATATAATTTAATGCCTAATTTAATAATAACTGTCGAGGAATGAGTGATATTATATATGATTGAATGTGTTGTTTATGTATGTATGAAAATGTGTCTCACTTTGTTCCCTTATTTTAAGTGTACCGCTTTGCCATTCTTCTGGAAGGCGAGAGAAGCATTTATCCGTTATTTTTTATGTGTACGTGACAAGAGAGAGAGAAGATTAGTATTACTCGTAGACTTGTGTGAGAGTGATGTAGTGTGAAAGGCAGTAAAAAAGTAGTATTTTAATTTGTCGTTTAAATTTCTGAAAATTACTAAATAAATAGTTTTTTTCCTGTGTGAAATTTATGACTAGATTCTACTTTTCCTTTACACCTTGTGCAATCACTCAAAATCATAAAATTAATAACTAAAATACGGTACGCGACGTGACCACGACATAATTGAGGATAACTTGATTAGGTCCGCGACCGTAGCAATAACCATTGCTTAAAATTATCTGTATGTTGATAACATTTATCTGTGTACATGGGCTTATTAAAACATATTAAAGACGCTCACCTTGAAAATTTGGATTTACGTCATTTATTAGTTCTGAGGTACGCAAGTGAGTTTTAAAGTTCTGGGTCATCCACATTCTGTCCGATTCATTTAGTTTACCATCATGGACCAATCTTCTGAATATGTTCAAGAGGGCTGCATTGCCATCACAGTATTCAATTATTTCGTGAGGAAAGGTGCTAGCTTGTGGAACAAATTTCAAGGCTTGATCAGCATCGAATGGTTCAATTTGTATCGCCAAATCAAAATCTGCACATTCTTCTTTATCTTCTGTTATTACAATTAATTTGTAATAATATTCTTTCTGGAACTTCTGACAATAAGCGAAGTATTTTCCACAAGCTTTATGCGCCAAACTGAACCCGTCCAAAACTACGAAATCTGGTTGACTATTAATAAGTGTAATCACTAAATCATACGTTCGTCTTCCTTCACATGAAATTCCCAATTTTGTACAAATTTCAAGCAAGGAGCTTGAAAAATTGTTAAAATCTATCCATAAGGTTATCTTCCTAGGACTATCTGGCATGACATCCAAGTAAATGTTAAGCAGCCGTTTTACAAAATACGTCTTTCCGACACCAATTTCACCATAAACTAGAAGACTCTGATTATCATAAAAGATTTCTGATGCTGCTAACATTTCTGCAGGGCGAGGAATGTGGTCAGGTTCTGCGTTATAACGGAAGTGATATACATAATCCATGAGTAAAATAAACAGCTAATTAATAGACAGGTACGAAATAGGAACGTGTAACTCAAACTTGAAATCCGTGTGGTATCACAGCCCGGAGGATAGTTCGCGATACCAAAGAAATATACTTTATCTATCCCTTCTACTAACATCGCAAAGCGTTGATCCCTCCCGTGATCTTCACGGGCCTATTCATATCTCGTGTTTTAAAAAGTGGTGAAAAATCACATGGGTATTCCACGCTATAAATACATAATTTCCACGCTATAAATAATCATAATCTGCCGAATTAAAAGACATAAATTGCCAAGAAAACCGTTCGTAGTAAAGAAATACAGAAAAAGTGATTTCTTCCATAAATAATGCCTAAATTTTCTAGGATAATTGGGAAACGATTTGACATATATATGTCTATTAAAAAATTCTGTCGTTTAAAAATACATACAAACATAGTGTTGCTGGCAGCTACATACATGTAAAAATTTGAGTAACTGGGATAAGGTTTTATCGCGTTTTTCGCTTTATTTATGTCGTAGTATGTAACTTTGTTAATCGGACCCAAATTCTATGTAATAAATATCTGATTATTCTCACGTACGAAACAACCACATAATTAGGGTTAATTTTAATAAAAACATGATAAATCAGATCCGAGCTATAGTTACAAGTTCCCTTTCGTAACCTGTGTAATAAAAATTACCTTCATAATCCAGAAATTCAGGACGCGAGATGGAGGTCTTTCTCAAAACATTCTCTACATATGTATAATTTAAAGATAGTAAAAAATTGACACTTTGTAAATATGTTTATTGTTTAGCCTATAGTTTTTCTTACCCTTAGCCGTCGACATTCCACTACTTTCCAGTATGGTTAACAAGTCCCTTAATGTTGGATTTCCATCATTCATCGTTATCCAGTAATGACAATCTTTATAATTCGCAGTTTTGCATCTTTTTGCTGTTTGAAAATCAAACAATACGTTGGATCAATATTGAACAGTTTTGATAGCTGTGAACCGTTCTCGTCAAAGCGAAAATCCTGTTAAAAACGATCATATATAAGTTTGTGGTGTAATTTAAATTTGATCCCGTTTGCCTTTCACCTCTGACAGCTCATCAGCTACAATTGGCACCACTTTCTTGAAACAGTTCCTTAACTTAAAGTTTTCCATTTAATCGGATGAAACCAAAATTAATTTCGTTTAGTGAAACACGTATTTTATAGGAATGAATTTGCTAGCTGATTAATTTCCAGTGATATGCATGCACATACATATTTTACTCTTGTACGTGGCAGGTATTCAAATGCGTCGTAGTTATAATCACTCACTCAATCCACTTGAACAAGAGGATGAACAAACAAGATATGGATGACGAGGGGAGACAACGATGTCTGTGGCAGGGGAAATAAAAAATACTCAATTATGTAAACGCAAGTTTTGTTCAATTCCGTGAGTTATCCAAATGTGAAGGTGCGTGTACAGGTGGGATAAATGTACCGGATAAACGCTCCGGCTAAAATTCCACGACACTTTTATCTTTTCGGTATGCTGGTGGCAAGCGAAAAGTTCAGATAATTTATCTCGACTTTTCGCTCAGCGAAAAAACAGTTCTTTTTCGCTCTCATCTGCAGTGAAATGATGACAATTGTTGAGATAAATGTTCAGCTAAAAGTTGAGCTAAAATCATTGATTTTGTTCCATTTTACCCCAAGTCAGCGGTTTATTCAGGAAAATTTGTTCATTTTACGTGTACTTCGTTGTTTGGGATTCCATAAAATTTTTGATGGACAAAAAACCGAATCCACAGTGAGGCTATATTTTAAATTTCATTTATTATACGTATAAAAATTGATTGTCCTCGGCTGCACCGAATATCGAAGATAGAATTGGAAAACATAAAATGAATGGAGATTAGACAATAATATTAGACGAAAATAAATAGAAATTATACGAATAAACTTTTGCAAAGAATTGAGGTGCATTTAACAATGCCGCTGATTTGGTTCATCTTTCCCCAATTTTGGATATTTTATCCGAAATCCACGAATATACCGCCCAGCGAAAGGACAAGATAAAAATGTAGTGAAATGTTGAGATAAAATTCCGTTTGGTACTTTTCACGAACTTTGGTTTTTGTACCTTTTCGCTGGATTTTTTCGCCAGCGAAAAGGTACCACCAGCATACTAGGCTTGAGCAAATAATCTTTTATCTACATTTACTTATTTATGTGCCAGGCTATTCTGTTTAACCACATCAGCAAAATTAATTCACTCCTGCACTCTCAAATTTATTACGAAGTTGTCCAGAAAAAGTTACAATTCCCGAGTATTCCATCATCTACATACAAACTGTAGATCATTATTTCCATGGGTTGTCGACTCACTCACGAAGAAAGACTGAAAATTATTAAAATACTAATTAACAATTCGTACATGTTAGGAGAATGGTATCAGTTTGCCGTACACCTCGGACCCGTCCACATCCCGGCTTCGGATATACGCCTTTGGGTTGAAAATCAAACACATAAGCCAAGATTTCAACTATTTTCTGAAATTATAAATTCCTGGAAAAGTGCTAATGGAGACCAGGCTACCTTAGAGAATTTAGTAAAATGTCTAACAGACATTGGAACGGGTAACACATCTTGTTTAGGTAAGGACATTCTTTGCTTCAGCAACATAAGTTATGCACACTCTAAATAGTGTTGAGTAAAATTTGCGATGACACAACTGAATGTGCAAAATTTACTCAACAAAGGTAAAATTTACTCAAGGTTGTGCGAAATTTCTACCACGTTGGATAAATTTTAACTTTCAATTGGTAAATTTTGCACAACCAGTTGTGTTATCGCAAATTTTACTCAACCATGAGTAAATTATAATGAAATTTATATAGCGTGTATTATTAACGAAGGTTATGAATTTATTATCTTGACGTAGAAAGCATACTGCAAATTGGAAACAAGGAGGACACCAAGTGCAAAGTAGGGGATGATGACGACCTAATTTTGACGGACACATTTACCCAATTACACTCTTTTTTCCACCCAGAAATGCAGTATCTGTTTGTAACGAAGTACTACGAAAAATTTGATTTTCATAGACATGAGTGCAACATTACACTTTCAAATAGATCTTTTTGTAATTTTTTCCTTCATAAAAACTGGGCGTGTCCTACATGTGTTCCAGTTTTCATAAGCAGATTAGATTCTCTTGGAATTAACAAACATGATAATTGTGAAAAATTATTGCGCAAATTAGCGAAAATTTTGAATCCTTTACGAAATCATTTTAATGAAATGTACTATACAGTTAAATGTTTTAATTTGAAATATGAAGTATGTATGAATAATTTTAATGAATATGGAATAGGATAAAAACATTGCACTATTAATTCTGTCTGTGTATTGGCTACAATTTGGATTTCTATTTTGGTTTTTTATCCTCAGATAAGTGTGCTAATGATTATGTTATTTTTATAAATTGTTTATTTTATTATAATGTCACTTGTGGAAGAGCACATTTTGGACCTCTTTACTTGGAATTGTATTTTGTTTTATGATTATGATCACCTGCTGATTTATCTTTACTTGTTTTTTATATTAGAATAGTTAAATATATGGTATATTGACCAGTGTGTCACCAATGGTAGACCATTGTTGTTGTACTTGTACGATGTATGCAATGAATTGGGAAAGACACAGTAATAAAGATATACATACATTAAGGGCGAATAATATTAGACTGACGATGAGGGCGACAACAATTTACATAGTTTGGCAATATTAAATATTTATACAAAACGTTCATTATTAGAATATTGGAAATTTCCCTATTTATATTTTAATTTACCTTACAAAAATAAAGTTTGAACCCCATACAATGAACAGTTTTGAATAATTACAGCAATGACAATTTTTTCACATTACTAATGCATATGCGTATGTATGTGTATATGTTCATCTGAAATTGTCAACCTCTGTATAGAGCAATTAAATTATTTGTCAATTACATATGTACATATCTCAAAGCGAGTCAGAGTTACCAACATACGTACATTTGCAATATATGATATTCAGGTGGCTACGTGCATAAAGTTCAAAAGCATAGTGTAAGATTGATCATTTTGTTGGGCAATTATTGCATCACTTATTACGTACATACATATGTATGTACAACAATGGAAGTCTCCCACTGTATGCTCTGAGATTTTGACCCTTCTCGTCTCAATCGATCACAAATTTAATTAGTATGGAATTTAAAAAGGACACGTCTCCCAATGGGCAGGTTTGGCTGAGGTACATATGTATATGCATCCAAAACGGAGAAAACGAGGTTCATGCAAAAGTAACAAATTTTACACTTTTCAAATTTATCGCGCGTTTACTTCTTTTCGAAGCTAATACACAATTTGTGTCTCTGCCGAACCAGACCTGTCTTTTCCAAGTTTCATACTAATTAAATTTGTAAGAGATTGACACGAATTGTGTCAAAATCAGAGAACAAACACTGAGAGATTTCCATTGTTCGTATGCACGCTCTGTGTGTATGTATGTATGATAAATTATGCCTTGTGACTACGTAAATTTGAGAGAAATGATTTTACTGGGATTAAAGGATATTGCATATTTATCAGTTAATCCGATGATCACGTAATCCATCAGATGGATTACGAGATATCGTTTTTTAAGTGTGACAGCTCCATACTATGTTTTCGTCCTAATCAAAGATTAGCGCTGTAAGGAGATCAATTATCTGGCTGGACGTGCGTACTTATTGTTAAGCATATTTGCTTATCCGTGTCAGTTACCACCATTCAACGCTCAGTCAAGGTTGCATAGAAATTTCATACACACACAAATTTCTAAAAATGATTTCATACTTGTCTTGGCTGGTAATAAGTTTTCTCTGCCTTGTCAGCTTCTCGGCAGCTCAAGAAGATCATGGCGTTTCTACGGATGTGAATACACTCAAATTCAATTATTTCGGGTGAGTCATACATACACTCTAAATTATTTGAAGACAAATCGTCACCGTCAGAGGTGCTAAAATTGTGCACTATTTTTGGTAATGATTAAGATGGCTTTAATTAATTTCGATCAGGAAAATACCTAGGTGAAAACCTCACGTGCCAAACAGAGGTGACGTCACTATCCAACGCTAGCGTATAGAAAAGATTTAATATTCGGATAATAAAAATGTCCGTTTTTTAATACTTAAATATTTTTAGTCACGTTCGTTTGTTATGATTTTTTGTTTTATTTTCGGTCAGCGATATAGCGGCTCCTTAATCATGACCAAATTGGGTGACGATTTGTCCGAAAGTTATTAAGAGTGCATAGATTAAGAGATAAGTTTGATGTAGGGGACGTTCATGAATTATATGACGGAAGGGACCTAAGGTCCCAATAATATCGAGTATATGTCACACAAGCTAAGGATAGATATTTGCCATGTCTAGAAAATCGTGATTTTTCATGATTTAAATTTTTCTCTACATGATTAGTGAACGTCCCCCTATCCCATTAAGCCAGGCCCGTCAAGATTAATCATCATTATGAATCAACTTTTTAGGAGTGACAACTCTCCAGTTGAGATAACGTATGGAAATTTGGATTCCTTAAATGCCTCTAAATTCCTCCATTCTCGTCCAACAACTCTGATTATTGACGGATTTTTATCCACCTACCCGTCAAATATGTCCTTGGCGATGACAAAATGTAATAAATTTTTCACTGAATTTGAAAATTCAGTTCGAAATTTTTCATTTTTGATCTGTATTTAGCTCTCGAAAATTGTCATCGGTTCGAAACAGAAAACGCAATCGTGCTAGATTGGGGATCGATGTCCGGGGGTCGTTCCCCTCTCCTCGGGGGCAACTTGACACAAGCAATGGCAACCCTTTATCCACTCGCGGTTGCAAATATTTCTCCTGTGGGTCAAAGGGTGGCGCAGTTTTTAGACTTTCTGCGCGTGAATGGTCACATCAATTGGAACATGGTTCATATTGTTGGCCACAGTTTGGGAAGCCATATCGGCAAGTAATTTTTGTCCATGCTTCAAGTCAAGTTAGACATATATACCTGTTCATAACTTCAGTTTCCATTCATTCAAAATTCACTCATCTGGATTTCTGACTAAAGATCTTCATTTATGTTGAGTCATTTTCGTTCAAACTCATTTCAATTAACTTCATCTGATTTCATTTCTTACTTCGCCCCATGTATTGAGCGTTGGGTGAAAAATGAAGCGAGTGAGAAAGCTTTTCATTCACAATCATTCATCCTAAAATCCTTCAGCTATTTTCATTCAAATGACAGGAAATTCATTTTCATTCACTATCATAATCAGCCAAATGAATGAAAATGAACAGGTAGAAATTAAAAATGAGAGGGGTGACAAATCCTTTAATTCACAGTCATTCATCTGAAATTAAAGTATCCTTCACTAATTTTTATGGAAACGACAGAAATTGCATATCGATTCACTATCATACTCAGTCATATAAATGAATGAAGGTGAACAGGTATGTGCATATTAAGTGTAAATCGTACATTTACATAAAGTGACGAAAATTTTTTAAACTTGTGTAGCCGGCATGGCTGGCAAATATGCCACGTCACAGTATTCCTCCATAATTGGAAGAATTACGGGATTGGACCCCGCCAACACGGCGGGACTACCGCTACCTCTCGTAATCCAAAAGCTTGATGCTGACTTGGTCGACTTGTATTATACGAACAGTGGGGGAATGGGCGACACTCGGACGGACGCGGGAGATTTGATCGTTTACGTTAATGGTGGAAACAACCAACCTGTTTGCCCAGAGGAAGAATTAGTTCCAGGTGAGCCAACTAGGGGCGGTCCATAAATTATGTAACGCTCATTCTTCGATTTAAAGTACAGAAAAAAAATTATGTCAGAACACCCTTAAAAATAATGTTAGAATTTGAAAAAGTTAGCGAACTCTAAATTCTGTATCAAGTAAACAGTATTACATCCAGAGTAAATCTTACCCTACATCAAGCTAATCCTAAGGTTACTCGCGATTTAGTACTGGACCGTCCATATATTACGTCATCTAAAAGGTTGGTGGTTTTCTGTTGCTTATCTTACTCGTGTCAAGCTTAACATGTACAAGTAGTTGGCGGGTATTAAAACCGGCGTTTTTTATATCGCAATAGATGGACGTTCCCTATAATTTACTTAATTCAGAATTTAGAGTGCATTTAGTTTTCAAAATAGTAACATTATTTATTTAAGAGTAAATTGAGTTTCAATTTTAAATATTGTACTTGAGACTTGTAGGATATTGCAGTCATTCATACTCCTGGAGGTTTTACTCTGACACAATCTCCGTAAAACAGTCGGGTTGCCCGTGCTCCACCACGACCCCGGGAAACGCACCGAGCTGTTTTTGCAAGACTAGTTGTGACGATGCCTGCAGCGTGGGACCGGCCAGTTTAGGCTATATTCTTACCCCGGGGTATTGATTTATTTGAATAATTTAGAAATCCAGTATTGAAATAATACCACGCGGTATTCATGCTTACATGACTATACAAAAATGGTATTATAATTACGTAACACGGCATAGTAATAGCCCGGTATTGAAGTTTTACCCTGTTGGTGGTAAATTTTTAAGGAGTAAGATAATTTTAGTACCAGGCGGTAACAACTCTAATACCAAGAATCAATTCCTGTGTGACTATGCTAGATTTCTAGCCGTGTACATACAAACATTTTTTTGTATTTATTATTTTGATGATTTTCTTTCAGGGTAAAAGGTCTTTACCACGTCACTGTTAAAGAAGTTAGTGGTAAAGGTGAAGTCTTAAAGCCGGGACTGTACCAAGCCCAAATTTTCGTTATTGTTATGGGAATGCTGTTACACAAGATGTAAGGGATACCCATGAAAATGTGCAATAAAATATTAATTACGTTCGTATTTTACATGAATTAAAGTAGAATGAAATCCTATCCATGCCAACCAAGGTGAGAAATTGTACCTGAGATCTACAAATTTTATTTCTATGTAAATATTCGAATTATTCTGCATAACAATTTTCAAAATGAAAAAAAATCAATAAATCTTAACCGTATCTTACAGTGAATGTCATTCAGGATCAGTTGTATTATACACTCATAGAAAACTGGTATTAAATCATTACCGACTGGAGTACATATACATATTAACGGGAATAACGGATCAGTAATGTTATAGCAATGAAAAATTTACAATAAAATTTAAATAAATCACTACCAATCCGGTAACAAGTTATATGTAGCACTATGTTACTCTACCAGATTTTTAGCAGTGTAAACATATATGTATTACCACACAATGGCACGTCCTGCCCAGCGTGTAGCATTGTATTGTTATTTTGCCATTTTAACTGTAAGTCCTTATGCAAAGGGGGATAAATATTGAAATTACATTATCACATTTTCTCCTATTACGTCATTCCATATCAAAGAGATATCTTGTCCTTATGATATCTCTGTTAGTGCAGCAACGCGAGTTCTAAAAAATAAGTTCTCAAGTTTCCAAAAAAATTTGCAAAGTGAACCTGAAAAAATTTAGGTGCCTATCTCCTTGTCTGCTTTTGGTGAGCTAAAAATTTATAAATTTTAGCTAATTCAGTAATTTTAAAATGATAAAATTAATTTAAATTTGCTAACTTCACAACATTTAAGGAAAATCTAATTTATTAATGTTGTCCTTAAAACGCCAGAATTTTCCATGTTTCGTGACGCCATTTGTCGAATTTTCATCTTCCTAATCCACTTTTGGCTCTGGATTGAATACATCGTTATTAAAATCCTTCCGTCCTCCTTAATCCGTCCCCAAGTGGAGTCCGCGTGTCGTCTCGATGCGGAAAACAAGGGCATCGTCACCGTCGCAGATGCCAGATTTTACACTCAAGTCGCCTCCAAATCACTACTCGGATTGTGTGAAAGCTACAAAAAGGGCTGGATCCGAGTGATAAAACTGGAAAAAATGTTTGAAAACATTCTTCGAAACGAGGTCACGGACAATTTGGTCGTAAAATATAAAGAATTCTTGGATTATTTGGAATTCGACTTGTTTCGGGTTAAGATGGTGGAACCAATTTACGATTCGGGTACAGTTTATAAAAAAATTTGTACTTTCTTTATTCTCAATTTACGAAAAATTTGTTCAATTCTCAAAATATGGGCACTACGTAGAAATTTTAATTTGTTTAAAATTCACTACATTATAGCAAAAATTGTGATAATACAAATTTTCTCATGTTTCCCCCTAGACGCCGAAGTAACAGCGCTAATTTGCGGGAGTGACATTCTCGTCTCTTGCGCCTTATGGCTCTCCCCATCCGACACTTTGGACACCGCGCAGGCCAACAAGATGGCTTCCCTCGCCCTCCAATTGCGCCTCACACGTGGCATGCGCATCCTCGAGATTGGCGGCGGTTTCGGCTCCATGGCAAAATTCCTCGCCGACAAGCACGGCGTCCATGTCGTCACCACAACCACGTTGCGAGAAGAAGTCGAATTTGCTAAGCGAAATTGTGCCGGTAGTTCGGTCGACGTGAGACTCTCCGATGGTAAAAATTTGCTCGAAAAGGTCGAAAAATTCGACCGAATTTTAGCCATCGAAGTTCTCGAACATGTCTGGAGAACCGATTATGCCGATTTTTTCTCAAACATTTCCCAATATTTGAAACCCGAGGGGCTTTTTGTGCTGCAATGTAACGGGTTAAACGATTCGAAAATGGGAAATGTGAACGGATTTAATCCCGGGGTTCGTTTTCCGTATTTGAACGAGCTAATTACCGCGACACAGGGACATTTTGTGCTCGAAGAGTTAAAAAATATTGGGCCTCATTATGAAAAAACGTGGCAAGCGTGGGCCTCAAATTTTGCCAAGGGGAGAAAAAGATTCGCAGAAATGCGGGGAGAAGCGTATTGTCGAGAGTGGGAATTTGCGACAGCCTTAATGGCAACATTGTCGAAATTGGGAATGATACAGGTTTGGAATTTTACTTTTTCGAAAAAATCTGCCACAAATTTGTAACTTGATTTATGACAATAATAAACAGATTGGAAAAATATATAATAAAATTACGAAACTAATAATTGAATTGTATTATTTCGCATCATATTCAGTTTCAAATTTTAGACATATTTTCAGGAATACTAATTCAGCGCTGCATATTTAATATTGTTCCGATTTGTTCCCCAATACTGTAAGTAATGCGGTAAAACATGATAAAGAAAACAAGATACCAAAAACTTAACACAAACAATACAATTACATAGGTAGAGACACGTTAAAAAAATATTCCGTTTAAAACAATTACATACAATTTTGCGATTCATAAGAAAACCTGTAAAAATGTAACACAGGGACGTGACTTCATCAGTCCGGTACGTGGCACCTCAGAAAATCGGTACAGGCCATCCAATGGCACTGCATTACGTAGCAAAGCACATCCATAAATTTATTTGTATGAAAACCGTGTCACGTGCTTATTTTACTTTATTGTCTCATTGTCACCATTACTATATTTTCACTATGGCACAACCCGACCAGGCCGTAGCACATTAATAAGTATTATTACCATGATTATTCTTCATAAAAGTCTCCATAAAATTGGTATTAAAATACGTCCGATTCTTAATATTGAGTGGTTCATTTATAAGAATTTAGACAGATAAAAGCATGCAAATTTTGTCATCCAATTTTTGTTCAACATTATAGCACATTTGCCATTTTGGAATATTTATGACATCCTATTTATGTACAATTGACTAGTTGATACATAATTATGGATTATTTTTTCCCCAAAATTTCAAAACAGGAAGTCTTAATTAGTTATTTATCTAATGAGACGACATTTATGATTGGATCTCTTACACTACTCGTCTTGACGGTGATACTTTACAAGAAATGTTTCCACGGGAGTTACGAGTTGACAATGGTTTGAAATTTAAATACATTAATGTTTTTTTAAATTTGGTTATGTGCGTATTGAGTTAAAATATTTTTAAAATTTTAATAGGATTGCACTCAACTTGGGTTTGAAAACGTTGGACGGGATGGATTTAAAGGGCTCAAAAAAAGAGTTATGATCAATGAATTAAGAAAACGGAGGGAAGCGGTAGGTGGTTATCCAAACCCTTATCCGAACGGGTGGTTCAGAATTTTGGATTCGGCCCAACTTTTGCCCCAAGAATCTAAAGAAGTTAATGTATTAGGTAAGTTATTCTGATTTTGTTTAACGTTCCAAGGGCAAAAGGATCCCACTAATTTTGTGACACTCTAGGATAGCCTGGTTAATTCTAATGTTAAAAGTGCAAATTAATTTGGGAAATTAATATGTATTAAGATTTAAGTGTGCAAATTTCACACTTGATTAAAAAAAATTACACGACTGTTTAACCAATTTTTATAGTCCACAAAATAATCTGAAAGGTTATCTGGCAGATTAGTTTATGTTACTATTTATACATAAATTAAATAACCTCTAAGAAAACTTTCCGAGGAATTGAAATTATTGATTGAACTGGCAAAAAAAATTCGCGAGTCATATTTTGATTATCCGTGTGGAAAAATTTATTAACTTTGTGCAAACTTCAGGTCTAAATTTGGTCGCTTGGAGGGGCCCGAGTGGCGACGTGTTTGTCGCAGATGCGTACTGTCCCCACCTGGGGGCGCATTTAGGCGTGTCGAGTCGAGTTCTTGGTGATTGCATCGAGTGTCCCTTCCATTCTTGGTGTTTTGATGGGCAACAGGATGGAAAGCTGGTTAAGGTTCCATATTCTGCTAAGAATGGTATCCAGTCATAAAAACTAATTAATCGTTTACACTAACATGTGCACTCTTAAAAATACTGTTACCCTTTTAAAAATTGAATTCACTCTGAATTAAGGTAATTATGCTGAATCCAGAGTAAAGTTGACTTGATAAAGAGTTATTGTTTACTCTGGCTTTAGTTCATTTAACTTCAGAGAGAACTTACTTTTCAAAAATGTAACAATATTTTTCAGAGTGCACAGGTGTGTATACTACTTATATTTGACATAAAGTTGGTTCTTTCCTGTCACAGAGCTGCCCAACGTGAACCTAAAAATGTGGGAGACCCGGGAAATTGATGACACAATTTATCTCTGGTATCACGCAGATGGACAATGCCCATCATGGTATCCGGAGAGTGGATTGTCAAATACGGAAAAGAACTATAAATGTCGATCCATCGTTTCCGTTCAGATAGGTTGTCTTATCCAGGTGACTATTTAAATTAATTTGTGATTAATCATATTATTCAAATTTATGTTAGGATACTTGGGAATTGCCGAATAATCCAAAATCTACATAACAATTATTCCAAAATATTTACATTTCGAAATTTTTTTTACTGTAACGAGGGTACTAATTTTTCAATATTAAAGTTGTTACCGCTTGGTGCTAAACTGTTCGTAAAGATTTGGCTCTGATAAGTTCAAACTTTAATATCGTATTATAGATATTACAAGTTATTGTTGCAATTATTAAAATTTATTCACTTTTCCAGGATTTACCCGAAAATGACGCCGATCTCGCCCACTTTAATGAACTGCACTCTGATTTTTACCTGCTCACCGGGGATATGAAAAATTTTCGCATTCTTCGCCCCTTCATTCGCCATATTCACGAAAGCACGTGAGAAGCTGGAATGGGTGAGCGGAGTCATACCGCTCAAACAACGGCATCTCAAGGAATACAACTTTTTGGAAAATATACCTTTATGAAATTACCCTTCGATAGTATATACGTAAGTGTTTAAGAAAAACTAAGGGTGCGCTATTCTTAAAAAATTAATTAATATCATAAAGTCAAGTTGTCGCAAAATTATTCGCAATATCCATTTTGCCAACGGAGATTGGGCAAAATTCCTTTAGAGAAATATGTGCATAGTTAATCGTGATAAGGAGCAATAAGTCCGCAAAATTCGCGATTTCTGTTTTGTCAACGGAAATTGAGTAAATTCAGTTTGGCTCATTGCATATTTAGTTGATCAGGATCATTAAGTATCGCGAATTTTACTACTAATCATGCGAACACCTCACCACGAATATCGCCAGTATTAATAAGTTTCTCATCTTTCTTTGCAGTACGGGCCAGGAATTCAGCACACCAGGGCAAACACACCCACTGCTGATATCAAGCTATTGATCTCTTTCACCCCTCGGGATTTCATGTTGGTTGATTTTACCGCTAAAATTTACATGTCTCCATGGGTTACCAATATGACGGTTAAGTCTTTCGCGGATGTTTTTGTAAATCAGGTAAACACATAAGTAACAAGGTGAAAATATGTAATTGACAGAGATGGTTTGAATTCTTAAATTAAACGACGACAAATTTTTTCTGAGAGGCTAAAACCTGACCATGAAGATAGATACGTTGCCAATCCTCAGACACTTATAGTTTGTTTTAAAACACGTATAATAATGTGTTTACTACTTTGTACGATTTAGCTTACGCGGGATATTCGAGTCCTCAACAGGAAGCAGTACATGTCGAAACCCGTTCTGCTTTCGGAGGATAAAACAATCACAAAATTTCGGAGGTGGTACAACCAGTTCTACTCAGCGAGTAAGGATAAAAAAATTAAGAAAAATGAGGAAGAGTTGGAGTTTTGATTTTGCAGAAATCTTCACGATGCAATTAGGAATCTTATTCTCCAACATTCGTAATTTAATACTTGTTCAATTATGTGAATTTTTCGTACGTAAAAACTTCATCTGTATTGATAAAACTTTCGAACTGAAAGTTCCAAAAAGGATAAAATGATGATCAGAATTCAAAACGCCACTTAATTCCTTATTGATTAAAGTATAAAATTCCTCACACAAGTCAACATGAAAATATTTGAATATTTATTTTATTATGTCGTGTTTTCACCAAACTAAAAGGAAAATGGAAGATTTTTTTATGTGAATAAAGTTTAATTTGGAAAATTTTGTCAGTGGACTATTTAACTAAAACACTGATTGAAATTTGATGAATTTAATTAAATTACATAACTCGCTTGAACTTTATCGCTTTGTGCATATCCTTCAAATTACTTGGTAATAAGAATCGTACCAGTTTAGTGATCATATTTAAATATGTACATATTTATTGATTAAAGCAATTATGTAATGAATTAATTATTTAATCATGCTATCTGACAAAGACTCGGTTATTACGCAGTTATTTCAGCAGGCAGGTGAAAACACCAAATGGCTTGTCCCGTATCGTCCCTCATTTGCCACTTAACAATTAATGGAGTCTGAAACAAAACAAGAAGCGTTCATCAATTCAAAAATAACTATATGGTCGGCGCATTAAACTGGGTCAAATTCTTCCTGGCAGGTTAAATGGCACGCGTGTCTCAATGTTTGTTTGAGCGATGGTTAGTCTCTCACAAAAATTGAGAAAAATTTACCCCGCTGTATTACACAAACTAGATATGTCATGATTAATTATAAGTAATTAATCATAAGGACAAATAATTAATTATAATTAATTGGTCGCAACGAGTGACTTATATCATTACCGAGGGGTAAATCGGTTCCACCTTTATGGCAACGCCATACGTCCAGTAATCACCTTTAATTCAACAGAACGGCTATTTTTTTTGTACAAATATACCAATTTTTAATCGGTAACAATTAATAATTATTAATTAATACCCGCCGCCATGGGACACCAGCCGACCAAGATGTCGTCACAACCATTCACCGGTACGCCATTCCATGGAAGCTCTAACCCATCAATTATCCCGGTCACTTTAACCGTTAAATTGTTCGTATTTCGCGCTACAAAGTAAACCTGATTTTTAGCGGAATTGTAATCTTTTTAAATTTTCAAGTATTTACACGTACGAACGTCAAAATCCACCTCAACCTCGTAAGTATGTCCCTTTCGAAGAACGCAAGGAGGGGCCATGCAGGATGGAACGATTAAATTTACCGGAATCGAGGCCCCCGACTCATCTCCTATTTTGTAGAATGAAAATATTTATAATTCCGAGTGCATTTGTGTAATTTCACTTATAATGGAGATCAACCAGCGTATATCTACAATCAGATTTTGACCATAACCGGTGTCAGTCGATCGAAAATTTAATTAATATAATGCGACATCATGTTGACACATTTTACACGTTTAAAAGTTGCTGGGAGATCTTGTTCGAAAATTTTGTATTAATTAGATTTGTTACCGGCTAACGCCAGTTTGGTCAAAATCGGAGAGTATACGCTGGGAGGCCTCCAATCTCAGTTTTTGCTTTTACCAGAGTCACATCTTCCAGGTGCGACCGCCCCACCGAGTGCGACGGGTATTAGAACGGCAAAAATTATGGTAATTTTCATTCTTAAGGGATATCTAAATATGTTTACGTCTCTATGCTTCATGAGACTATGATTGCCATAATTCGGCTTAGGTTGCCAATTTAAAGGAATATTTTACAAAATTCCCAGTTTATCAATAATGATTTTATTATTAAGTGATCAATAGTGCACCTGTTGGCTTTGTGTACAATTAATCGAATGACTACAGTGTTCAGTATACAAAAAATTTAGAATGGAAAATTTTAATTAATTTTTTCGTGTAACGAATTAATTTTTAAGATCTTACGGTATTAGATTTTAACATCGCCATTTATTTACATAACCGGGTATGGAAATGCATACACACATTTTCCCAAATTTTATCAAATTACATAAATAGATCGAATTTTTTCCACCCGAAAATTTGATCTGGTAATCTAAGAATTTCCAATAAAGCAATACAATCACAGGCCAAAATACTGACGTTTATCCATTGAATTAACGAATAAATTTATTCAGAAGATTTACTATTTGAATAAAGCAATACAGCAACTTTCCAATTAAGCAATTAATCATCATAAACTTGTTTTATTGATTGGAACAACCCTGTCCAGAAATGGTCAAAGTATCAAAAGATTACAGATTAAACTTAACACCTGCACCTGTTTTGGCAACAGGTGCAGGTGTCCAAAGTTTGGATTCGTCAGTCACACCTGCAAATTACCTGTGCATCTGTACATTACTAGTTGGTCATTTACTAATTCTGTAATACAATTCTGTAATACAATCATTGACATCCTCGTGTCTCAGCGAGGTAAAAATGTTAACATTTAAGATTCCCAAAAAATATTGGAGATATGTATACATATTTCGCAATAATATTTATACTGATAAAATATTAAATGAGTGCTACATATACTTTATGCAGAGTAATTTTTACTGCATTGGGCAATTATTTCGGTTTTTCTCAATCACTTTGTTAGTCTAACTTATTATTTCCACAAATCTGTTCAAATAATTACTAGAATATTATAATATTATTGCGGGTTCATCGAAATCGGAATAAGGCCGCTACTGTCATACAAAATACTGCATAACACACTGATTTTGTACATCTAAATATGGTGTTTAAATAAAATACAAATTTTATTTTGCAAGTTTGTAATTACCTGATTTCCAGCGCTACGACGAGGATAATACTTGATTTATTTCAAAATAACGCTACGTTTCGTCTAAAAACATTACATAGTGGGGTCATAAGTTCTCGTGAATGCATTTCCGGTAATAAATCCCAAAGTATTAGAGCTATCTGTTCGAAATTTTTATGGATTAACAAGGTATTAATATTGTTTAGAAATCATAACTTCTTTGTCAAGATTTCGTCCAGGAGCAATTAGACAAGACATAACTCGTGACGGCCACAGGTTGATCATGGTACGCGCCAATTTTCGTGCAAAAAGTATTTCAGACTTTTCACCGTTGGCAAAAAATTTAATAGAAAAAAAGGCCAGATATTTGTTGTACAGAAGTCTGACATCCGTTTAAGTATGCGGAAGTCAATACGAAGTCATCACCGTGGTGTGAATGGGAGCAAGTTGGCTGGAGAAATGAAATCTCTGTTTTTTACCGCAAAGGGTACAAGTTGAAGCCAAGAATTATTTTCAGAGTGTCCTAAAGCCAAACGTTAATAACCTGAACCCTGGACCCTCCGAAAATCGACATTGGACCTTTCAACAAGACCCTGTTCCTGCGCAAGGTGCAAAATTGTCCAAAACTGGCTTCAGACGAATTTTCATGACTTTTTTTCATCCGTAGAACGGTGCTCAGTATCTGCAGACCTTAATCCCCTAAATTATGACTGGTGGTGAAAATTATAGGTACAAATATGCTCTAAATTTCACCCAAGTGTGGAAGGGCTGAGGTCGCACTTACTGAAGATCTGGCGCGTTTCCCTGGAAATCCGTGCGTGCCGCGATCGAGCAGTTTTCGCCACGACTTATGTCTTGTGTACAAGCCCGTGGAGGAAATTGTGAAAACGAAGTTATGATTTCTAAACAAGATTAATACCTTGTTCATCCACAAAAATTTCTATCAGATAGCTCTAATACTTTGGGCTTTATCACCGGAAATGCATTCACGGGAACTTATGGTCGGACTATGTATTGGGTTCAGTATAAGTATGTGTGCAATTTTTTTGTTTATCAACATTTTCATCCTCGCCTTCAGTTCTCACGTGAAGAGGACAACATGTTTAAAATTGTTAAAATCGCTAAACATGTGTCTTATTAATTACGAGGAAGGGGAGAAGGAAACTAATAGCATTTTAAAAAGCCAATTTCAACCAAGTATGTATGAGAAAAAATTATGTAAAATATGTACATGTGTATAAATGATTAATGATTAGGCGCCGTAAATATATACATACAAATATGTACTTACATATTTAATGTTCATAAATAACCGGTAGATAGACATGTATGGAGTAAACGGTTGGTGGTTTCAAAGTCACGCGAAATTCCTGTGCAATTCTTCACATCTATGGTAATAGTTATAATCAACTTACATATTTATTAAACTCATTCAATCAAATGTCCAGAAATACAGTAAATATTTCATTTATTACAAAAAAATTAAATTAAGTCTGTACATGTTCATCATTTAGTAAATAACAAAATGTCCCAATATGGTTAACTAATTAATAAGTGCAAGATCAATAATTTTGAAGATTGAGGAAGTATATAGTTAGCATGATACTAGGATATATTTCCAGGGTGCTAATCATTGCGATAGAAAGTGTAAGTCACCTCGATTAACAATTTCCTAAAACACACAAATTCTTGACTGGATCAAAATATGATGCAGATGGGCAAGTATATTGATATAACCGTAATGCTCCAGCGATTAGTATGCATCGATTATATTTTGTGCAGTCCGTAGGTTCAGGAAAGGTACCCTCAGTGTCGCCGCACTGGAAGGGGGCTACCGTGGTTGGCATCGCTGGGGTGGTTGATGTCGTTGCTAATGTCGTAGTTGTCGGAAGCACTGTCGTTGGAGAAGGTGTAGATGGACAAGTACCTATGACACATAAATTCTTGGTCTGATCGAAATAAGATCCAGAGGGGCAGGTGTATTGATATACGCGCATGACCCCAGCGATTAGTATACAACGGTTGTATTTTACGCAGTTTGTGGGTTCGGGAAAGGTACCCTGGGTGACGCCGCACTGGAAAGGAGCTACTGTCGTTGGTGCAGCTGTGGTTGTAGGGGAAATTGATGTCGTGGGTACAGTAGTAGTCGACAGCACCGGCGTTGAAGGAGTTGTAGCTGGACAATTTCCTTCCACACATAAGTTCTTCACCGGATCGAAATGAGATCCAGAAGGGCAGGTGTATTGATATGTGCGCATAACTCCAGCGATTAGTATACATCGGTTATACTTGGTACAGTCGGTAGGTTCGGGGAAAGTACCCTCGCTGACGCCGCACTGGAAGGGGGCTGCTGTGGTTGGCTCCGCTAGCGTGATTGATGTTGTGGGTTTGGTCGCAGTTTCAGTAGTTGTTGTAAGTGCTGTCGTTGCAGGGAGTGTGGATGGACAATTTCCTATGACACATAATTTCTTGACTGGATCAAAGTACGCCCCAGAAGGACAAGTGTATTGATATACGCGCATGATACCAGCGATTAGTATGCAACGATTATACTTTGTGCAGTCCGTCGGTTCTGGAAAAGTACCTTCGATGACACCGCATTGGAAAGGGGCTATCGTGGTTGGTGTGGTGTCGGGTATTGTCGCAACTTCAGTGGTTGTCGTAAGCACTGTCGTTGGAGGGAACGTGACTGGACAATCTCCTAGCACACATAATTTCTTGATGGAGTCATAATGCGACCCAGAAGGGCAAGTATATGTATACACGCGCATGACACCGGCGATTATTATGCAACGATTATATCTTGTGCAGCTTGTAGGATCCGGAAAAGTACCTTCAAATTCGCATTGGAAAGGAGGTATGGTAGTAGATACAGGTTGGGTGGTTGAGGTTAGCGTTGTGTCAGGGATGGTCGCAATTTCAGTAGTTGTAGGACGAAATGTGGTTGATGGAAGTGTAGCGGGGCATGTTCCAATGACACACCCGGGAATCGTACCGTCGAAATAGCTGCCTACTGGGCATGAATATATGTAAATATACCAGCCTCCGGTAAACTCAACGCACCTGAAATAACGGGTACAATCATCTGGGTATGGGAATACTCCGGGCTCAGTACAGCTAGGCACTTCTGGTTCAGCGGTAGTGCCTGAGGGAGGTAAAGTCGTTGCAGGTGTGCTAGTTACTTCGGCAGTTGTGGTTTCGTCAGTGGTCACTATGATGGTGGTTATTACCGTGGTGGGGGAAATGGTTGTCGGGGTGGTTGTTTGACAAGTTCCAAGAGCACACAATCTAGATACTTGGTTGTAGTAACTATTTGCTGGGCAGGTCATTTCGTATTTGACCATTTGGCCCATAATGAGTATGCATCTATAATACATATTACAATTGGCATGTGGGAAAGTGCCTTCTGTCACACAGGTGAATGGGGACGGTGTAGTGACTGACGTCGTCACTGTCGCCGGACTCAAGGTGGTTGCAACAGATTCCTTAGTCGATATCTCAGTGTACGAGGTGGTTGGTGAATCCGTTGGTGAAGTCTCAGCCGTCTCAGTTGACGTTACAACGGTCGGTGTAGTTGGTGAATCACTTGTGGAAGTTTCCGAAGTCTCAGTTGGCGTTGTAGCCGTGGGTGTAGTTGGTGAATCACTTGCGGAAGTTTCCGAGGTCTCAGTTGGCGTTGTAGCGGTCGGTGTAGTTGGTGAATCACTTGGGGAAGTTTCCGAGATCTCCTTTGGCGTTGTAGCCGTCGGTGTAGTGGCTGAATCACTTGGGGAAGTTTCCGAGGTCTCAGTTGGCGTTGTAGCCGTCGGTGTAGTTGGTGAATCACTTGGGGAAGTTTCCGAGGTCTCAGTTGGCGTTGTAGCCGTCGGTGTAGTTGGTGAATCACTTGAGGAAGTTTCCGAGGTTTCAGTTGGCGTTGTAGCCGTCGGTGTAGTTGGTGAATCACCTGGGGAGGTTTCCGAAGTCTCAGTTGGCGTTGTAGCCGTCGGTGTAGTTGGTGAATCACTTGGGGAAGTTTCCGAAGTCTCAGTTGGCGTTGTAGCCGTCGGTGTAGTTGGTGAATCACTTGGGGAAGTTTCCGAGATCTCAGTTGGCGTTGTAGCCGTCGGTGTAGTTGGTGAATCACTTGCGGAAGTTTCTGAGGTCTCAGTTGGCGTTGTAGCCGTCGGTGTAGTTGGTGAATCACTTGGGGAAGTTTCCGAGGTCTCAGTTGGCGTTGTAGCCGTCGGTGTAGTTGGTGAATCACTTGGGGAAGTTTCCGAGGTCTCAGTTGGCGTTGAAGCCGTCGGTGTAGTTGGTGAATCACTTGGGGAAGTTTCCGAGGTCTCAGTTGGCGTTGTAGCCGTCGCTGTAGTTGGTGAATCACTTGGGGAAGTTTCCGAGATCTCCTTTGGCGTTGTAGCCGTCGGTGTAGTTGGTGAATCACTTGATGAAGTTTGCGAGGTCTCAGTTGGCGTTGTAGCCGTCGGTGTAGTGGCTGAATCACTTGGGGAAGTTTCCGAGGTCTCAGTTGGCGTTGTAGCCGTCGGTGTAGTTGGTGAATCACTTGGGGAAGTTTCCGAGGTCTCAGTTGGCGCTGTAGCCGTCGGTGTAGTTGGAGAATCACTTGGGGAAGTTTGCGAGGTCTCAGTTGGCGTTGTAGCCGTCGGTGTAGTTGGTGAATCACTTGGGGAAGTTTCCGAGGTCTCAGTTGGCGTTGTAGCCGTCGGTGTAGTTGGAGAAACACTTGGGGAAGTTTCTGAGGTCTCAGTTGGCGTTGTAGCCGTCGGTGTAGTTGGTGAATCACTTGGGGAAGTTTCCGAGGTATCAGTTGGCGTTGTAGCCGTCGGTGTAGTTGGTGAATCACTTGAGGAAGTTTCCGAGGTTTCAGTTGGCGTTGTAGCCGTCGGTGTAGTTGGAGAATCACTTGGGGAAGTTTCCGAGGTCTCAGTTGGCGTTGTAGCCGTCGGTGTAGTTGGTGAATCACTTGAGGAAGTTTCCGAGGTTTCAGTTGGCGTTGTAGCCGTCGGTGTAGTTGGTGAATCACCTGGGGAGGTTTCCGAAGTCTCAGTTGGCGTTGTAGCCGTCGGTGTAGTTGGTGAATCACTTGGGGAAGTTTCCGAAGTCTCAGTTGGCGTTGTAGCCGTCGGTGTAGTTGGTGAATCACTTGAGGAAGTTTCCGAGGTTTCAGTTGGCGTTGTAGCCGTCGGTGTAGTTGGAGAATCACTTGGGGAAGTTTCCGAGGTCTCAGTTGGCGTTGTAGCCGTCGGTGTAGTTGGTGAATCACTTGAGGAAGTTTCCGAGGTTTCAGTTGGCGTTGTAGCCGTCGGTGTAGTTGGTGAATCACCTGGGGAGGTTTCCGAAGTCTCAGTTGGCGTTGTAGCCGTCGGTGTAGTTGGTGAATCACTTGGGGAAGTTTCCGAAGTCTCAGTTGGCGTCGTAGCCGTCGGTGTAGTTGGTGAATCACTTGGGGAAGTTTCCGAGGTCTCAGTTGGCGTTGTAGCCGTCGGTGTAGTTGGTGAATCACTTGGGGAAGTTTCTGAGGTCTCAGTTGGCGTTGTAGCCGTCGGTGTAGTTGGAGAATCACTTGGGGAAGTTTCCGAGGTCTCAGTTGGCGTTGTAGCCGTCGGTGTAGTTGGTGAATCACTTGGGGAAGTTTCCGAGGTCTCAGTTGGCGTTGTAGCCGTCGGTGTAGTTGGTGAATCACTTGGGGAAGTTTCCGAGGTCTCAGTTGGCGTTGTAGCCGTCGGTGTAGTTGGGAAACACTTGGGGAAGTTTCTGAGGTCTCAGTTGGCGTTGTAGCCGTCGGTGTAGTTGGTGAATCACTTGGGGAAGTTTCCGAGGTATCAGTTGGCGTTGTAGCCGTCGGTGTAGTTGGTGAATCACTTGAGGAAGTTTCCGAGGTTTCAGTTGGCGTTGTAGCCGTCGGTGTAGTTGGAGAATCACTTGGGGAAGTTTCCGAGGTCTCAGTTGGCGTTGTAGCCGTCGGTGTAGTTGGTGAATCACTTGAGGAAGTTTCCGAGGTTTCAGTTGGCGTTGTAGCCGTCGGTGTAGTTGGTGAATCACCTGGGGAGGTTTCCGAAGTCTCAGTTGGCGTTGTAGCCGTCGGTGTAGTTGGTGAATCACTTGGGGAAGTTTCCGAAGTCTCAGTTGGCGTTGTAGCCGTCGGTGTAGTTGGTGAATCACTTGAGGAAGTTTCCGAGGTTTCAGTTGGCGTTGTAGCCGTCGGTGTAGTTGGAGAATCACTTGGGGAAGTTTCCGAGGTCTCAGTTGGCGTTGTAGCCGTCGGTGTAGTTGGTGAATCACTTGAGGAAGTTTCCGAGGTTTCAGTTGGCGTTGTAGCCGTCGGTGTAGTTGGTGAATCACCTGGGGAGGTTTCCGAAGTCTCAGTTGGCGTTGTAGCCGTCGGTGTAGTTGGTGAATCACTTGGGGAAGTTTCCGAAGTCTCAGTTGGCGTCGTAGCCGTCGGTGTAGTTGGTGAATCACTTGGGGAAGTTTCCGAGGTCTCAGTTGGCGTTGTAGCCGTCGGTGTAGTTGGTGAATCACTTGGGGAAGTTTCTGAGGTCTCAGTTGGCGTTGTAGCCGTCGGTGTAGTTGGAGAATCACTTGGGGAAGTATCCGAGGTCTCAGTTGGCGTTGTAGCCGTCGGTGTAGTTGGTGAATCACTTGGGGAAGTTTCCGAGGTCTCAGTTGGCGTTGTAGCCGTCGGTGTAGTTGGTGAATCACTTGGGGAAGTTTCCGAGGTCTCAGTTGGCGTTGTAGCCGTCGGTGTAGTTGGTGAATCACTTGGTGAAGTTTCCGAGGTCTCAGTTGGCGTTGTAGCCGTCGGTGTAGTTGGTGAATCATTTGGTGATGTTTCCGAGGTCTCAGTTGGCGTTGTAGCCGTCGGTGTAGTTGGTGAATCACTTGAGGAAGTTTCGGAGGTTTCAGTTGGCGTTGTAGCCGTCGGTGTAGTTGGTGAATCACTTGGGGAAGTTTCCGAGGTCTCAGTTGGCGTTGTAGCCGTTGCTGTAGTTGGTGAATCGCTTGGGGAAGTTTCCGAGATCTCCTTTGGCGTTGTAGCCGTCGGTGTAGTTGGTGAATCACTTGATGAAGTTTGCGAGGTCTCAGTTGGCGTTGTAGCCGTCGGTGTAGTGGCTGAATCACTTGGGGAAGTTTCCGAGGTCTCAGTTGGCGTTGTAGCCGTCGGTGTAGTTGGAGAATCACTTGGGGAAGTTTCCGAGGTCTCAGTTGGCGTTGTAGCCGTCGGTGTAGTTGGTGAATCACTTGAGGAAGTTTCCGAGATCTCAGTTGGCGTTGTAGCCGTGGGTGTAGTTGGTGAATCACTTGGGGAAGTTTCCGAGGTCTCAGTTGGCGTTGTAGCCGTCGGTGTAGTTGGTGAATCACTTGGGGAAGTTTCCGAGGTATCAGTTGGCGTTGTAGCCCTCGGTGTAGTTGGTGAATCAGTTGGGGAAGTTTCCGAGGTCTCAGTTGGCGTTGTAGCCGTCGGTGTAGTTGGTGAATCACTTGGGGAAGTTTCCGAGGTCTCAGTTGGCGTTGTAGCCGTCGGTGTAGTTGGTGAATGACTTGGGGAAGTTTCCGAGGTCTCAGTTGGCGTTGTAGCCGTGGGTGTAGTTGGTGAATCACTTGGGGAAGTTTCTGAGGTCTCAGTTGGCGTTGTAGCCGTCGGTGTAGTCGGTGAATCACTTGGGGAAGTTTCCGAGGTCTCAGTTGGCGTTGTAGCCGTCGGTGTAGTTGGTGAATCACTTGGGGAAGTTTCCGAGGTCTCAGTTGGCGTTGTAGCCGTCGGTGTAGTTGGAGAATCACTTGGGGAAGTTTCCGAGGTCTCAGTTGGCGTTGTAGCCGTCGGTGTAGTTGGTGAATCACTTGGGGAAGTTTCCGACGTCTCAGTTGGCGTTGTAGCCGTGGGTGTAGTTGGAGAAACACTTGGGGAAGTTTCTGAGGTCTCAGTTGGCGTTGTAGCCGTCGGTGTAGTTGGTGAATCACTTGGGGAAGTTTCCGAGGTATCAGTTGGCGTTGTAGCCGTCGGTGTAGTTGGTGAATCACTTGAGGAAGTTTCCGAGGTTTCAGTTGGCGTTGTAGCCGTCGGTGTAGTTGGAGAATCACTTGGGGAAGTTTCCGAGGTCTCAGTTGGCGTTGTAGCCGTCGGTGTAGTTGGTGAATCACTTGAGGAAGTTTCCGAGGTTTCAGTTGGCGTTGTAGCCGTCGGTGTAGTTGGTGAATCACCTGGGGAGGTTTCCGAAGTCTCAGTTGGCGTTGTAGCCGTCGGTGTAGTTGGTGAATCACTTGGGGAAGTTTCCGAAGTCTCAGTTGGCGTTGTAGCCGTCGGTGTAGTTGGTGAATCACTTGAGGAAGTTTCCGAGGTTTCAGTTGGCGTTGTAGCCGTCGGTGTAGTTGGAGAATCACTTGGGGAAGTTTCCGAGGTCTCAGTTGGCGTTGTAGCCGTCGGTGTAGTTGGTGAATCACTTGAGGAAGTTTCCGAGGTTTCAGTTGGCGTTGTAGCCGTCGGTGTAGTTGGTGAATCACCTGGGGAGGTTTCCGAAGTCTCAGTTGGCGTTGTAGCCGTCGGTGTAGTTGGTGAATCACTTGGGGAAGTTTCCGAAGTCTCAGTTGGCGTCGTAGCCGTCGGTGTAGTTGGTGAATCACTTGGGGAAGTTTCCGAGGTCTCAGTTGGCGTTGTAGCCGTCGGTGTAGTTGGTGAATCACTTGGGGAAGTTTCTGAGGTCTCAGTTGGCGTTGTAGCCGTCGGTGTAGTTGGAGAATCACTTGGGGAAGTATCCGAGGTCTCAGTTGGCGTTGTAGCCGTCGGTGTAGTTGGTGAATCACTTGGGGAAGTTTCCGAGGTCTCAGTTGGCGTTGTAGCCGTCGGTGTAGTTGGTGAATCACTTGGGGAAGTTTCCGAGGTCTCAGTTGGCGTTGTAGCCGTCGGTGTAGTTGGTGAATCACTTGGTGAAGTTTCCGAGGTCTCAGTTGGCGTTGTAGCCGTCGGTGTAGTTGGTGAATCATTTGGTGATGTTTCCGAGGTCTCAGTTGGCGTTGTAGCCGTCGGTGTAGTTGGTGAATCACTTGAGGAAGTTTCGGAGGTTTCAGTTGGCGTTGTAGCCGTCGGTGTAGTTGGTGAATCACTTGGGGAAGTTTCCGAGGTCTCAGTTGGCGTTGTAGCCGTTGCTGTAGTTGGTGAATCGCTTGGGGAAGTTTCCGAGATCTCCTTTGGCGTTGTAGCCGTCGGTGTAGTTGGTGAATCACTTGATGAAGTTTGCGAGGTCTCAGTTGGCGTTGTAGCCGTCGGTGTAGTGGCTGAATCACTTGGGGAAGTTTCCGAGGTCTCAGTTGGCGTTGTAGCCGTCGGTGTAGTTGGAGAATCACTTGGGGAAGTTTCCGAGGTCTCAGTTGGCGTTGTAGCCGTCGGTGTAGTTGGTGAATCACTTGAGGAAGTTTCCGAGATCTCAGTTGGCGTTGTAGCCGTGGGTGTAGTTGGTGAATCACTTGGGGAAGTTTCCGAGGTCTCAGTTGGCGTTGTAGCCGTCGGTGTAGTTGGTGAATCACTTGGGGAAGTTTCCGAGGTATCAGTTGGCGTTGTAGCCGTCGGTGTAGTTGGTGAATCAGTTGGGGAAGTTTCCGAGGTCTCAGTTGGCGTTGTAGCCGTCGGTGTAGTTGGTGAATCACTTGGGGAAGTTTCCGAGGTCTCAGTTGGCGTTGTAGCCGTCGGTGTAGTTGGTGAATGACTTGGGGAAGTTTCCGAGGTCTCAGTTGGCGTTGTAGCCGTGGGTGTAGTTGGTGAATCACTTGGGGAAGTTTCTGAGGTCTCAGTTGGCGTTGTAGCCGTCGGTGTAGTCGGTGAATCACTTGGGGAAGTTTCCGAGGTCTCAGTTGGCGTTGTAGCCGTCGGTGTAGTTGGTGAATCACTTGGGGAAGTTTCCGAGGTCTCAGTTGGCGTTGTAGCCGTCGGTGTAGTTGGAGAATCACTTGGGGAAGTTTCCGAGGTCTCAGTTGGCGTTGTAGCCGTCGGTGTAGTTGGTGAATCACTTGGGGAAGTTTCCGACGTCTCAGTTGGCGTTGTAGCCGTGGGTGTAGTTGGTGAATCACTTGGGGAAGTTTGCGAGGTCTCAGTTGGCGTTGTAGCCGTCGGTGTAGTTTGTGAATCGCTTGGGGAAGTTTCCGAGGTCTCAGTTGGCGTTGTAGCCGTCGGTGTAGTTGGTGAATCACCTGGGGAGGTTTCCGAGGTCTCAGTTGGCGTTGTAGCCGTCGGTGTAGTTGGAGAATCACTTGGGGAAGTTTCCGAGGTCTCAGTTGGCGTTGTAGCCGTCGGTGTAGTTGGTGAATGACTTGGGGAAGTTTCCGAGGTCTCAGTTGGCGTTGTAGCCGTGGGTGTAGTTGGTGAATCACTTGGGGAAGTTTCCGAGGTCTCAGTTGGCGTTGTAGCCGTCGGTGTAGTTGGAGAATCACTTGGGGAAGTTTGCGAGGTCTCAGTTGGCGTTGTAGCCGTCGGTGTAGTTGGTGAATCACTTGGGGAAGTTTCCGAGGTCTCAGTTGGCGTTGTAGCCGTCGGTGTAGTTGGAGAATCACTTGGGGAAGTTTCTGAGGTCTCAGTTGGCGTTGTAGCCATCGGTGTAGTTGGTGAATCACTTGGGGAAGTTTCCGAGGTCTCCTTTGGCGTTGTAGCCGTCGGTGTAGTTGGTGAATCACTTGGGGAAGTTTGCGAGGTCTCAGTTGGCGTTGTAGCCGTCGGTGTAGTTGGTGAATCACTTGGGGAAGTTTCCGAGGTCTCAGTTGGCGTTGTAGCCGTCTGTGTAGTTGGTGAATCACTTGGGGAAGTTTCCGAGGTCTCAGTTGGCGTTGTAGCCGTCGGTGTAGTTGGTGAATCACTTGGGGAAGTTTCCGAGGTCTCAGTTGGCGTTGTAGCCGTCGGTGTAGTTGGTGAATCACTTGGGGAAGTTTCCGAGGTCTCAGTTGGCGTTGTAGCCGTCGGTGTAGTTGGTGAATCACTTGGGGAAGTTTCCGAGGTCTCAGTTGGCGTTGTAGCCGTCGGTGTAGTTGGTGAATCACTTGGGGAAGTTTCCGAGGTCTCAGTTGGCGTTGTAGCCGTCGGTGTAGTTGGTGAATCACTTGGGGAAGTTTCCGAGGTCTCAGTTGGCGTTGTAGCCGTCGGTGTAGTTGGTGAATCACTTGGGGAAGTTTCCGAGGTCTCAGTTGGCGTTGTAGCCGTCGGTGTAGTTGGTGAATCGCTTGGGGAAGTTTCCGAGGTCTCAGTTGGCGTTGCAGCCGTGGGTGTAGTTGGTGAATCACTTGGGGAAGTTTCCGAGATCTCAGTTGGCGTTGTAGCCGTCGGTGTAGTTGGTGAATCACTTGCGGAAGTTTCTGAGGTCTCAGTTGGCGTTGTAGCCGTCGGTGTAGTTGGTGAATCACTTGGGGAAGTTTCCGAGGTCTCAGTTGGCGTTGTAGCCGTCGGTGTAGTTGGTGAATCACTTGGGGAAGTTTCCGAGGTCTCAGTTGGCGTTGAAGCCGTCGGTGTAGTTGGTGAATCACTTGGGGAAGTTTCCGAGGTCTCAGTTGGCGTTGTAGCCGTCGGTGTAGTTGGAGAATCACTTGGGGAAGTTTCCGAGGTCTCAGTTGGCGTTGTAGCCGTCGGTGTAGTTGGTGAATCACTTGGTGAAGTTTCCGAGGTCTCAGTTGGCGTTGTAGCCGTCGGTGTAGTTGGTGAATCATTTGGTGAAGTTTCCGAGGTCTCAGTTGGCGTTGTAGCCGTCGGTGTAGTTGGTGAATCACTTGAGGAAGTTTCGGAGGTTTCAGTTGGCGTTGTAGCCGTCGGTGTAGTTGGTGAATCACTTGGTGAAGTTTCCGAGGTCTCACTTGGCGTTGTAGCCGTCGGTGTAGTTGGTGAATCACTTGGGGAAGTTTCCGAGGTCTCAGTTGGCGTTGTAGCCGTCGGTGTAGTTGGTGAATCACTTGTGGAAGTTTCCGAAGTCTCAGTTGGCGTTGTAGCCGTGGGTGTAGTTGGTGAATCACTTGTGGAAGTTTCCGAAGTCTCAGTTGGCGTTGTAGCCGTCGGTGTAGTTGGTGAATCACTTGGTGAAATTTCCGAGGTCTCACTTGGCGTTGTAGCCGTCGGTGTAGTTGGTGAATCACTTGTGGAAGTTTCCGAAGTCTCAGTTGGCGTTGTAGCCGTGGGTGTAGTTGGTGAATCACTTGGGGAAGTTTCCGACGTATCAGTTGGCGTTGTAGCCGTCGGTGTAGTTGGCGAATCAGTTGGGGAAGTTTCCGAGGTCTCAGTTGGCGTTGTAGCCGTCGGTGTAGTTGGCGTTGCAGCAGGTGGTGACTCTGTAGTGGCTGCACCTGATACTAGTTCTTCTTCCTCTACTGTGGGTAAGCTAGTGCTTGTGGTCACTACAATAAAGAAATCTTATAATTTTCCGGTAAGTGCGCAATTGGAAGCTTAATAATTTTAGGCTCACCTTCAATTAGCATGCATTCTTGGAGTGTTTCATCGAAGTAACCTCCTGGTGCACATTCAAGATAGGCAACATACCAATATTCACATTTGCAATTTTCATCAGGAAACCAGAAGCATTGATAGAAGTAAGTGCTAGAAGAAGTTAATTAATTTATGTTTATGTACGTATGTACTTCCTTGTACTAATGCCTATGCATTTGTATATGATCAGTTTCCCCATTCATAGTTTCAGATGAGCGGCATCCCTAAAAGGTGTGCTTACCAAGAAATTTATAAGAGATGTGTCAATGGATTTGACAAGCACTTAGTTATTTTTATAACAATGTTTTATAACGCTTATTGGCTTCTGGTATTTGGTGTACATATTGGTAAAGCGGAATTCACTATCGCAGAATTTACGTTTTGGTAGATGAATTTTTATTTGCCGTTACGCAATTCATCGTCTCTATCACCGATTTTGACGCTTTTCTTGGAGGATGCTAATTTAATCTCTATGGAAGTACGATATGTTTGACTTCTCTCTAATTCCATGATACTTTATTATATCACTAATTGCACCAAAATATAAGTGAATGTCATTCCCCAAAGTTGTTTTTATGCTTCAATATTAGCCCCCACCCCTGGAAACTTTAAAAGTGCCTTCTCAATTTCGAGATTTATTTTGAACCCATTTTCCAACCGAATTTCACCGTGCTCGAAAATTCGTGCATTTATTGAGTTAAACAACATAGGTCGAAAGTATAAGTTTAAGGGCAGTCGCCTTTACGAAAATATGGAACGGGTAACCGGGATCACATAACAATACATAGCCTTTTGTGTAAGGTATAAAATGTAAAAAATTAATACTTATCGTTAGGATCCGCCGTAGCTGGTAACACTGGGGGGTCCCCATTCCCAATACAAGAGGCGTTGGTAGGAGCGACCAGAATACCTAATCTCACCTTGTTCAGAAATACTGAATCATTGTGGAGATCTATACTCCTGGTTAAAGTCTCGTCCACTAAAATTGTGGCTAGCACGAATATCTATAGGTACGTGTAGGAAGAATATATTTTTTAAATAAATCTACTTAAATTGATAACTTTAGATATGAAAAATATGTAATCAGGAATAAAGAATGCAAACTTACGAGAAATTTACCATTCCAAATTAATTGAAACCCCATTCTGCTTGTTGCTTCTCGTTGCACTTGCAGCAAGCTACTAAACACATGGATCGGAGCCTTGCATAATATAAATTAAAGATTTGTCTTTATCCATTTATGGGTAGAATCAATGCGACACTGTCGGCAGATTGGAGTATGCAATAGTTCCGACTTAATTAGAATATTATTGTGCTGGATCTAATTATTCCAGGAAAGAATTGTGTCAGATATGAGTGCTTACGGATGGGGTTGAATTGGCATTGGTCATCGGTATTTTTACGGGGAGAAGTAACTTATGTAATCATAGATAATAACATTACCTCACCAAGTATGCTACCTTAGTGACCCCACCACAAAAGTTTCACTATTTTGTGTAAATATCAAACGTTTTTTGATTTATCTTAATCAAAACTGAATTTGTTAGGGTTTTTGATTTTTCCGGAAAAATTCATAGCGATTCAAATGTGATTTGATGATATATTATGATTCAGAATATATTCATGAGTGAGGATGCCAAATTTCAAATTTTTTCCCAGCGTCAATAGACCAGCATTAATATGAGATACGAGGCACCAAATCAAAACTTTTTATAGAAAAGCTACGGACCGGCGTATGGTAGATTTAACATGCTCTCCAAGACGCAGAGCGCCGTTGGAGTGAGATGGGTGGTGAGGTTGACGTAGGTTACTTTAGTTGGTAAGTTACCCTAGGAGTATGAAAATGCAAATGAAAGACTAAAATATGCATTCAACAGATCAAAATAGAGCATTTGCTACGATTGAAAAACATGTATTTACTGAGGAACAAAATTTACTCGGGATTTAGTACAGTTTACTTAGTTCGGCTTTCCGAGTACCCTTACTTCCCAAAAGGATAACATGATCTTTAAAATTAAGAGGTGGATTGACAGATCGTATGGATGACATTGTGTAGTGATTTATTTTAACACAAGCTTTCGGAAAACAACTGTTTCCTTCTTCAGGTGGTTAGAAATAATTATAATAAATGATCTTTAAAGGTGTGTGTACATACAAACTTTATCGATATCGCTGCTTTTCAGTTTGATAGCAACTTAAAAATAACAGTTGATGGAATTTACGGTTCATATTGTAAATACAAATGGTTATATTTGATATATAAAAATTTTGCTGGCTTGACACCTCGACTGTGTACCTGGTGAGATCAGAAATAATTTACAATAGCGACAGTGAGCTCATTTCTTGATGATGTGCCCATAAAGTTTATTGGCATTGGACTTGACTCGAGGTCATAAACATTAATGATTAATCACTTAATTGGTTGCGTATTATCACAATGTACACGCATCAATTAAGTTAAATTTCTTGGATTTGTTATTTACGCCAGAGTGACTGGAAAATATTATTAATTTTGTTGCAAATTTATTGCTTTGCTTGCAATAATGGACGCCGCAAGGTAATAAAGTGATCACAATTTTTCATACTGCGCAGTAGAAAAACTGCCAAACTGCAACTTAATCAATACGTAATAAGTTCAGTCCATCATAATTAATGTCTTTACAATCATTGGCCGCGGAGGCTGGAGGATCCTCTGAAGACATTAACATTGTTGGGTAGTAAAGAGAGTTTATAAATACACATACTTAACATTAAGAGATGATGGGGGCATCAACAGATTCTCCGTGGAGATATTATTTTCCCTCTGTCCCAGCGCTTTCGCGGCCACTGACCATAATATATAAGCTGTATGACCTTTATCAAAGTAAGTTAGAATAAATTGCTCCGGATTAATTAAAATCATTGTAAAATCTTCATCTCCGAATTAAACGAATGTTAAAATATTCAGACACTGGTTCGTAGTACACACATGTTTATGTACCTACATATGTAGTTTTAATCCGACAGGAAGAGAATATTAGCATCTTATTCTGCATCGTTTTTCCGATACCATAAAACTTCTACTTGATCTTTCAATGATTTATCCTCCTTGCGATTTCGTACCGCGGAAAATTATGTTCGGATGTTCAGTTCACTCTTAAGTATTTGCGTAAGTTTCTTCACATCTTTAAATTGATTAAGGTAATTTTCACTTGTTTAGGACACTGTTGTGAATACATTCCATGCCGACATTGATCCAGGCCGCGCATTACTAGGAATAAGCCTCAATAATAATAAGTAGGATTATCGTTGTAAATATAATTCCTTCAATTGCTTACATAAAGCAAAAGAGAAAAACGCCGACAAGCCGAAAGAGACAAAGCTTGAAATTGGTTGTTGAACTAATCTCTTTATTAATTTTATGCATGAACAACACGAGTTCATAGTGTGCATGGTTACGTAAGCAAAATTATGAGGAATATTTTTTTTGTTACATAAATACTTTTTCCTACTATGAAGAGTTTAGATTAAATAGTTTACGAGTGACAATTGGAGGGTTACACAATTGAAGGGGTTACCCCTATCAGCGCATTTCCGATGGGGACTGGGAATACGTGAGTGTGGATGGTATGCCGGGTCATGAAGGGGTATAGCTTATGTCCCCATGCGGAATCGATGACTGGAACTGCTCGACCGCGTCGAAATAATTGATTTCCTTCTAAATAATATTTACCATCATTTGGTTTCATACTTATGTAATTCTCCAAATACTTATGTAATACTAGTTAATGCAGCTCATGGGATATTACATGCTTAGATATGCAAAGTCGTTCTTAAGCAATGCATGGCCTTGTGGGTTAGATTCGGGTAGGTTGGGTTAAGATTTAGACATGTAACAACATGGAATAATGCAATCAGTTGATTACACATGTTTGAGACCAGGGTAAGGAAACCTTTGCGTATTATTAGCTCACCCTGCGTAGCATGAGAGCTATTGAATTCCTCTTGTCCGTCTGTCTGTCTGTCTGTCCGTCTGGTAACGAGGTTTTTGCATCAATTGATGCTATTTAAAAATCCCCTTGACCATTATTGAATAAGTTCGGCGCACCATTGTTATTGAACAAACCGAATCGAATTTTTTAATAAATTAATAGCACCGTTGATATCTAACAATTGGTAACACAAAATGATGCGAAATAATTGGGAGAAGGGATGCAAAACGCACCAATAGTGCAAAATATCCGGGAGAAATGGTCATACAATTTTGACAAAGTTTTCAAAATTATGTATCCCGGATGGTCGCTAATGCTGCAGTAATGGTGCAACGGCTAGCCGTTTTTGTTGCACCATGGGTGCAAGAATATATACCATTTATGATCTATTTTGCCGGCTTATTCCGCACCTTCGGTGCAAAGTTCTGTCTAATCATCATGGCAGGGTGAGCTACTTCTAACGTTACTACGGTTTATTCATATTTGCTACCTAAAAACCCTACCAAAACCTCTAAAACCCCAATAACCGGGTAGTACACCCTGTTTGAGACCACACAGACGTAGGAATCCCAGCCCGTCCATAACGACAAATAAATACTTAATTGAAAATGTTTACGTGATGGTGACCACCTATGAGAAATGCATATATGTAAGCTTATTTTAATGCATAACCATATATGTATGTACATACAGTCAATAAAAGAAGTATTCGTAACCCCAGCACAGGGTTCAGGACGGAAGCTATAACTTTCGCATGGGTTGGTTCATGTTCATGAAAATTTGAACAAATACCACTAATCGCATCCACCTTCATATTCGGTTATCATTTTAAAGTTTAATCCGCCAGCAGCAGCACTGTTACTCATATTTCCCGAAAATGTGCATTTTCAATACCAAAAAAGTATTCGTACCCTTGAAATTTTTAATTTCACCTGGTTCCTATTTGGATAAAATTACTCAAATGCAGAATTTCATGATATCCGACAACTCAATGCCTACCCACGAAAAAAGTTTCGAAAAGCAAACTCTTCAGCCTGGCTGGGAAACTGGGATTTTTTACAAAATGTGACATGTCATCAAAAAATAAGCCTTGGATGTGCATAGATTAGGGTTGCCCCGGGTACCGGGTGGGTACCCGGTACCCGGCATACCCGGCCTGTTTTGGGATACCCGGTACCCGGCCGGGTAGACTGGACTACCCGGTCTACCCGGCCGGGTAATTTAAATGTTCAATTTTTTGCAAAACCTTACAAAAAAATTATAATCCGATGAATTTCATTTTTGTCCTTGGTGTAAAATAATATATTTTGAAAAAAGGCGTACAAACTAGGTCAATTCTTAGATGGAAATTATGATCCAGATATAAAAATTACTTTGGGAGCACTCACGTCAACCCTTGCATACATATCTCCCAATTAACCATGGCCACATAAGTGGCGATTTTTTGCGAAATTTGAGACATTTCTCAAAGCTTTCGCTAGAAAACCATTGGTTTTGCAAATTTGTCCAGCAATTAGGCATATCATAATTTAGCAAACTCATCCTCCCGATTATCAGCGAAAAAAAGTTAAAAAAATCCATGAAAACAAGATCAAAATAAGCGTCTTTAATAGATCTGCGAGAATTTCAAGGTGATATTTTGCGACTCCCCTCATGAAACAAATTTTTTAAGCTGCACAAGCTTGCTAAATGGGTGGCGATGATTAATAAGACATTGTCGTCAGTACGCTCAGTCTGTACTTTATGTTTGTTTTTAACTTGCAACTTTTTAAAACTGGTAAAAGTGATCCAAATTCTAAAGAAAAGTGGAATAACTCCTTTTATTTTGAATATATAAATATTACCCGGTACCCGGCCGGGTAGCCGGGTACCCTGCGAACATTTTAGGCCGGGTACCGGATAGCCGGGTACCGGGTAGCCGGGTACCGGGTAGTAGCACTACCCGCGGCAACCCTAGCATAGATCATAGAAAAACCTGAAGTATGATCAAATTCAATTTGTATAATCATCATGAGCCTTCTTTAAACATAAATTGCTCAAATTCGATGCAGAGACGTGTCATGCAATTGATTGGAGCGTGCGCGCCCAGTCAGCAACGTGGGGAAGGAGCGCAGTATGTCCATCAAAAAAACGAAAAAAAATATTTTTAACATTTTCTTCGTTCCTACGTGTGTGGAAACTCAATACCTATCCATGTTAACCATTAGCACTTTCCTGTTATTTACAAATATATGCAAGTTTCCTCTTATTTACAAAAATCTGGGTATCGTACAAATGTTGTACCATACCCACGTTTTTGAAAAATTCTAAACATGTGGATATGCAGATCATTTAGTTTTTCATAATCTTTGAAGACGGCCTACTGATTCCACGTAAACTACAGACTTACTCGGTAACGTCGTACTTATGATTCTCACTTGCCCTTGAACCTGTAACTCTGGGTTGAAGAGGTTAAACGTGACTTTCATTCTGCTCCGAAATTGTCTCATTGACTCACATATTTTGTCATATATGGCACGAATTTGACACATTCCATTCCATACTAGACTAACAATGCGGTGACGACATTCCACTACAAAACTTAAATTTCCAACTGCTATAAGGATGCCGAATAGGGCGAACAAAGTCCCAATCCGGGTATGTAGCTCAACCGCTGCCCAAACATTTTTAGGAAACCCTTGTCGTATTTTTGTAAGCGGTTGCCTCGTCCTATACTTTTTCTGAGATTCAAACTCTTTGATATGACCCACAATCCCAGTTTCCATTAATGACTGAAAATTTCCAGGGATTTTTGAAATTCCAACCCCCCTAAATTGGTAGCCTTCCATACCCAAGTCAATGATATCCTTCCCTACCTGAAAGTCATGCTCGGGGTAATGTCTCGAGAGGTATTGCCTTTCAAACTTTATTTCCTCGTGACCCGTTATAAACACAGTTTTCCCACATCCCGCTACTTCCCATTCTATCCGGCGCCTAATTTGTTCCCTGTCAGTGAAATTCGTCTCATGGGAAATGCCACGAGGAATTATGACAATTTTCGGGTTTAAGAGAGCGGTTATGTACAAAAGTTGAGGATCAATATACCTTCTATATTCTACTTCACGCAGGATGTGCTGATAATACATCATTCTGAAAAAGTGCAGGTATCCTTGTAACTCGAAAGTATCGGGAATTTTGACGCTAAGGGGTGATAGAAGCGTGAAGCACTCGTCATGAGTTTGGTGACGATCAGCATAAACTTGCCAGCCTTGATTCTTAACCCAATGTCTTCTTAAGTGTTTGTCGCCCAGTCCCCGCCCCTCCAACCAGTCTTCCATGTCTGCCCCTGTATCTGTTCGGTCGGCCTCATACGACTTGTAGATATCCGTATTTGTACACAGTAAGTCTTAAACGTTAACGGGCTCTTTCCTGGGTACAGCGCTAATAGATCAGAAATCATTAATCCGGTATAGAAATTCGTTAACAGCACGGACATCAAGATCCAGCCGCCCAGTATCATTCGAAAGTATTTATCCTTTTCTAATTGGGACGATACTTGTCCACCCTCTTCGAAAATGTTGGCAAGGATGAATAGCCATGCGGCAAATGGGCTTGACTTGTTCGTGATCTGGCTTTCGTAAATTTTCATTATAGCAATTAAGGAAATAATTGCGGTGACGAGATAAATCCACACCTGGAATGGCTTTATGTAAAACGCGAATGTAACGTACTCCTCCCTGTAGCAGGTTAGAAATTTGAAACCTTCGTAATTTATGGTTACCATTCTGATGTTCCATCCCAGCTTAAGTATTGGGTATAATAGGGAAGTGGGTTTTACATATTCTAAAAACGGGAGGTCGGTGGGATTTAAAGGAGGAGTGTAGAGAGTCTCATTTCTTGCGTGGAATATTTCCAGAGCTAGGTGAAGTTGAAAATTTAGAGCAAGTCTTTTGTCATACAGTTCCTCTACCAAATTGAGACGTTCAACAGAGCCATCAATAGAGTGCAGATCGGTCACCCAGCTGTTCTGTGGGGCATGTAAATCCAGCAAGATTCTGAGAATATCCTTACCTCTGCTACTTTTACAAGACCATTTCGAAATTGAGCTTTTCAACCCATCTCTCGACATGCACACCTCAATCGATTCATGTTCCCTTGTACTCGTCACGATGACAATATTCTCGTTTAGTATTTTCGTCCGAGACAAGAAAAATTGTGGTAAATAATTCTGTACAAATTGATCTACTCGTTTTTTCTCCATAAGTAACAAGGTGAAGACAACCCCACTGGATGAATGATACTGGTAGGAAGGATTAGTATATCGGTACAGGGGATATTCCAGCCAGTTGGAGATACGCTGATAATGGGGGATCAAAGGGCCAGATGAAACCGTAAAGTAGGCGGAGTGTACGATACTAACTTGATAAAAGAATCCTCGGGTCTTCATCATGTTCAGGCGTACAAGACGCATTGGGTTTTGTGAAATGTACTTTTTAATGTTGGTTATGAGGGTGGGTGCAGTGTAGGATGCGGGTGGTTGAAAAAACTTCCCGGCAAGGTCGCCTTCCCATTGGATAAAGTGCAAATCGCAGTTTTCCAAATTTTCCAATGCCCTTCCCAGCGTGTGAACGTTACTGCTTAATACATTTGTAATTATGGTACAGAAAAGGATAACGGTTTGGACTGACTTTAAATACATGATAGAAAATTGATTTTTGGCAACTAAATTTATTTGTAAAATTGAATTCAAGAACATGTACTTCACATGACTAGAACTGATCGACAGAGTCTGATTTCCCTCTAAATAATATTTACCATCATTTGGTTTCACACTTATGTAATTCACCAAATACTTATGTAATTCTACTTATATGTACTTTATGAGATATTACGTATTTAGATATATAGGGTCGTTCTTAGGCAATGTATGGCCTTGAGCGCTAGATTCGGGTAGTTTGGGTTAGGATTCAAATATTTAGGAACAAGATGGAATTATGCAAGAAGTTGATTCAACATATCTGTGACCAGGGTACGGAAGACCCTGTTGTTCTGCGATTGCAAACCCGTTTTCACGGGTAGTCGGTTTTGAGGGCAGTCGGCGTTTTTGGCGGCTGCATCTGGTACATAGCTATGAAAACAATTTGTTCTTAGAGTAATTTTCCAATTCATAGCTAATTAATTCAATTTTAATTACTAATCACTATATAAATAAGATTCATCAAGCATAACCTGTTATTAAATATTATGTATGTACATACTTTATTAAATTCGAAACCTCGACTACCCGTAAATATTGCTCATATTTGCTACCCGAAAACCTCTAAAACCCCAATACCCCTAAAACACGGGGTAGCACACCCTGTTTGAGACCACATAAAGTGATGGGAAACCCAGTCGGTCCATAAAGGCAAAAAATTATCGAACATCTGTGCGTGATTGTGACCACATATGAAAAACTGTATATATGTAAGTTTATTGCATAGCCAAACATACATGTATGTAAAAGCATAATATATTTATGTATGCATATGTATTATGCAAAATGTTTATGTATAAGATACTTATATGTACATAATTTGCCAAAAGGATTAACTGATTAATTAATCATGCATGTACATACACTGTTAAAAATCTTACATTGTCACGCAGGTATTTTTCTGGTTTAAATTGGTTACATCTTGGTACTAAAAATACACCGGTCCAATCCACCACTCAACACTATCTGGTACCAATGTGCATTATGAAAACTGTGATTCCACGTGTTAAATTTTTGATATCTTTCTCTTATAGCGCAAAATTTTGCCATGAATTAAAATTCATTGCTGAAAATTTCATAACAATATGCATAACGATTTACAGCAATAGAAAAATCAACGGAAAGTGAATTTACTTACATAGGTATATCATAAAAACTAAAATGTTTCGATTTATTCATATATTCGGATGTTTAATACTAGATAGACGAATTAAATAATTAAGCTTCTTATTTCATTACATATTTAGGTTTTAACAATTTATTTGTATGTATGTATTTTTCGTACAATAGGGATTAATTCTGAAACAGTCGTTGCAACATGATTCCCACTAACGAGTCAACTTTGACTTTTTGTTCCGTCTGGCGAGGTTGTGGATCATACCGACAATTGCAGAGGACATCGTAGCACCAAAATTTCGGGTAACCGAAGGAACCGCATCTTCCCAAGCAATCCTTGCATAAACCTATTTACATACCAATTAAATTTCAATTTGAATTCCAATTTCCGACTCCAATTTTTTTTATGCGAAGAAGAATAATTCCCATAAATTTAGGATCAACATAGTTCTTATACATAGCTTAGGGTGACTAAAAAATTAAAACGTAACGGATACACACAATTTTTAAAAGTGTAAAGATTACCTGGACGATTGCCCAAATTTTGAACTGCATTCTCAACTTCATCACCTTGTTTAACTGGGCTTGGTCCATCGTCACGATACGCGTCACAGTTTAGCTGCATACCCGTATATGGCATTTCTTGGTTTTTATCATATAAACACTTTAGATAATAGTGGCCTTTCTCAGAGGTTGCAGTGGAAACGAAGGCAGTTAAGAAACAAAGCGCGATAAATGGTGACATATTTATGTATGTACGTAAGTATTTCACCCTTTTACAGGTTAAATGAAAATAGAATTTGAAATTGTTTAGATTCTCACAGAGTCAGAGAATCGAATGGAGAGATGATGGGGCAAGTTATGAGCTTTTATTCTATTTATTTCGACCTAAACGGGGCCGAGGTGTGAATGTAAATATTGCTCGGAAAAGAAAACAAACGGATAGGGATATTTTGGTGATGATTGATCCAAACTCGTTGTAATCCAGGTAAACTTGTTGTGTTTACAAATGGTCTCGTACATACGTTACTTTTTGTAAGCTGGACAAAAAGAATAAGGAAATGACACTTTGCGCTGTCAACATGATACAAAGTATTGACACAACCCAGATATTTATATGTTGGATTTACATATGTATGTAACTGTTACTTATTCCTTGTGCATTGAACAGTTAAATATTTCAATTCATGTTTACAGTTCAAAGTGCCATTTTCCATAATATCCACCGTCCACAAACATAATGAATTTATCCAAACAGCGAGATCTGTTTGTTTAAGTGGGATTGTGAGAAAGATGTATTTGCACATTTCGCTTTCATTCAGGTCAAATAAATCCAATAAAAACCCTATAACCATAACTTAATCGATTATATCCATTAACTTTAAGATTCTCAGACTTTTAAAAATCCGGGTATCATTCACTACATGACAATGCATTAATTCGGGGACGTTATATGTAAGTATATTGTGGTCATTGTGCAGGAGGAAGATTCCAGTGGTTTAATAGAACTAGGGAAAAAAGAAACATCCGAATTTTCATGTTGCGTTATATTAAGAAATGTTAAAATTTTCGGCAAAAAAAAATGGCGAAATTGGCGTGGTTGACCCCAAAAGTTTTTGAAAATAGGGTTTCACCCTATGAAACAATTTTTTATTATTGCTTTTTACTATTCGTGTAACTAAATTATTTAACCCTTTGCTGCCATATTTATCCTTTACATATGTATAGATAAGCAATTACACTGTTAATAATTCGGCAGAATCATAAATACGTACATCATGCATACACACGCTCTGCACTTTGTGGTAACTTGCCATCCGATACTTTATTGTTTGTTTCTGATGATAGATTATTCCTTACTGCAATAGTGAACAGTAATGCTCGTTAATACCGTGCTACATAGTAGCGTCATATGTAGTTATATATACCCATGCACTCCTGCAAGAAATGGTACCAGTTACTGATTCAATAAAAGTATTTAAAGACGTGCAGTAACCCGGAAGCTGCAAAAATATATTTTTAAAACTGGGGTCCTATTGACCTCCATCCATGATACCAGTTCATTCAAATCAAACTACACAGGTTTTACATTGTACAAAAATTGTTGGTCACTTGACTGCATACTATTTTTTATGTATTTTTCAAAATAATACTTGGGCTACTATTTAATACCCAAATTATTTGCATACTAGTAAGCATTATGTAGTATAGGGGCCAAAGCCATGAAATTTTTAATAGCCGCAATTTTTTTGGAACTGGTTGATCAAGATTAAGGCAAACTTGGCTAAATACGAACCTGTAAACTTTACGACTTTGTTGTCACCGTCGCAATAATCAGCATAAATTTCGGCATAAAGTATTCCATCGAGTATGCAAATGACTTGAAACTTGCTATTTACACCTTCATATCTTCCTTTACGTACGCGCACATTTTTACGGAAGGCTCACTTCGTTTCCAAATCGGACAGAAGTAGGTGTTGGGATATTATGGTAACTTGATCTTTGCAAAATATTTGCATAAATTGACAGAAATTTTGCAGATTTTTGTAATACTTTGATTTTTTTTTTAAATCTAGATATTTATAAATCTTTTCAAATTTAAACAAATAATTGTTTTTCGAATACTTATATTTTGAAGGATTGGCACAAACTTTCCAGAAAATTTACTATTTTCGGAAAAGATTATAAATTAAGAAAGTGTTCAAAATTGTGCAAGTTTTTCTTAATTTTCTCAGCAACTGAAAACTTTACATATTTAAAATTTTCCTTTTTAACAGAACTTCATCTAGATTATGATTATGGCTGCAAAACCAGGGATACTCAGCAAGGTGATTTTGCACTACGTAGTTAAATAAAAAATTTTGCACTTGACGGGGAAGTTACATAATTATTTACTTGGGTTGATTTACATATGTATGTAAGTAAATATGTAAACTCACCACTAAACTCAATCTTCGACCATCTCCATAATTTCAGATCACGCTACAGATCTTGCTCGTCTTTATGATTTCGAACAGTTTGGGATCCCCACTTCCCGTCCAGATGGACAAAACGGACGGAATCATTGACCAAAGTTTCTTGAAAGGTTAAGTCCACCCATTGTTTTAGACTTATATGAGTTAATCTCCCCTAATCGCACCTCTGTAAAAAATCCAATAAAATTCTACTTAAAATGGGTACAAATTTTTTTCTTTAAAACGATATTATTAGTTTGATTTTTGTCCACCTGAAGGGTCGGAAATCCCAAACGTTCAATTTTGAAAATCCATTCCAAAGTAGTCCACCACTCGGAATGAAACCTTTTTTCAAACTACACCAGGATTTTGCAGCGACTTATATTTTTAAATAATCAAGCCAAAACTTAGGAATCACATGACACTTATTTCTCTGTTCTATGTATGAATAAAAATTTTGGGGGCATCGATTACACTATTTCATCCCTAAAAGACGACATATTTACTAAAAAAAATTGAACTTTGTCGCAAATATGTTTCTTCAAGGAGCCATTCAACGGACAGGTAGGGGACAAGGGATTCCTTATCTTAGGCTCGATTTTTTACATAATTCACTTATGTATAGCTTGTAAAAATTTCATTGTTACTATCTCAACCCTAGCCGTGCTGCTAAATTGTTCCCGAAAAATTTACCAGGTCAATAAATAATTCCATTAAGCTTCAGATTTCCCTCTTGACAAGGAAACAAGATCCCGAATGGTGGACTTCACCCGGGTACGAACGAACCAAATCTCTCCAATTTATCTCTCTTAACTCAGCTTTTCTCCACAGAAAGTCCAGCACGGCCAGATAGCGCCAGGGTCAATTCTTACCGTGAAAACAAGAACCGGTCGACACACCCGTCCAACATGACGCCGTTCATCTTGTATGGCGGGTGGTGAGTATGTTTGATTCATACAAAAATTAGGTCCTGACCCGCACACTTTTTTAAGTGAAAATTTTCTCAAACGAAATTTTAATAGCTTAAAACTAAATCCAGAGTAACGTTAACTTGATAAAGAGCAAAGTTGACTCGGGATTGAGTAAATGCAGTTAACTTAATTTAGAGTTCAGGGTGCACTTAAGTACTTTTCCAAAAGGGTGACAGTATTTTTAAGGGTGTTAAATTAAGCCTGCTAGGTAATACCCTCTCGTTGCCTTCGAGCCAAAAATATTCACACCTGTACCAGAATAGTGTAAGATTTTGAACAAAATGCTGGTCGGGAACTTAAATACCTATTAAAAACGAAAAATTAATGGACTATCTAAATCCTCCCTTAATAGCAGCTCCAACTACGGAAGTAATCCTTACGGCCAGAGAAGCAACATTATTACGCGATAAGACGGTTGTATCCCTTGTTAAGAAGCTTTTACACTGAAAATCCATTTGAATATTTAATAAATCTATTTATTTGCATTGCTAAATACTTATGCTTCATATAAATACGTCAGAGATATTGTATATTTGCACGCAGCTAAATAAATTATACTTAACTACATATGTATGGCGATTCTACATCTTTCATATTTTGCATATGTATGTAGGCACCTGTTAAAAAACGGTTTTCATTCAAAACTCATTCATCCCGACTTCTGACAAAAGGTTTTTATTTGTATGCAGTCATTTTCTTTCAAATTCATTTCACTTCATCTCACTTTACTTCATCGGACTTCATTTCACTTCATTTCACTTCACTTCATCGGACTTCATTTCACTTCATTTCACTTCACTTCATCGGACTTCATTTCACTTCACTTCATCCGACTTCATTTCTTACTTTGTCCAAAGCCCCATGCTTAGCATGTAAGGGTTAAAAAGGAAATGAGTGATAAACCTTCCATTATCGGTCATATAAATTTATCAGGAATGACGGAATCCTTCAGTAATTTTTATTGAATGAAAGGATATTCATACCCACTCACTACCATAATTAGATAAGTATATGGGCAGGGAAACATATATATTATACATATGTCGATAACCTTGGTGACTTTGGTGTACAAAGTTACTTCCATAATTAAACATTTACATAAAATTACAAAATTACTTGCACCAAAATTAAGTATTTATTTATTTAAATAGATAAAAATATTTAAATAGGTATTTAAATATTTAAATTTAAATTAAGTATTTATTTATTTAGTATTTATTTATTTAAATTATCAATCGCCATAATTACCAAAACCACACTTCATTAATCCTAAAAAACAAGTATGTATGTACTTCGCCATTTATGTTTTGGCCCCAATTTATGACCTGATGAAGGTATCTGTTTGTGCCGAAAGCTTGTCAATAAACTCAATTTCAAAAATATGTCCTCCAACGCCGATCAATCAAATTATATACAAAATTAAGTATTTGTTACCTTACCATGTTGCATTATCCACTTATCCAAGTATGCAACGAACTTGGACAATTGTTCGATAAAAAAGTGATACCAAATTGTTTAATTGATCATAGTCCAAAGAAAGGTTTTATTGAAGTTCCATATGTACATATATTCCACTCCACAATATGTTATATAATACATTATGTAATACATGATAAGCCTGTTCGCATCATGATCACAGTGTTATCACAATTCTGGCGAACAATGCCAATGCCACGTTAATTGACCCCAATGCACCCAGACTACCTTTTATCCTTCCATGCCCGTTACACCGATCTCCACTACAAGGTCCCGGTGGACTGGGTCTTCCCCATGTGGTGGTTCGAGGCGTGGTTGTAGTTGGAGTAGTCGTGGTTCTCTGGGTAGTCGTGGTCGTCGTGGTGGTTATGGTTGTTCTCGGTGTCGTGGTAGTGGTCGTGGTTGTGGTCGTGGGGGGTTGTTGGGTGGGATACTTCCATAAAAATTCAACCGATCCGCCAACCGGGTTACTTAATCGGTGCAGTCCCCCAACTAAATTTCTTCCTGGTACAGCGACCGACCCCAGACTATCGTCGGGACCTACATCATTGTCACGGACTTCGATATTGTACACCTGCCATGATGACAAGGAGTGAAAAAATTAATTATAAAGTATCCACACGTTCCCTCGTATGTATGCACATACAAAAGTAACCTATCAGATTGGGTTTACTTTTGCACAAAATTTAAATATGCCAAATAGTTGACAAACCTCGCTGGAAAACACGTTAAAAGATACGGGATCAAAAACTGGTAGTTGGACATTGTCCTGCGTAGGTGATCTGAATACTTCTCGACCTGCGCTGTCCTTTATTTGCAAGAAGGGGTCGTTAATATCGTTTCCGTCGTCCCTGTCGGGCAAGTTGCTGAGAGGAAGATAATTTTATATAAATATGTATATACTCAGGCTGGTGAATATTATACATACGAAGGATAGGTCGATCCAATCCGACAATATCCGATCCGATAAGATAATTTTATAGTAAATAGACCGATCGGAAAATACCGGATCGAACTTTCTTACCCATTTGCGAGATTATGGATCGGATCGGATAGCAAATGGTCGGATAATCCGGTCAGATCGGATCTACATTAATTTATATTTCTTACTACGCGTAGACGATGAAGACTTGAACCTCGGTCACGTTCATGTCCGGATTTTCGGTTGCATCACTGCCAAAAATGAGCAGGGTAAATATCGTGCAGATGAGAATAATTTTCATGATTCTTAGGAGCGTGTTTATCCGTGAATATAATTCTAATGTAGGATTGGAGCGACTGGATAAAAGTGTGAGGATAACATGGTCTAGTGGAACTAATATACAACATTCTTATCTAATCTAAATTATCTTTTACTTTTCTGCGTGATTGATGATCCTTCGCTATCTTAGGGTGGGGCTAAAGAATTCAAAGTTTGTAATCTGATGCAAAAATGATTACATTCGATTTAAGCGAAAACAGCTTATATAACGGAATTTAATTAGGGTTGGTGAAAAAATGAGGATAAAAAGAAAAATCAACTAAAAAATGTGGATAAGAAAAATAAATAAAATAAGCACATTTCACAAACTTTTAGTCATATGTAGCTAAAAATGTCGCTTGTAAAATTAATGGGATTCCGTCTGCCCAATTAACTGGCGAGTATTCCAGCTGTACTGAATAACTCATGCACAGTGTCAGAGTATATAAACACTACGTTGTGAAAACTTTTCAATCGGTTCAATATTCACATGACAAATCCTATTCAACTCACATTGATCCTCACCAAGCCGGTGCATTTCATTTACAATTAATTCGTTCCACCTAGATTTCTTTCCAATTTAGTTGGATGAAAAACCCACCTTTTCCTGATGTAATGACTTATGTATGAAAATCATGAACTGCTCGACACCGAATGTGGGAATAAGTCGATACGAATCATGTTTAAAATATAAATAACCAATTCCTCCATCAACCCTATCAAATTGACCAGAAACGTCACACTCTTAAAAATAATGGCACACTTTTTAGAAGCGAATGTGCTCTGAATTTAAGTATCTTAAATCAACTACATATAAATATGTACTACATTCAGTCAGAGTAAACTTCGCTTTTAATCAAGTTTACGTTCGTAAATTTGCAGAGTGGGTTGGACACTTTCTTCATATCTATACGAATTTTTCTGTTGAACCAATATCCAAACTTAACCGAATGATTCGGGTTCGGTTAGGATGAATACTTTGTCCGAAAATCGGATAACTCACTCAACTCTGATAATTTGCTAAGTTTAAATAGAGTTCGGGATGCGCTTATGCATTCTTCAATAAGTTACATTTCTTTCAAAGATGCATGGATCCATTAAACATTCTTTCGTTGAAAAACCTTCATACATACCCTTCCTTTCACACTGGTTGGTCGAGAAAACTTAATTCTTTTAAGGAATTTTTCCACAATTGAGCATGATTTCCAAGGCAACACTTCAACTACTGGGGAACTTTTTCAGAACATTGACACTTTTTGCAGTTACACCGTTCCACTGGGATAGGGCCGAGTTGCAATTGCATGTTCGAACAGCCAAATCAAGAAAAGATTTAGTGTCCAGATTTTTCTACTGGATTAATAACATAGTTCTCGCCCTAAAAAATATTTATCTCCTTTACTTCCTCTACTTTCATCTCATCCCGGAGGATAACGTGGCAGGGATCGTGTTACAAATGATTTTGATGATGACCTATTTTTGTGCGAGCTTTCATAACACCCTTTTCTGGATGTGGCCGACCACTGTGCCAAATTTGTTTAACGAGTGTTCAGTCTTCAATAATGAAACGCATAGTAAGTTGATTTAAACAATGTTGCTTTTTCGAAAGTAATTGGAGTCTGAATGCTAAATTAATTTGATTTAAGTGAAATAAACTACATAGTTTATTTCAATTAAATCATATGATATACCCAGAGTAACGGTAGTGTTCTCCTGTAGGCGGGTTTTGAATTATAATTTCTGTGTCTTAACTCTCCCTTTTTGGATGTTCGCAAATAAAATTTCAAAACCTGACTATCGCCTTGTTTTTTTTTGCTAAATTGGAATTTTTTGTGTCTGAAAATCGCTAACGCTAGTTTTTTATGTTTTATTTCTATTTTTACATGGAATATAAAGATCGGAATTCCCACCTACGAACTTTATTAATTTTACTCTACTGATTTTTGTTATAGAAATTTAGAAAGAATAAAATCTTAAATTTATAAAAACACATGTAGACGATTAAAACCGTTAGTTGAATATGTACATATCTACGGGAGGACTCCTTCCGAAGGAGGGAAAGTTGCGACTCAAGAATCCACATTCAAGCCTGCCATACAAATTGCATGGAGTTAACGTTTTAAAGTTAACGTTTTCTAAACCTTAGCTTGAAACAGAGTAAAGGTTAATCTGGATTTCGTTTTGTTTCCTTAATTTCGAATTGAGAATGAATTTACTTTTCACACCTTTATTAAAAACATACGAAAAGGTCTTCACTCTATTCTAAACGTTTACCGATTTTATTATGTATGTAGGAACTATGAATCCATCCTCGAAAACGGCTTATCCAGCTGAGAACGATGAGATTGGTCCCATTCTGAAAAATTGTTTCGGGATAATTTGCATCCTCTCGTTGAGCGTGGGGTTGCTGAGTGTGGGAAATCCCCGGCTGGCACCATTCTTTGGGGGGTCTCTCCCACTGAAGTGGACAGAATGGGGACCGTCTCGCGTGTTGATGTCATTACTGGAAATGTATCTGATGGGCTACGCCTGGGCGTGTAACTTGCAAGCCTTTTTCCTCATTATTAGTCAAGCCTTTCTTTTCACGTATTGGACGGGTGAACTAAAATATGTGGAGAAAGCAGGAGAAAACTTTAAGGTATGTGTGTAATTGTTGAATAAATAAGTGTTACGTAAGCCTGTTCAGATTCATTCATTTAATGGAAAATGGATAAATCATTGACTCTTTATTCGCTACATCCATGAGCAATTACTGAATATATATAGGTATTTTTTCAAAATTTTCGAATGAATGAATATCGAACAAATATTTATTCATTTCATATTGGTGAATTATTTTATTCATCCATCATTTTATCACCCTTGACTTACTACGTAGGGTCTATTGAGTAACTCAACTAGAGTTTCGACGAGATGAGTAAAAAAAATTAATAATGAGTACATTTTTTTAAAATATTTTGTATAAATGAATAATTAATGAATAATTAATGAATTATGTTTCCAACTTTAAACTTGACAATTGAATTTTGGATGATGAATTTTATTTTTCAACAGTTGCCCCAGTTTTCTATGACATACCGAAAACTGCTAATCTTATCGGACCTCTACAACATCTCGTACTCAACCCACGTCACTGGGCTGCTCACATTTGCATTTCCTAATCAGGTCTCCGTCAACTATGGGACCCTTTGCCTCTATTCCTCCCTCCCTTTCGGGTCATGGCTGGGGTGCCTTTACCTCTCGTTGAGTGGGGCCTTCAACCTGTCCCAACTCCAAGTCTTGCTGGCATCTCCGTTTGAAGTGTCACAAACAGTTTTCGAGTCGTGGGATAAAATACCTGGAGGAAACCGGAAAGAAATCAGCTCGATGAAACGATTCCGAAAGTACTACCGAAAGCGCTACCCGCTCAGGGTTAAACGGGGGAATTTTGGTATATTTCGGAAAGAGAGTTCGATTGAATGGTTGGACTCGTTAATTGATAAAACTGTTAGTCTGATACTAATTAAGTAAATGATTGGTTATGATCCATTATTATGGATAAGAGTGCCTTTACATATGCAAATGTTACTGCAAAATGCAAACCATACATGTGCCGCACATGGTGGAAATAGGATATGATAGTAATTCTCTTAAATATTGTGAAAACAAATAAAAAACGATTGGATTCAGATTCTTTTAATTAAAGAATAATTAATTATGGTCACGTTCTACTGGAAAGAAGTGGTATCTTTTTTTATATGTCGAGTACCGTCTATTTCATACAAGACTTGTTAATTTTAGGATATTTTATTTACTTATTTACAAAGCAGTAATGCTACAATGCCCATAAGTGAGGCATATACATAAATGTCTTGATTTATTTTATGGCATGGCAAATTTACATTTGCTTATTATTATTACTTATTACGTTACCTATGTCATGGTTAAAATAAGATTGCTTCACCAAAAATTCATTGGTACATGTTACCTACAAAATTTAATCAACACTTTCGACTTCTAATGTCTCCGCAGAACAAATCACAACCCAGAAATATATGAATGCCTCTCTTCCTCTCAAATATCTCCAAACCGAACATAGCTACACAACCTCCCAGAAAAACAACCAGTGTGCAAAATACCACAAAGATATTTGAATCTAGCTTAAGCGGACTGAACTTGATCATTTCTTCTGCCTTCGTTTCCACCGTAACTTTATTCTTTCGCATGCTAACCTCTCTATAAACCCCTTCCCAAAACCGGACCAATCCCATCACCTCCAAACCCATGAACTTTTTTAGTCCAAACGTAGCATCAGCTCCGACAAATTGCCACATTTGCCAAACTTTCGTCCAAACTTGGCGGACAATGTTGCAATGAATTTTATCCCCGTTTTCCCCCCGCTTTATCGTGTTGATCATTATTTTCGAAAACTTTTTCAAAATTCGCGCCGCTCCAAGACCAGGATTCGATCTCACACAGTCCAACGAGTCTTCGTGAGGACAATGTTCTTGAATAAAGCGGTCCCTTGAAATGGGAATTTTGCACCGTTTAAACTCTTCGCGGTCATTCTCCCGCTCAAAATAGGCTTGTATTCTCCCACTCAAATTTCCCTCGGGTTCCTTCGGTAGAAAAATTTTGTATCCAAACTCCATAAATAGTTCTCGATTGGTCGCAATCCGCTCGGGGAACAGGGCCGCCGTGACATCCGTGGTTACATAGCAAACATATAAACTGTTCAGGTACAGAAATCCCAGCAAAAATATGGAACCCGGCACAGATTTCTGTTTCCACCAGGTGTCGCTAGGTGGAATCCCGGCAAGAAGTAGGATAAAATCGCAAGCTCTCCAAAATTGGCGATATAATAATAAAATTATCGTCAAAAATACCCCGATAATTATCCAAACTACTGTTTGAAACGGTAAGAAAAATATGCCCACACCCAAATTTTGTGATAGTCTAGTCCTCGTCTCGCAGTAAATGTAGACCACGTCGTTATTAAAGGTTTCCGCGATTGAGTAGTGTTTTTCGGAAGAGTCGGTGGGAAACAGGGTGTAATCGAGGTTGAGTCGGAGAACGTGTTTTTTATTAATGGAGGGGGATTCTTCGGCGATAAGATCAAGTTCTTGAGGGGAAAGAGGTGTCATATTGACAACTTTTAGGAAAGCGCCGAAAATGACGAAATTAGTTCCAACTTGGGCGTGTGGACGGAGCGCGGATTTTTCCAGGGAGAGGAACCAATTAGTGTATTTTCGGCTGAAATCAATTAACACGGGTTTTCCGAAGGTGACAGTTTTCTTATTAAAATGCTGGAAGGTGTGGACCATATCAAGGAATTCCGACTTGCTGGAGCTTTTTCTAGTGTCGAGAATGTGCCAAAAGTTGTGGTCTTCGCAAAAATGACAACGTATCATGATTTTGCAGTTCCGAGAATTAAGTTTAATTGCTAAGTTGGGAACGAAAATTTGGACACTGTTGTATTCATGGATCTCAAAAGAAGAGGTGCGATTTGGTATGAAAATGAGTACGAAATCACGCTCTTGAGAGAAAGGTTGCAAGTTCTGCAGTATTATTCCAGTACTGGTCACGTTGTCAGAATAGATGGAAATTATCATGTAAAATGTGTAATACCGGGTGGTGTACGGGTTCAGTTTTTGTATGGATTGTTGTTGTGTGATAAGATTTAGTTCGGGACATGCAGATTCTGAAATTCTTGCAGGTTTGTTAAAGTCTTCGAAAGTTTGCAGTTTTGTGTAGATTTTGTGGTTGAATAGGCATGTTTCCGATCTTGAGGGGTTCGTCAAGTGGGAAAAAGTGACAAAGAAATAAAACGTTTGCAGCCTGGAAACCATTGCGAGCGCTTATCTTTTAAAGGGCAATACCGCAGGAGGTTGTTGATACCGAAATAAGTATGCAACACAGTATATACTTAGAATATGTAGAAACTGAATTTTTCTAGTGCACAGGAAATGCCTAATTATTCAAATATACATATGTACATATGTATATTTATGCATTTGTTCTGAAATTATCTTATGGTTTCATAATTATTACCTTGAATGAAATTGGATTCATGATTAGTAATACACATGTATGGATTAATGATGTTCGGTAACTTATTATTTACTGAAGTCTAATTTTCTTCACATAAGTAGTAATTATGTCTAGATAAAAATTGTTCACGTTTAACATATGCATAATGCACATAATATGTATATATTTTCATATGTATGAAAATAAGCTTATTGCTGATTTATTTTTCTGAGACATTTATAATTGTAACTAATATTAATAGACCGGATTTATCATGGAGGCAATTTTTCGATATGTAGTTCTTTCAGCTCTTGGGCAAACGTGAGACGTTGAAAAAAAACCGCGAGAATAAAAAACAGTATTTTTTTTATTTAATCAGCAGATAGAATTTCATATCTCGTCAATTTTTTCGTCTCCGTTGTTAATAAATATTTCCAAGTGTGAAGTGTGAACTTTTTAATTAAATCGGTGAATTATCATTGCACGTGGTAAATTTGATGTGAATTAATTGTCAATTTTGGAATATTCACTTGGCTCCTCGTCCCAAAAAAAGTTGGATCTAGATCTGCTCGTGATTTACGAATGAAAATTAATAAGGTCTGACTTGGAAGTTATTTTGAATAATTATTTGTAATAAATTATGGTCAATAGAATGATGTTAAACTAATAATTTGTCGTATTCGGTGGACAGGACAGCACCATGCAGGCCGAAATTGACCATGCGACGACACAATTGGAGAATCTTGACCTTGTCGCCGACGTCGATAACGTGGCGATGAAGGCTTTGCTCAATCCTTTGGTATTTAATTAATCACTTCATAAATTATGCAACGTTTTATATTAAGTAAAGATATTGCTAAATATATGTGTCATGACGCTAAAAACTGTAGTTTGTTTAAACGTGGAAATTTTGACCATATTTATTTGAAACATTTAGTTCGTTTTATAATTGTGATCTTATAAAAAAAATGGTTTAATTCGGGAGGACTAAGGTCGGTCTGGAAAATTGTGGCTATGACGCAGAGGAAGAAAATTTCTGGGTCATTGACCTTCACCATTTTCTCTTCCAGACGTAAAATCTGTCGCCATTTTCAAAGATTTTTGATGTGCCAAACAAACGTTAAATTTCGAACTTTTCTTCCAAAAAATTGGACATAATGCAATGCTAAATTTTGGGTTTTATTAAAACCACTCAATCTCCCCTCCCGTACGATGACCACAATTTACTTATAACGTCCCCGAATTAATGTATTTTCTCGTAATTAATCATACTCGCTAAAAGGTTAAATTATGCAAATATTATTTCAGATCCTGCAAAAAGTCTTCTGCTCCTTGGACACCAAAACTTTAAAGTCAGCCCGTCTCGTGTGCACCCTTTGGGCCGACGTTGGCGCCGCACCTCTTGGCAAGCAGGGCCGCCACGTCTTTAGGACACGGTCCGACCTCGAAAGTAATAAAGCGATGGCCTCACTCAATCCCGAACTGTTGAAGAATGTAAAAATACTATTCGAAGGGTACAAGACATGCAACTGCGTATACATCATTTGCTGGTGTACTCCAACTCTTCCCTTGGACTTTGTCTGGATTTTGCCCCAAATTTCTGACAAGCTGGAAACACTCGAGGTCTTCTATGTCACGGCGTTTGAACCCATACGGGAACTTTGGAGCAGTTATAATTTTCCACACCTGGCTCGCATCCGGATCCTCGCCGACAGAGAATATCTTGACGAAGCGGAACCAATGTTGAAGGAAATGGCAGAATTTCGACCCCTCCCAAATCTGAAGGTGTTCTCCTTGAGAATGTTCTCAGGCTGTAGAAACCCCTCGTCAAGGGCGCAGATGTCAACCATTTGCCAAAACCTGATCAACTCCTCCCCCAACTTGGAGGAATTCGAGCTTCACTCAACTTTCTACGTGGATTTGACGGCATGCGGAAAACTCAAGAAGTTCACGTTCAATTACGACCCGACAGGAAGTTTTGAATTTGAAATCTCCGAAACGACGAAAATGCTAGAAAGTGGTCGAACTTCTTTGGAAAGTTTGATCTTGAATTATACTATGGAGAATGATGACTCGATAGAGGTAAAAAAAACTCCTCGCAGTTATCGAATTTTTTGGTTTTATTCAAGTTTAATTTATTAATATTTTTTGTTTCCAGCTGAATTTCTACTTCCCGAATCTCACCCACCTCCAAACGAATGCTGCCGACGTGTATGTCCTTAAAGACTCTGTGAACACCACAAATCTCCCAAAATTGACGCATTTCTCCATGTCTACCATCGATTATCCTTTCCAATTCGAAATTTCTGGAATGCTTAGTCGCTACCATCTGCGTCACGTTGGGATAACCTCGCTCGACATATGTTGCAAGAATCATTTTCCCAGAATTGGCAACAACGAGGATGGAGAAGCTGCCCGAAGACTGGTCGATCTCTTCCCGTCCGTGAAGGAATTGAAATTTAACTTGAAGATTGTGGTCTTCAGAGATTACGACCAATATTTTTTCGATTTGATGGAAATCATGCGATCTTTTGGGGAATGGGAGTTGTCACGCGGGGAGGTCGATTTTCATCTGAAAGCTTGTCAAGGGCCCGAGATAAATGACCATCACGAGCGTGACTTTGTTTCGCTGTTTATCATTGCTGTATTGAGAGGAATGACGGGATGGACAGGTTATCATTTCACGTAATTGATTATTTATCGGTTAGTAAATGGTTTTTATGAAATTTGTAGGCTTGGCCAACACGTCACTGAAGTTTAGTACCGATTGGCGCAGGCCTGCTGAGTTTAGGCTGTTGGACGAGGTGCGAGATGCCATCCTATCCTGCAGGACGATTCGAAGCCTGGCTATTAGTGGGCTCTTGGTACATTTTTTTTTATTTTACTCACTGTTATGATTGAAAAAATATAACAAAAAACGTAAAAAAAATATTTTGTACAGATGGACGCGGAGACGAAGAATAATCTGGAGACATTTATTCGAGAACAAAATTTGCCAATTATTACGCGGTTCAATAATTGAAATTGAAGTACTGATACTTGAAGCGTAAAAATGTCATAATTTCTTCATTACTACTACGATTTGTTTATTTTCCTACGTTGAAATATGTATATGCTAAATATTGCTAAAATGTGAAATTTAATTAGCCCTGTGCCAAATAGCTTGAATGTTTCCTGAGTTTAAGAATTTCTTTCTGGGTCAAATTATTTAACTCAAAGTTGTTACAACAGCAATTCATTTAAGCCTTAAAATTGTACCTGAGTTACGAATTGTCTTCATTCTTTTTTGATTTGAGAAATATTCAAGGGTAAATGTAAGTATTTTCGACTTGAATAATTCAAGTTGAATTCTAAAATTTATTGTAATCTTTTGTGTGTCAAAAGTGTTATTAATTTAAAAAAACTTAAATAAATGAAGCGTGGTTTGTAAAGTGAGTACAAAAGGTTGAAGAAATTGCGATATCTACTAATACCTAGTCAGAATTTTTGAGTTATGCTTCTAATTGCAAGTTGCAGCTGCTGATAAAAACCAGGCGAAATGTTCAACAAAATCATTTCCCATATTTCGCAGGAGAAGGTGAGACAAAGTGAGAAAAGTGGTTGGCGGTGGGTATCCACCACCATCGTGCGTTAGGGTCTATGCGCGATCCATTTTCTCACTCTGTTTCTCATACGACAAAATATATCTTGGAATAGACTGTTTCTTTCGCGAGGATGCTTTTTGGACGTGGGAAAACAACTTTTGAACACTCATCCATGCCCACTCTCGTTCTGTTTTTCTCTCCTCTTGTTTACTCAAGTCGAATAATTATACTGGAGAATTAATTATAAATTATAACAAATGTTCCAAATAATTAATAAACTTCAACCTTCCTTCTTTAATTTATTATTTTGAACTGGTTCTTATTCTCTTCTGTAGTGATTGGGGAGTGAATTTTGTAAATTATTTTTGGTAAAATTGCATTATTACGGCCTAGCTCGGATTTGGCTGATAATTTTTGTGTAAATACCTATTATGGTCCCCTGAGCAAGGAAATACTTTTTTTTGCGGCGGTCTCGAAAATTAAAATTTCTAGAAAGCTTCGAAATTTTGTATAAAAATTATTTTTTGCCTCAGATTTTCCTGAAAATGATTTTATAGACTAATTAAACTATGCTGAACAAGAATATGAAGGATTTTTTGAAAAACATTCAATAGTAAAAAAGTTATAAATTATTGAAATTTTGTATACAAATTTTTCTTGGATGTTCCAGAGAATTTCAAGACTTTGTCTCAGTTTCCCACACGATAGGAATATTTTGTGGTAAAATCAGATTTTCGGGGTAAGATGAGATTTCTAGTTTCCAGCACTCCTAGCTAGCTCTCCTAGGTACCACTACTAGCTAGCTCTCCCAGATAGCTCTCCTAGGTAGCACTACTAGCTAGCTCTCCTAGGTAGCACTACTAGCTAGCTCTCCTAGGTAGCACTACTAGCTAGCTCTCCTTTTTCAAAAGCCATTTTCATGAAAATCTAAGAGAAAAATTATTTTTATACAAAATTTCAAAAATTTTTAGAAATTTTATTTTTTGAAACCGCCGCGAAAAAAGGTATTTTTATGCATATGGGACCTTAGAGTATTCACACAAAAAATTTCAGTCAAATCCGAGCTAGGCCGCTATACTGCAATTTTACCATAATTTCTATACCAAATTTCAAAAATTCACAACGTTTTTGTTTTTCGAGACCGCCGTGAAAAATTGAAAACTTATTTCCGCTATTTTGATTAAATTATAACCCATAAAATGAATGATTTTCGTTCAGATCATTTGTTGTATTGTAATATGATGCACACTTTTCTGTGTGGACGTGCTCTGGTGCTAAGTGTGGGACGGCCCGTGCACCGCACCAAGTTGAGGCAAGTTGAGCTATCTATCTAACAGAGCTACATTTCTTATCGTGTGCAGAGAGAAACAGACTCTCTCTGCACTCATTAGTGGCCAGAGTTTGTTATGGCTCTTGCGATATAAGATGGCCCCCACAGAAACTTTGACCCCAAAAATCTCATGGTCCGACGCATTTCCAGTCGGGCAACAAAAGCTGAAAAGTTAGCTCTTCAAATGGAGAAAATTCTGGCATCAGGTTGTCAGACTCGAAATGGGTAGGACCATGACTTTTTTAACGATTTATGTGTAAGTCAAAAAACCGCCAATTTTCGAATTTTGAAACTTTTGATGCATCAAAATGTCCGCATTCATGGGCAAATTAGAATTGCAAATGCAAGTTGGGGTCTAATTCTTGTTGTACCGAGTGTGCATTGGATTTCTCATTTTTCCCAGTTTCCTTTCTCAATTTTTAAAAGGGGGGTGGTTGAATATAATTCAAAAATAGCTATGCTGAATTGACGGTTGCACCCGGAACTCTACTTGCAAGTTTTTATATTTAATTCCAAGAAATCGATGCAACGTAGAATGGAACATTTCCCATAATACGCCTCTGCTCTTGAATACAGATCTTTTAACTTTTAATGTGATTTTAATTGTTTAGATTCCAGGAGGTATCTAATATTCGAATAGGAATTCTTAAAGTAGGCAGTAACATATTCCACATCATCAAACTAATATTATATACGGTAATAAATATAAATACAAAAGAACGAATCTAGACCAATAAGTATTTAAATTATTTGTCATTTCGGAAGAAAACTCGAATTAAACGATCTTATGTATTTATGGAAACAGTTTTAAGTATGACTGTCACGCAACATTTTACAACATGATTCGGACAGAGTGATGATGACTAAAGTTTAATTTATTGCAGGGAAGATAGTCTAATCCCTACGCAGATAAAATTGATAAGCTGTCGACCGTATCTGTTAATATATGGCCCAATCTTAATATTAATGAATCAAAGTAATCGCTCAGTTTCTGGCTTCGCCATCCGTCACACAAATTTTTCTACCTTCTAGATTTATAAATCTTCAGTGTGTACATATGGATGGATGTCTGACTTGAAGAATGTATGTATTTTAATCACTAAATTTAATTACATTCAATGTCTACTCAATCCATATTTAGAAGTTGAAAAAATGTTGTGACACACATGCAAAAATTATGCATAACAGATATAATTTTTGCATGCGTAATCGTACATTCTGCGTACTCGTGCTGTTTGTAAATGCAATAATAAAATTAATAAATGGATTAGCCCAACAGCCAATTTAAAGCTTTCGTCCCCAGACTTGTCGGCCTTTTTCGCTTTCGCTTTGCGTGCATAATTGGAGGAATAGTTTTTATGGCGATAAGCCCACATATATATCATTACTTCGCGGAATGTGCGGCATGGATCTGTAATTATGGAATTGATAACAGAACTATCCAGAACTAATTACAAGACTAGATTAAATAAGTTAAGATGTGCAGAACTTATACTTATAGAAAACTTATGGGAATTAATTTGCAACCGAATCATGGTGTCTGGATAGTTTGGACCACAATGATTAGAATGTCTTTTGCAATATAAATGACGATTTCCATCAGCTATCGCCGGTAAAAAAGGTCATATTTTATTTTGTGCTGTTTTATCTAAAAAACCTGCTCAGCGGGTCCGAACTATTTGATTTAGACAGTTTTTAAAATTTCCACGTCCTCCTCCGTCTAATGGTATGGGGGAAAGCACTGCCTGTTTCGACAAAACTTGACAACTTTCTCCCTCGATTGTGAAGCAACCAGTAGGCCCACAGCGGTCAAACTTCGCATGGGCAATCCCCGGGGTATGCTTTTGGGTCATCCTGAAGCGCTAGGCCCTACCCTTACCCCATGACCTGAAAATGACACGAGGTCAACTTACAAAGTTAGCTCATCCATCACCATTTTTTAAATAGCTCGCATTTCAACAATCCCCGATAGATTTTCTTCATATTTGATAAAAACTGATCAGATTGACTTGTACTATCAGATTCATTAAGGATTTTTAAATTTTTCCAAGGTCAACAAGTTTTTCGCACAAACGAAAAAGGTCACCAGGCAAAGTCTCACATAACCCCATAAGTGGGGTATCGTTGGAAAGGTCTTGGTGGGAGGATTCAGAATATATATACTTTATGGGGTCTGGGACCACCCCCAGATTGTATAGAGACCGATGAGCAATATCGAGTTTTCCTCAATCTACCGCAATGTTAACTCTCAATCTGCTCCTGTGTAAACGTCTGCATGCACGGAAAACCAAAACTCAATGATACTCATCGGTCTCTATAAAATCTGGGGGTGGTCCCAGACCCCATAAAGTATATATATTCTGAATCCTCCCACCAAGACCTTTCCAACGATACCCCACTTATGGGGTTATGTGAGACTTTGCCTGGTGACCTTTTTCGTTTGTGCGAAAAACTTGTTGACCTTGGAAAAATTTAAAAATCCTTAATGAATCTGATAGTACAAGTCAATCTGATCAGTTTTTATCAAATATGAAGAAAATCTATCGGGGATTGTTGAAATGCGGGCTATTTAAAAAATGGTGATGGATGAGCCAACTTTGTAACTTGACCTCATGTCATTTTGAGGTCAAGGAGTACGGGTAGGGCCTAGCGCTTCAGGATGACCCAAAAGCATACCCCGGGGATTGTCCATGCGAAGTTTGACCGCTGTGGGCCTACTGGTTGCTTCACAATCGAGGGAGAAAGTTGTCAAGTTTTGTCGAAAAAGGCAGTGCTTTCCCCCATACCATTAGACGGAGGAGGACGTGGAAATTTTAAAAACTGTCTAAATCGAATAGTTCGGACCCGCTGAGCAGGTTTTTGAGATAAAACAGCAGAAAATAAAATATGACCTTTTTTACCGGCGATAGCTGATGGAAATCGTCAAATGCGATGCCTATGCTTTTTGTCGGAACAGAATTAATACGGATGAAGCGTACAAAAGGAGCCAGAAAGTTTTATGGCGTCGCATTATCACGTCAGGTCCAGACTTGGACTCGTACCTATCAGACTAATAAATAAAGACGTATTTAGAAATCTAAATGTTTTGTTATTCATTTCACTTATGTATGTAATGTACTTACAACAACATTATGTAATTATGTAACTTCGGAGATTTAGAGGATTTAAGCGACAATTTTGAATACTTCGAAAAAAGTTTATTCAATCTGACCTTTCCTACAAGGGTGGCACGGTTTAAATTTTGTTAACATGCTGAGAAATATTTATGGCGTACAAGGTAAGATGTTACCTGATCAGCACCATATGCAGACAATTATGCCACGTTGAGCTAATTATGAGAATAGTTCCCGTTATTTCCAGAAATTAATCCATTTATAACGTTTCTGTATATTCTAAATTGGATTTCGTCGGTTTTTCTACTGCGTAGTGTGGATAATTGAATTCATCCCTTTATTATTTTGCGGCGTACTTAAATTACGTGTGCAATAAAGCTGCAATCGGATTAAATAATATTTTCGAGTCATTCTGGCGTGAGAATCAAATCCAATAAATTATACTTCAATTGATGCGAGTACAGTGTAATAAATAACTGAATATGTCATTATGTGCTTACCTGGCGCTTGGCAATATGCCTGACCGCATGAATTGCATTAGGCCAAGTTCAATGTCAATACAATTTATGGATACATTAGTAAAAAATAAGCTCATTGTCGCTGTTGTGAATAAATATATTATTTTGGATCTCGCTCGGCACTTACTAGGTATGCTTCCGAAGTGTTCAATCAGTAAAATTTCTCTGTCATATTGTAACGTAAACAGTGAATTTGAAATCACACGCAATGTATTTTTTTTTGTATTTTGATATTGTGTATAAGAAGTTTTGAAGAAAGTAAAAATAATGAATAGCCCCGAAAATGGTGCACGTAACCAACTCGCAAATGTTTCTACATGGTGACAGCTACTATTGATTTGAAAATTTTTAACCGTGATGGAATTTCTACCCGCCAAAAACACGTGTCCACTTAATCAAAATTGCGAGCGGGCTGAAATTCAAATCAAATCCATTACGTTTAAGTATTTTCCAACCAATATTTCTCGAACTGCTCCCTATTCTATTCTTACATTTGCAAGAAGTTAAGGCGAGCCTTGAGTCTTCCCTTCGTGCGTTATCCCCCCCCATGTGTCATGCTTCGTTATGAAGATATTAAAATTAACTTTTACTGTTAATACATATGCAATGAAATTTAAATGTTATTACTTTAAAAATTGTATATTTTTAACTTAACAAAATTGTGGAGCAAGATTTTAGGTCCTTCCTGTGAGGGGCAATAAACTATTAACGAAATAATTTGTTTTTCAAAAAATTATGGGTCTACCTAGGTACAATTTTGTTAAGCTAAAAATATAGAATTGTTTATAGTAATAATATTTAAATTTCCATGCATATTAATGGCGAAGGGTTAATTTTCAGTTCTTCATAAGGAAACATGATACATGGGGCAGACGCCGAGAAAGACGCGCAGGAATAACTCGCCGAAGTTCATATTAACCTTATGTAACCTTCACACTGCTAGTACATATAACCTGGTTTCTAACTTACTTGCTAACTAAACTAACCTATTGAGGTTAACCTCTTCACTCTTCGTCACTGGATTAACGCTTTGACCTTTAATTGTAATTTGGGCTAGCTAATTAGCTTACATTCTACTCTTTGTCGGACTTGTGTTAAAGCTGATTTGTCTGATCAGTCACACAAGAAAAGAACCTGCTTAATGGCTAAGAAACTTATATAAATGTCCGATATTTTAGTAGTGGGACACCACGGTAGTTTACCTTCTAGGATAATGATATTGTTGACCCAGTTCGATGACTATGTATATAAGTTACTTGCGATGCAAAAATACCGACGAGCAATACCAATTAAAAGCCATCCCTATTCCAGGAATAATAACGTCAAGGGTAATTATGTACTAATTAAGTCGGGACTCTTTCATACCCCAATCCGCTGATACTATCACAATGATGGTACTAATAAATGCGTACGAAATATATTATTCATATTATGAAAGGTTCCGATCCTTGTCTTCAGTAGTTTGCTGGAGGTGCAGCGACACACTGGCCGCAAAATGAGCTCCCAATTAATTTGCAAGAGTACATTTTTCGTAAGTATTCATGCCATAATCCACATTTTCATGCGAATTTAAGAGTCAGACTAAATCGATTCTAAAGAGTCAGCCACCACAAATTTTAAAGTTCTAAATCAATAATATGAACCTGTCGCCGTACTCCTTGTGTGAGTAAATTAAGTCAAATTTTTTAGCAGATAAGAGGGGGGGGGGGCATAATTTTCTGGGGAAAGAAGGCGCAGGTGGAAAGACACATTTGGAGATGGGATTAGAAAATTCGAAACTACTGTTTTTTACTTCGAACAGATTTTTAACCTTTTCTAAATTTCGATTTATTAATATACGAATTTTTTGATAACCTGGTTTTTGGCCTTGACACAAAGGCATGGCGAAATGCTGATTGGTTCAATTTTCCACACTTTTTGAAACGTTGTGGCAGTGGAGAAATAGCGAGGTTATCAAAATGAACCTGCGTGATCTCACATTGGACTTCAAAGGACCCACATTACCCTGTGGCTCACTGCCCCAAGACCTTCCGAGAATTCGAACAGCCAAAATAGGTCAATTTCGACTTTAACAGTAATTGAACTATTTTCATCATGAAAAACAACATAAAAATACCAAAATTGAGTAAAACAAATCCAATTTAAAATTCCGCCATATTTTTGCGTTAAAAATTTAAAAAGTAAGCAAAGTTAAGATGGGGAATGAAAAAAAGAAAAAAGTTATCTAGAAAAATGAACACAATTTTCGCAGTATTGAATACCAGTATTAGCAAAGATAAATATATTCTAATTCTATTCACCCGTTTCAAAGATATGCTCCTTTTCATGTACTGTTAGGTCCTAACAGTTAGGATACTTACTTTTTATCCGAACTATTTACGTGCGTCATCCTAATCGACCATAACCGTGCCATTGGTTAATTCCCCAGCCAAACAATATCGCTCCATGATCACACACTGAGGAGGACAACCCTTCACCGACAGAATCACCGATTTCGATGGCCTTTGGATATGTTGTAGTCCTAGGTGAGTCTAGCAAAAGTGAAGAAAGATTTCATTCAATGGCCCCATTTGCGCCCGCCACACCCACTCAAAGGTGCGAAAAACACGAAAAATACCCTGTTTTCGTTCATTCAAAAAATCACCAAAAATCCAATTTTGATCGGATTTTCATAATTTAAGCGTTTTTGTGATCTTAGATAGTTGTTTTATCATATCCAATAGCAAACTCAAATTTTTTGAAATTTTGATTTTTTCGAAGGCTACCCCAGGTCAGGAAATTTTCGAAAATACTCAAAAAATTAAAAAAATTGAGTTTGCTATTGGATATGATAAAGCAACTATCTAACATCACAAAAACGTTTAAATTATGAAAATTCGATCAAAATTGGATTTTTGGTGATGTTTTGAATGAACGAAAACAAGGTATTTTTCGTGTTTTTCGCACCTTTGAGTGGGTGTGGCGGGCGAAAATGGGGCCATTGAATGAAATCCTTCTTCACTTTTGCTAGACTCACCTAGGACTACAACATATCTAAAGGGCATCAAAATCGGTGATTCTGTCGGTGAAGGGTTGTCCTCCTGAGTGTATTTAATAACAGGTTGCAATTATTGATTGTTCTACTTAAGTTTTTTGGTGGGTGTCTCGTCGAACATGTTATTCTGAAATAAATTTACTAATACAACATATTCTACCTCCACGTAAATATTTAGATAATTGTGCTAGCCACTATTTTGGTGGACGACACTTTAACAAGGAATGTGGTTCAAAACAACGATTCAAAGGGTTCGGCCCAGATAAGAATGGGTATATTGACTGATCCTACTAATGATACAGATTGTTCTGGTACTGGGGATCCACCGGTTCTACCAGCTTTTGCGGATCCCAACAATATGTAATTTTCGTACATTTCTTACACGGTTAGAAATATTGATGTAAATGGATACTTAATTACATATCTATCTATTAATTGCACGCAGCACAAACTTTTATCAGTGCCTCTGGTTTCCTGATAACACATGCTCCTGCGCATACTGGTACCTGGCTCATATTGCGTGTTCACCAGGGGGTTACTTCGACACGACCTTATTAGACTGTTTGCCAATTGAAGGTAAGAACGCTATATAAATTCTAAGTTTTTAGAGAAATGATAAAATTTTTAAATTCTAGTGACCTCGGGACCAACGGATTTGCCGACTACGACTGAACAATTTACAACAGAGCCACCAACCACAGAAGGACCCACAACCACAGAAGTACCCACAACCACAGAAGTACCCACAACCACAGAAGTACCCACAACCACAGAAGTACCTACAACCACAGAAGCGCCCACAACCACAGAAGCACCCACAACCACAGAAGTACCCACAACCACAGAAGTACCTACAACCACAGAAGTACCCACAACCACAGAAGTACCCACAACCACAGAAGCACACACAACCACAGAAGCACCCACAACCACAGATCAACCAACAACCACAGATCTACCAACGACCACAGATCAACCAACAACCACAGACCAGCCAACAACCACAGATCAGCCAACAACTACAGATCTACCAACAACCACAGATCTGCCAACAACCACAGACCTACCAACAACCACAGATCAACCAACAACTACAAATCTACCAACAACCACGGATCTACCAACAACCACAGATCTACCAACAACCACAGATCAACAAACAACCACAGACCAACCCACAACCACAGATCAACCAACAACCACAGATCAACCAACAACCACAGACCAGCCAACAACCACAGATCAACCAACAACTACAGATCTACCAACAACCACAGATCTGCCAACAACCACAGACCTACCAACAACCACAGATCAACCAACAACTACAGATCTACCAACAGCCACAGATCTACCAACAACCACAGACCAACCAACAACCACAGCCCAACCCACAACCACAGATCAACCAACAACCACAGATCAACCAACAACCACAGATCTACCAACAACCACAGACCTACCAACAACCTCAGATCTACCAACAACCACAGACCTACCCACAACTTCAGACGTACCTACAACCTCAGACCTACCCACAACAGCACAACCAGTAACAGAGTTAACAACACCTTCGCCGTTCACGTGCGTAGAAGAGGGCACCTTCCCACATGCGAACTGTACCATGTATTACCGATGCATACTCATTATGAATCAAATGGTCAAATACGAAATGGCCTGCCCAGCAAATAGTTACTACAACCAGGTTTCTAAATTATGTGTACTTGGAACCTGTCCAACAACCACACCGACAACAATTTCCTCCACTACATTAATAACTACCATCATAATGACGACTGCTGACACTACAACCCAAGAAGTAACTACCACACCTGTCACAACTTTCATTCCCTCAATAACCACTGCCGGACCCGAAATGCCTACCTGTACTGACCCAGGAGTGTACCCATATCCAGGCGATTGCACCCAATATTTCAAGTGTGTTGAGTTTGCAGGAGGTTGGTACATCTATATTTATAAGTGTCCGATTGACAGCTATTTCGACGGTACCATTCCGGGTTGTGTCGTTGGAACTTGTCCAGCAACAAATCTAACTACATCACCTCCAACAACTACTGAAATTACTACAGTTTCCGATACAACACCAGAATCCACCACGCCAGAAGCAACGCCAGTGGCATCCACCACAATAGCCCCATTCCAATGCGGCACCACGGAAGGTACTTTCCCCGACCCTACCGACTGCACAAAATACAAGAGATGCATAATAATCGCTGGGGTTATGCGCTTATACACGTACACTTGCCCGTCAGGGTCATCTTTTGATCCTGCCAAGAACTTATGTGTGACAGGAGCTTGTCCAACTACACTCCCTCCTACAACTACTGCAATTACAACAGCAGCCACCACCTCAACGCCATCTACAACATTAGCCCCATTCCAATGCGGCACTACCGAGGGCACTTTCCCCGAACCAACAGACTGCACAAAATATAATCGCTGCATTTTAATCGCTGGAGTTATGCGCTTGTACTCGTACACTTGCCCTGCAGGGTCGTATTTTGATCCTACAAAGAATTTATGTGTGTCAGGAACTTGTGCAGGCACACAACCTCCAACGACAGTAATTCCGACAACGACTGCAATTGCAACAGTACCCACCACGTCAGGGCTTCCTACCACAGTAGCTCCTTTCCAGTGCGGCGCCACCGCGGGTACTTATCCGGACCCTACAGACTGTACGAAATATAATCGCTGCATTCTAATCGCGGGAGTCATGCGCTTATACTCATACACTTGCCCTTCTGGATCGCATTTTGATCCAGTAAAGACATTATGTGTTCAAGGAACTTGCTAATGATGGTGCCCATCTTTTGAGACAGTTTTATCCAAATAGTCAGTATTCATGTCCAACGGTTATTAATTTAGCTACTATTTCAGCACGATAATGGTCAAAGCGATATAGAAATTTGGATATTAAGTTTCCAGAAAATTGTTAACAACCCAGTCCACACATTCGTGATTATTATTGTTATCTCTATAGTTCGCCAAATACTTCTTTAATCTACGCAATCAATGTAAACATTCAAAATATCTTCCACTTATCATATTATTGTAATGTGATACTTCGCTAAATACTATTCGACATGTACGACATTATATCTTTCTTCTGAATCCATTAATGTTGAATATGGAATGAAACAATTAATTATTCTACTAACTTGTTAGGTTACCGGATATATGTTCCATCAAGAGTTACTAATCATTATTTTCGTAAATTTGGGCAATTACATATATCAGGAGTTATCGTAGCGGAAGCGGGATGATGTAAATATCTACTTTGTGGGGTAACCACCCTTGATGAAGACAACCAGGCTAGCGGCGGTAGCACATGAAAGGATAAACTCCGACCCATACAATCAATTGCCGATAAAAGAAAAATTACATAGATTATACAAATAATTTACGAAATAGAAATTTAACAAGCTCTCACCTGAAATCAAAACCACCATCTGTAGATATAACCCATGAATATGTTTTCATCAAATAAATACAAATTATTCAGTAAACACTTATTTACAAAGCCTAATTATAAGACTTATGACATAAGTTATCTATGTATGTAGATATGCAGCGTAAAAAAGCTTATTTACTAGGGTTGCCCCGGGTACCAGATAGTTACCCGGTACCCGGCATACCCGGCCTGTTTTGGGATCCCCGGTACCCGGCCGGGTATACGTCAGTACCCGGTCTACCCGGCCGGGTAATTTATATATTCAATTTTCTTACTTAAAACGCGAAACCTTACAAAAAAATATAATCCGACGGAGTTCATTTTTGTAGTTGGTATAAAAAATATATTTGGAAATAATGGGTACAACCTTGGGCAACACTTACCGTAAATACTCTATTTATAGCCGGGGCTAAATTCCAAAACCGAGGGTCACGGACCCGGCTACAATTAGAGACCGGCTATAATTAGAGAGCCGGCTAAATTTTGTTTTCTTTCAAGATTTTTTTTAAGTTTCTGTCATGATTATATCCATAATTAACTTAAAAGTAACAGGTAAAACTTAGTAGTTCAACTTATTCGTTGATTAGTATAATGTGCTACATTTTTCTTGAATGGACTATGAACAGGGACACAGCGGACAAGACAGGTCATAATTAGAGACCCGGCCATAATTGGGGACCCGGCTATAATTAGAGACCCGGCTAAAATTTGGAAATCTTGGTCGCTAGACCCGGCTATGTTTGGAGACCGGCTATAATTAGAATAGGGCTATAAATAGAGGTTTTAGGGTATTTGGAAATTATCAAATTTACAAATTTTAAAATAACTTTGAGCCCACTCACGTCAACGAATCATCAATCAGTCAATTTGAATATAATTTGCATTAAGCATAACTTGTGCAGTTTTTGCAAGATTTACTCAAAGCTTTTTCTATAAACCCATCGTAAGATTATTTATTTCCGATACTCATACTACCGATCATCAGCGAGAGAAAATGCGAACATTCATGACAAAAAGATCAAAATAGACGTCTTTAGTTGATTTGCGAGGCTTTCGAAGTGCTATCGTGCTAATTGATTCGCAGGATATCACCTGGAAAGTCTCGCAAAATTTGTTTTATGATGGGATTCGAATCCGCTCAAGAAATAACTTTTTTAAGCCTCACAAGTTTGCTAAATGATTGCAATGATAAAGAATGCATTGTCGTGAGTACGCTCTTTGTGTGTCCCACATGATACTTTCATCTTTCTAGCCCGAATCTTTAACCTGAGAAGTTGAAATTAAGATAGGCTACATCGGTTACCTAGTTGACCTGTGGGGGTCGTAAAAGTGTAACCATAGAGAAGGCGACCCATACCAATTTTTACAAAATAAAACGTTCATCTGAAATTTGTATGGAGGTTAAAAATGAAGTCTGCACTGTAGAAATTAAAATTGTAATTTTTAAAACTTACAAAATTGTTGAAAATTCTAGAAAAGTAGAAAAATTCCCGTTATTTTCAATATATATGTAAATATTACCCGGTACCCGACCGGGTAGCCGGGTACCCGGCAAAAATTTTAGGCCGAGTACCGGGTAGCCGGGTACCGGGTAGTACCACTACCCAGGGCAACCCGAAATATTTACTCACTTTAAAAACTTTCACTGCTTTTACAATTCAAACCATTTTTTACCCTTTCCTCAAGGGAAGTTGTAGTGTGCAGGTAAACATCGATATAAACAATTTCCTATACGATTATGTAGCATATGTACATACAAATGCCGGATATGAATGACATATGACTTTCTCCATTTATTGAACCACAGCCCCCAAACTTTCTGAGCAGGTTCGCGTCAGTACTAGATCAAAGCACAATTTTTGGATTTCAAAAATTATCAAAATCTAAGAAAATCTAACTCGACTTATAATTTAAATTTTGCTCAAACATAGCGAAAAACGAGACGGCTTTGGCGTGTGATTAGTTGTCTAATTATACGAGCATCATATTCATGCAGCACTTTGTAAAAATAAAATTTGATTGAATTGTTAATTAAAACGGGTAAATATCTGATGCATTTACAGTAAATTTTAATTGTTTGTGAAGTTTATCAAAATAATTTACCAAAATAGTTAAAAACTTCCACTGAACGAGGCCCAAAATCCGATCGGCAATTATCCGTTTTAATGGAGAATTTCCATTATATCCCATTTCCATGATTTTATTCATATCAGCCAACGAACCAATCTCTACTCGTTGCTGCCTCACGTACAACAATTTCATGCTGAAAATACATTCTTAATTTAAATTGCTAATAAACCTCAATTTCTAAGAATTTCATCCCATATATCCCTGGTTAACTCGAATAGTGCAATGTCTTACACCACATTTGTATGGGCGTGTCGTTGCGTTATCACCACTAGCGATTTGCAATACCGATGAGCTCCAACACTCTTAAAAACCATGCGTCCATCATCACGGGGTGGTGTACACATGTATCGCCTTCAACAAATGCTGACAACCTTTTTAACCTCATGGTGCCAAATTTTAACGGCTAATGTCAATTTTAACACTATTAGGTGGGAAATATGATCACTCTACGACGCAGTCACATACACAATCACATATTTAGGATTGACATATTGAAGATTAACACGCGGGTTTTTAAGTGTGTAGAAAAATTCTAAGTCAGTCAAAAACAGATTTCCAGGGGTACTCAATGTTCTTTGTAATACTTTGTATGTATGTATGTAGAGTGTGGCCACCTGACCAATTCAGTTAAGCTGAAATTAACATTTCTTGCAGAAGTAAAATTTTTGTAGTGTTGTATTTGCCTAAATCATAGCATGTATAAACGTACTATCTGTCCACGGCAAGTTGAACCCGGAGATATGGGAGACTAAACTCAGTTCAACGTTAATAAGCATGGGCCGGGATTTAGTCTTCCATATCTCCGGGTTCAATTTGCCGTGGACGGACTATGTAAGCTTTGTCAATGTCTGACCTCCGATCTATGAGATGTATGCATAAATATGTACAGACATACATTAATGTGCATTTAATTGTGCTGCAAATTGTTCATTGTCAAATTTTTACCCATTTTACGCCAGTTTAATTTGGTCCTGGTTCCTGGCAGACTGCTAAAAATGTGGTGAAGTCATATATGCAAATACACATATACACCCGTGATGAAATTTATTTAGTAATAACTTCTCAGCGTGGGTAATAAATAGTCTGATTCTAATCGGTTAAATTTCATCAACTCAAAGGTTTATGTGTTTATATCTACATTTTTCGCCCAGGAAACGGTAATGTCCGTATTCACAGCGCCGCTACATTCGGTTTGGTGATGATTCCATACTATTTTGCTAAGAATGTCCCTTCCACTCAAAGGACCATGTTTTGGTGAGACGGTTCATATTTTATCTTTATTGATTTTCTGCATTAAGGGATGAGTTACATTTTTGAAATCGACCCGTGGAATGACACCAGATAAACTTGTATATGGAACTTTAGAAGCCAACATATCCCATTTGTTCATTCATATTACGTATTAGATTTCACGTTAATATATTTATTTACATGATTTGTTTGCTCATATGATTTTATTTTATTTCATTAACAATTTAAATTTGGAATTAGTTAAGACATATTCTACATAATAATTTCAGGAACACGTTTTTAGACAAACATTTTTTTGAACCCGGCATTTCCACACATCCCGTATTTTTCTAAGGAATAAAGCCTGAGTTTTGCCCGACTAATTAATTAATTATGGCGTAAAGAAGAAACAAATGATGTTGGAACTGCTGAAAATTTTTTAGTTGCTCAATTTTAAGATTAATGTGATGATGATTATTGCCTCGATAGTTTATATATCTCCAAGTAAATAAGTAACAAGCCAAGGAGATGTGTGGAAGTGGCTTTGTGTCGAATATAAATTTCATTACTACATGTACATATACATAAATTTAAATCTGAATTATTTATTTGTGATTTATTTATATTTAAACATTAAGGACGACAAAAGTTTTGTCTTAATTTGGTTAATTTGTAAAAGAAATTAGACATTTCTTTTACATAAGCACGATACATTGATAGGAATGTAAGCTTACATTAGAAAAATTTCTTATCTGGTTGTAAATATGTAGATAAGAATTTATTGACATTGAAAGTGCAAGTATGATGTAACATATATTGGCAAGCACTAAACCAATTCAACTGAAGAAAGGTGGCAAATGAAAAAGCTATTTCGAATAATTAATCTTATACTTGTCAAAAATTCCTGTTTTCTTTGCCAAAGCCAAATCTTTACGAAGTATGTCCCACGAGGGAATTATCTTGGACGGGTAAACATCAGGAATAAATCGTGCCAACTTTTTGCTCCATGTGATATCCTTCTTTCCTCTAAGGAAGGGGACGTAAAACGCAGGAGGATTGTCAAGCAGTTTTCTATGATCACTTTCGTACCCTATTGCATGCTTTATAAACTCGTTCATTGGGGAGTTGTCGTCGTTCAATTTCTTTACTCGTTCAAAAAACTCGTCTGGTTCGAGGACATCCAAATTAACTCCGAGTTCTTTGGCTACTTCGTCAAATTCACGCTCGTCACCTATGGACCATGCATGACAAGGTTAAATTGGAAATTAATTTTATTCTTAACAGCTTCAGTTGTTAGGTCGCATAACCTATAACATAAAATTGTGACGTGCAACTTAACTTACAACTAAAAGTCTACTTCGGATTTTTGCGTCTACACGGCTTGTAAATTAAGCTATTAGTCACAATCGTATGTAGGTTGTGAGAATCTATGCCGGCCTCAATTAGTAAACTTACCTAACTCGGGGTTGATCACGTTGTATATTTCACACGGTGTGCTCTCCATAAAGAACAGTCTAAGCGAATATTCTGCACACAGATCGACCGGCATCACGCAGAGGGGAACGTTCTCGGCCGGCATAAAACCAAGGTACATATAGGTCATCAGGCGCATCATTTGGAAACTTTCAAGGGAACATTTCCACCAGTTTTGCTATCCCCTCCAATATTTGGCATCCTAAATACCTTGCAAGGAATACTTCGAGCTACCGCTTGTTCTATTAGGTTGTCGCAGATTAATTTGGAAATTATATAGGCAGAATTGGTAAACTGGTCCACTTGACCCAGATTAGGCCAGGTCTCCTTATATATCTCGTCCTCATCCAATTCGTGTTCCGCTCCAATGCTTGAGACATGGTAAACATATTTCAGCTTATTCGCCACAGCCAATTCGAGCACGTTCTTGCAGCCTTGTACATTGATGATTCTACTGCTATGCAGGCTTTTAGTGGCACTGTATCTTTCTGGCAGCGAAGCACTAACTGCTAAATTAAACAGCGCATCAACTTCACAAGAAATTTTTGAATATGTCGTAGAATTCATGCCCATCAACTCCTTTGTCACATCCCCTGGTATGGTTTCTACCCAACTTTCCAACTCGTCTAGCGAAAGTAAATTTTTGTTCTGTAAATAACGAAGGAAACGATCATCACTCGAACTTAAGGAGCTCAGCCTCATCAGACAATAGACTTTTTTAATTGATGGATAGTTCTGCCTCAGGTCACGTAGTATATAAGGCCCAAGGGTTCCTGTTGCTCCAGTTATCAAAATCGTCGAAATTTTGCTTAGTGGGCATAATGTTAAGGCTAGATTGCAACCGATTTGAATATTATCTGGTAATTTTGCATCGTAGTAAACTAATTCCCTGATTTGATCACGTGTCAAAATTGTAATCGGTTCGGTTCCCGAAATGATGTCGACCAAGCGAGCTGATAACTCTGATACGGTTCTACAGTCTTTGACTGAATTAATTGATATTTTGACTCGTTTTCCAACTGATGCTTGTAATCCATTCTTCATCTCGACCATCATTATCGAGTCCATGCCCAAATCCTGAAAGCTGGCGTGGTTATCAATTTTTTCATTTTCGTTCATTTTCAATGTAATCCGTATGATTTGTTTGATATATTTTTGCAAAATCTCGTTGTGCGCATCCACTCCACTCGCTGAATCGTACTCGATCCAAAATTTTTCACCGTCTATTTGGTAAGCAGAAACTACCGATGAGTCCATAATGTTGAAAAGTATTCCTCTTGCAGAAGCCAAGACTTTTTTAGCGGTACTCAGGTCGGCCTCATATGGGATCACTTGAGTTTTGTGGGATATCATTGCATACTCCAATGCAGCAAGCCCTTGATTAATTGTGAAAGGTTTTAGAATCGAATGCTTAATGTTTGCGGCAAGTCCAACCGACCCCCATTGACCCCAGTGAATTGTCAGGGCAGGAAGTCCTAACGAATTTCTGTACTGGATCAGGGAATCGAGATAATAATTAGCGGATGCATAGTTGCATTGCCCAGGCGATGCCATCTTGCTGTAACTTATCTAGGTATCTGGTAACTTCGGGTGCCGGAGGGCTACGACCAAGTAGGAGGAGTTTCGTTGCACCAGCAGTTATCATCCATTTAGCTACTTCAAGTCCAATTCCCCCTAAGCCACCAGTAATTAAATACGTGGCCTCGTCATGAAACATTTTATAAGCTGGCACGCCATTCTTGTCCATTTCTGGCATAGATATGACCACTTTTCCAATATGTTTCACTCTCTCTACGTATTCCAATGCCTCTTTTATGCGGCATGATTCGAAGCATGTATATGGAAGCGGGGTTGGACACTTCCTGCTTTCTAGTTCTCCCGCAAACTGGGATCTTAAATTCCGCATTAGGGATTCTACTTCCCCACTTGGAAGTGTAGAAATATCGATAATTTCATATTTTATATCTGGTCTTAGGTTTTGAACCTCTCGTTTACTCCAAATGTTCATTTTGCTCATTTCAATAAATGTAGCACCATTGCCGCACACTGATAAGGTGGCTTCCTTAAATCCTGTTCCAGTTATGGAATTCAGAACAATGCTAACTCCTCGTCCGTTAAGTGCAGTTCTGATGTCATACTCATATTCAGTTGTTCTGGAATTAAATACATATTTCAATCCTAGACTTTTCAGGTAGTTCCGTTTTCTTTCAGTTCCGGCGGTGACAATAATAGTGCAGCCGATCTCCTGAGCCAACTGAATGGCCATGAGGCCAACTCCACCTGATGCTGTGTGGATAAGCAAAACATCTTCTTTCGTCGCTTTGGTAAGACATGCAATTGCATATAGCACAGTAAGTGATGCTAATGGAAACGTTGCAGCGTCATTGTACGTCATACTATCAGGAATTGGCATGACGGACGTTTCGGGTGCATTATAATGGCTTGGAAGGGGATCTCCTATACAACGAAGGGCAAAAACACGGTCTCCTAGTTTGAAAGCACTGCATCCTGGTCCAACCTTTGAAACAACTCCAGCAATATCAATTCCGACATGATTTATCAAATCGAATGCAGAATCAGGTTTCGTCACCACTAACATATCCACGAAGTTAATTGAATATGCCTTAATTGTTATCTCCACATGTCCATGCTGGATCGGATCAATCTTGAACGGAATAAAGTGGAGGTCGGCAATGTCAAATGTTCGAGGAATAACGAGTCGAGTTTTTTCTGTTCGAGGAATCTCGAGTGATGAATTTTTCACTGTATAATTCTTTAGACGAGGAGTGCAACGTTTACCCTTCCTGTAGGCAACCATAGTCTCCGAATCCCAGTGGAAGAGTTCTGAGAATACTTCATTTTCAACATTTTCACTATTGTCAACATCCACAGCTTTGCATCTATAATCACTGTTTTCATTTGCCAGAACTTGCACCATCGAAACGATAGGCGATGCATCAGGTATGCTGACAAATTCGTCTTCTGGTCCAGCGCACATGCATCCTTTGGTTATCGTAATTAATTTTAAAGAATTCGCGGTAGGATGTTCAGCCAAGTATTTGCAAATATACATGAATCGCTCGCATATTTTTAAGTAGTTTAGACCAGGTTCCAGTTCCCAGGTGAAAATTATGCCAAGAAGTCTCTCAACATGGGCTGAAATATATTTTGATATAGTCGAGTATCCGTCCGGTCCAACGTCATAATCATCTAGAATAGTGCAACTCTGTCCCAAGTTTAAAAGCTTTTGCTGAAGTTTAAAGCTAAGGGACTTTTGCTCATGATCACCAAATAATAACCAAGTTGGACTGGCAGGCCTCAATGTTTCTCCGGAATTATTAATGGAGGTACACGCATAGCTTCCGAATTTGGCCATAATTAATGCATTGACCCCTCCATATGTTTCGATGTCCACAACTTCTGTGCATCCCAAACATTCAAGTAGAGCCCTCCATCCGTCCACTGATAGCTCACAGTTCCAAGGGCGAAGCTTGAAGTCCTCAAACTTCCAAAACCCTTCCAAACCTCCAAAAAATAGATTAATATCCCTCGAAGGCTTGACAAGCTCATCTATGAGTAAGTAACCATGAGGCTTGAGAAGAAATTTCAAATTGTTTAGAGATTTTTGTAGATCTTTAGTAGCATGAAGAACCCACGAGGCTATGATAATATCGTAATGCTGTGGGATCAATCCTTGGCATAAAGGGTCTGCATCTATGTCGAAGATTTCGTAACTTGCTGCAATCTCAGTTTCTTCAAACAATTTTTCACCTTTTTGCAAAAACGCAGGAGATAAATCAGTATAGGTATAATGAAAGCTTGACACTCCAATGTCATTAATAATTTTAATTAGTTGAATTGTCCTACTTCCAACTCCAGCTCCCACTTCCAGTATTCGGATAACCGATTTTGTTCTAACTGAGAGTTTCTCGAGAAGTGCAAACACCAGTGGATTGAGAACGTGCCGTTTCTGTACGATCAAAGAGTCAGTGTAGTATAATTCTGCTAGTCCCTTTCCATCTTTATCCTCTGAACCATCAAACAGTAAATCGACCATCGAAGTTTGGCCGGTTAGGATTTTAGCTAGACTGTTCCAAACAATTCGAGCATAACCTGTATCTTGTACTCCCCATTCAAGATGAGTGTCTAACAGTGTTTCTTCTACTTTTAAAATGCTTGAACAAATACATTCAAATTGTAATGTTTGTTGGCTTTGCGAGGGAATAAAACAAAGATCCTCATCAACGGGTTGTTGTCCAACTTGTAATTCGAAATATCCATCACTTGTCATTTCCAATAATATATAACGCAAAAACTTCCTCAAACTTAAAATAACTCTGAGGTTCTCTGTAATGTCCTGCAAGCTATAGGATGTGTCATCACTTATTCCAATCTCTCGCATAGCTTTCAGCATGTATAAACCAGCCAATTGGTTCAAACTATTATAATATGATTCTTCCTTTTCTGTAAACTTATTACAGACTTGTACAGACTCAACAATTTCATGAAGTGAAATTGTTCCCCGTTCTTTATCTGAAATTCGCCTCTCCTCTGGTCCCATGCTTTCGTTCCAAATGCATTCCGCCATGGTATAAGCTCCTTTGAGAGTTGATTAAAGCCATAATATTTTGCAACGAAGTTTGCATGATTTCTATGCCAAGCAAAGAAGCTATCAGTAGACCAGTATCATCGTATATGTGTGACTCGTTGTAATTATTCCCTAGTTTTGTGAATATGTACCCTGACTGTGCAGAGCGACCCCACCAAACAAATTTCTCAATCTGGACAGGAACCATTAACTTGGCCGTACCCATTTCGGCAAGATGTGCTAATAGAAATCCTTGTACTTGGAGAGCAGCATCAGTAATCCATGGATGAATTATAAATCGATCAAGGTCTTCTTGCGTTTCAGAACATTTAAATGTAAATAAATATTCCGAGTCATTCTCAGGATTCTTCCATACATCCTTCGTTGAAATTGTTTGACACGAGGCCCCAAGTTTAAGCTCGCTGTGTTCACTTAACCTTTTGTAGTCATAATCAATCTTCACTGGCTCACAGACGTTGTTAAATATCTCCGCAAAGTTGAGTATGCTTGGATCAGGTGGGGATGGATTAGCCTCAAATCTGGCTGATGCGTTTTTCACCCATTTGAATTCTGATTGTCCTAACTCCAACCGAGTATAAATCGTGGACACTGTGTCGCCTTCACTATTCCTGGATACAACTACCTGTTACATTTAACGTAAATTAGGTTTAAGATATAAGTCGGTAGATATGGGATCATTTCATTAAATACGATATGTTCTAGTAGACATTAGATAACGTGTATGTATACCTGGAAATCTGTACCTTGATCTTCATTTAAGCAGATCGGTGTCGATATTACAAAGTTACTTATGGAAATAGCATTAATTGGCTTGAAGTACGCGCCTTCGTCACATTTAGCATGCGCAAACCCTGAAGTCATACACATGTCCATATATCCTGCACATGGAAATATAATTTTGTCCCCAATGAGATGGTCCTTTAGAAATGGCAACCGTTGAACATGCACATTAGATTCAAAAATAGTAATTTCTGACGCATTTGGGAAGTAGGATCCAAGAAGTGGATGAAATGGATTTGTGCCTTTATCCTGAATTACCATCCAGTGGGATTTTTCCTCGAATACATATCCTGGTAAATCAATTTTCTTTGCCTGAGAATACCTATGGAACTTCTCCCAATTGACAGGAATGCCCAAAGTATAAAGTTGACTTAACGATAATAGAATAGTTGCCCAATCCGATCTATTTTTGCGTATGGATGGTAGTACAATTAGGTCGTTTGCCACCTGTAATAATTATGATAAACTGTGTTGAGATTTATTTTTGATATTACAGTGTGCAACAAATTTAATGCTACGATGACATAATTTTTATATCGACATGATCGCGTAAATTTTAAAATTTCAAACTCCTCATAAAAATCTCAAAGGTATATACGGACAATTTCCTCGTCGCCGATTTTTAATATCGTACAAAGGTCAAAGGTCAGTATTATTTTTGTGAACAAATTTGAGGCGTCGAAAAAAAAACTTCGTGGATAATTTTTTTTGAACTTTCTAATATTTCTTATCGGATACGACATGCGTTTTGAAGCAAAATGAGCTTTGGTCGGACCGTGTACGATTTTTTTGACGCCCACAGGAAGTTTGCATGTCAGGACTGTAAATATAAAAACGTATATTTCAGTTTTCGAATTTTCGCCGCGGTGGCGATTTTGGGCCTTCAACCTGTCCTTGGCGAAAAATTCCTGTGGGTGTCAAAAAAATCGTACACGGTCCGACCAAAGCTCATTTTTGTTCAAAACGCATGTCGCATCCGATAAAAATATTAGAAAGTTCAAAAAAATTATCCACGAAGTTTTTTTTCCGACGCCTCAAATTTGTTCACAAAAATAATGCTGATCTGCACCTTTGTGCGATATTAAAAATCGGCCACGAGGAAATTGTCCGTATATACTTTTGAGATTTTTGTGCGGAGTTTGAAATTTTAAAATTTACGCGATCATGTCGATATAAAAATTATGTCATCGTAGCATTAAATTTGTTACATACTGTATACTGGTGTTAAATTAAACATTCAATTACTTTTTCTGCGTTGGACACAACAAGCGGACTTAGCACTGGATGGGGTCCAACCTCAACGTACAATTCGTACCCATGTGTTACAGCGCATTGGGAAGCATCAATAAAACTTACACACTCCCTTGTTTGTCTTATTAAGTAGTTAACATCAATTTCGGAAATCGATTTCCCTTGGACTCCAGATATGTAATTAATCTCTGGGGGCTGAAAATTAATACCATGTGCAATCTCCTCGTACTTCTTCAACATCGGATCCAGTTGCCTCGAGTGGAAGGCATGCCGTGAATCCAATTGGTGGGTTATCAGCCCGTTGTTAGCACAATACTCTCTAAAGCCATCGATAAGTTTCGTGTCTCCAGCTAGAACTGTTTGTTTAACTGAGTTAATGGCAGCAACGTCTAGGCATTTATCTCCTTCTTTCTGAATCCCTGCATTTCGTAGGCTGGTCCACACATTGTCTAAGTTAGTGGCCACAACCAGCATTTATGACGAAGGTAAGGCATCGATTAGTTGGGATCTCATAACAACTAATTTCAGGGCATCGTCCACAGTAAGAATCCCGGCGGCAACCATGGCAGCAAACTCGCCTAAACTGTGCCCAAGAAAAGCATCCGGTTTCACACCCCAGGACTCCCAAAGCCGTAGTAGACAAATTTCAATGACAAATATCGACGTCTGACTAGCGGTTGTAGACTTCAATTTCCAGTTATCACCGTCAGAATTCCATACACTTTTCTTAATGGAGAAGCCATATTGATCATTAAGAATTGCTTTAATTCTGTCAAAGTTTGACTTGAATACTACACTTGTATCATATAGTTCTTTCCCCATTTGCAGATATTGTGAACCTTGTCCAGTGAAAAGGAAACAAACTTTTGGAATAACGTTTCGCCTGGAAGTGGAAACTTTAAGGTTTTTAATGCAAGAAAGAAGGTCTCCTTTGTTTTCTCCTATGGCAACCTGGCGAATGTGGAAGTGCGACCGAGCAGTGTGCATGGTATACTCAATGTCATTTAGATCATGACCACAATGTTGAAGAAATATTGAATACTCGTTGATCTGTGCTGCTAATGATGTCTCTGTCTTTGCTGAAAAAGTAAGTATTCTTAGTTCCCTAGAGTCCTTTTGACTACAGAGGTCATAGTAATGTACTTCCGGAGGTTCCTGAATAATTATATGTGCCTGAGCTCCAGTGATTCCGAAAGAGTTCACACCAGCAATTCGTGGGCTTTGGTTAGAATTCCTAGGCCACGGGACGTTGTCCATGGGGATCAGTGCAGGTATGGATGAAATATCTATATCGGGATTTACTGTCGTCAAATGCAGGTGTTTCGGTATCAGATCAAACTTCATAGCCAAAACGGTTTTCTGAATACTGGCGATACCGCACACCGACTCAGTATGCCCAATGTTTGTTTTTACGGATCCTATAATTAGTGGGTTACCCACTTGCCTTCCACCATATACTTGTTCAATTGCCGCCACTTCAATGGGATCACCTACCGCTGTGCCGGTCCCATGAGCTTCGACGAAATGTATATCATTAGGGTTAACTCCTGCTCGATCGAGGGCAAGCTGCATACATTTGGCTTCAACAGTGACTGTTGGTGTCCCCATACTTCGAGATGAACCCTCCTGCACTACTGCAGACCCACGAATAAGTCCCCAAATTCGATCTCCATTCGAAATTGCGTCTGGAAATCTTTTTAGGATTAGAGCGCCCACCCCCTCAGCACGTCCAAATCCATTTGCGGTTGAGTCAAATGTTTTGCATCTTCCATCCGGTGCAAGAACTCCTTCCATAGCTCCATCACCAAGAGGGAATGGGTGAAGAAGGAGATTCACTCCAATTGCTATTGCAGTATCGCAATTTTCGTTTCTCAAACTGTCGCAAGCCATATCAACCCCGACGACGGATGTGGAGCAACCGCTCTCGTTGGAAATGGCGGGTCCAATAAGATCAAAAAAGTGAGCAATTCTAGCCGTCAAAGGTCCGAGTGAGTTGCCCATATACATGCGCAGAAAGTCCATCCCATTAAATCCTTTAAACTCCTGCATTTCCTTAAAATCATTTCTCCACCAGCCTCCAAATACGCCTGTGAGAGTGTTCTTTACCGTTGACGGATCAATGCGAGCATTCTCCAATGCCTCCCATACAACCTTGAGTGCAAGACTCTGCTGGGGATCAAGATAATCCATGTCCGCTTGGTTCGTGTTAAAAAACTTTGCATCAAACATGTCCACCGGACATGACAAGAATCCAGCTTCAGTTTTTCGGACATCTCCCATCATCATAAATGAATTATCCTTCGTCCACCTCCATTCAGGGACGCGTACAATTCCATCACCTCCGTTTTCAAGCAACGACCAGAACTCGTCAATGTTATTCGCCCCAGGATATCGGCATGCCATGCCTACGATTGCAATTGAATCGCTCAATGCTGATGTCAGCCATAGTGAATTGGGGATGGATGCACAATCTTGCTAATAAGATGACCGATCAAAACAAACAATAAACATCATAAATCATATTTAAACGGGTTAAGCAATTAGATACAGATTTACGTTTGTGCTCCCAGACTTGGGAGGAAATACAAGTGAATTCCACAATTCAGTTAACTCGCTTTCGAAAGTGTTGATTGTATTACACGTTGTTTCCATAGGATGACCCGTACTCACAAACCACGCCATCTTTACGTCGTCGCCATTTCGAGGTTGTGGGTATTTACTGCAAGAATAATTTTAGCAATGCCGGTATGCAAATACTGCATACATATACTCTGTATACCATCAATCCGTTTAAGCTACTTTAATGGTTATACGATACATACCCAGAAACATCCATTTCGACGCAGTATTGAAGTTTCGCGTACAGTTTCTCAAGTTCAAGGATGGATTTTTTTGTATAGTTTTCATCATTTTCAATTTCCGCAATCAAATCCGTCATTTTACGTTGACCAGTTGTGCATCCAAATTTTGAGTTGATAACGATAGCCGCACATGGAATTCCTTTATCATTTACCCATTGGACACCTTTCTTGCGAAAAATGGAATCGCAATTTTTCAAAGCAAGGCAATTGCTGTCAAGAAACACGCCACACTTGAGTTGAGGAATTTGTTGAATGTGAAGGTTTGCAATCGACCGGAATTTCACATTTTTGCCATTGTTACATTTCTCTCCTGAATTCAGGCGACGGCAAAGTTGAAACTCGGATTTCAGAAGCTTCCTAAATTAAATCGAATATTTGTGTCATACTCTAGAATGTGTTAACATTTCGATTATTTTACTAAAAAATTATCAAATGATTTTACTATTATGTTAGTTGGATACATAGGTAAACAGGCATAGCCACATGTATGCAGTGAGGCATCCACACATAACAACACTTGACCACATTGAGAGATTGGTACACACCTGAACCGTTTTTAGCCCGAAATAGGGCTTATGTAATTGTCATGTTCGTCTGCCTGTCTGTCTTTCGATAGCTCTCGAACGAGTTGACCGATTGACTTGAAATTTTTATCATATGCATACTGGACAAAGTTAGGAAACGAGTTGGATGATGGGCGAAATCAGTCCAGTGGTTGACCGGTGGGGGTCATCGGAGTAGTTGGGGTATTATTCACCAAAATTTCAAAATCGTAGTAGAAAGCTCAAATTTGGTAGAGAGGTTGCTAATGGCTCCTAACGAAAGAATATGAAGTGAAATTGGAAAATTTTCCAACCGCAGAAACCCGTTTGGGTGACCCATACCGATTTTTCAAAATCATCCAATCGAGCTGAAATTTGGTATACAGACTGCTAAGGGCCCCGAATGGAAGAATATGAAGTGAAATTGGTAACATTTTTAAAAGCCTGGACCCGTTGGGGTGACCCATACCGATTCTCATAGCTTGTTGCAAAAAGCTGAAATTCAGAACGGTGATACTTAATGGCTTCTCATGAAATTGTATGAAGTCAAATTTGTATGAACAAAAAGTAACCAGAGGGGTACTAATTATAAGGGGTACCCATACCGATTACTAGGAGTTCGTATATTCAGTTAAAATTTAGTGTGGAGTCGAAAAATGACTTAGGAGGGTTGAATTTCGAAATTTTTATACGAACAGCTTCCATTGCTCGTGGTATTTGATGCCAAGTAATACTACCAATTGACGTTAGTTAATGCAAAAATTGGTGAAAAATAGTATAGCATTCTGACAAACATGGGTTTAGTAATCAATCCTGGTTCGGGCTGAGCAAAGCTGTATTGATAGGTTTTTTAACTTTTCAGATATAGTTCCCCATTTGGATATAAACTGAATACTTGGTGCCGTACTGCACAAGTATGTCAAATATGTATATGTAGAACATAATTCTGACCACATAACATTTGGGGATACGAAAAAAAATTGTTGCACATATAGTTGGAAATATTTTTGTGTCCGATGTGATATGGGATTTACAATGCGATGACGCGAGTGGTCTCGCCCCGATTTTGACGAAACGACGATAATTATGTAGCATTAGACAAATAATTAAACACGTGTTTCAGGATTTTACATAATGCTCAGTTTGAACGAAATTATGACGAAATCCGTGAGCGAGAATTCCCATTTTCATTCTCCATTACGAATTCCATCATATTTCGTTTAAGCTTAAAATGCGTGGGCATGAAGTGTTTTTTCCGATTTTATATTGCTTGTACTCAAAATAGTACAAATTTTGAAAATTTTTGAAAATTTTTGAAAATTTCTGAAACTTGTCAAAATTTTCGAAAATGCAACAAACCAAAATGGTAGAAAACCACCTCGTGCCGACCAATTTTAAGTTTAAACTAAATTATGATGGACTCCGTAATGGAGAATCTGTATTTTTCTCTCATGGGAGCAAAATACAGATTCTCCAGATACACATACAGATTACGGTGAAAATGGGAATTCTCGCTCACGGATTTCGTCATAATTTCGTTTAAACTGAGCATTATGAAAAATCCTGAAACACGTGTTTAATTATTTGTCTAATGGTACATAATTATCGTCGTTTCGTCAAAATCGGAGCGAGACCGCTGGCGTCATCGCATTGTTAGTTCTTTCCCTTGCTGGGGTTGCTGGTAAAGCTGGACATTTCAAGAACTAGTTTGTGATCTCAACTATTCAACACGGCAACCAAACTCACTGATTGGCTAAATACATACATACTACAGTATACAAAATAATTTATTATATAACAAAACAGGCTTGTTGAAGCACAAATGTGTAGTAAATTCGTCGCGACTGTTCATACATTTCTTTCTCCAATTACACATTCCGACTTAAAAATAATTTTAGATTCTTTCTAATGATATGATTTTTTTCAAAGGTAAGAAAAAGGAATTTGTTCCTTAAATTTTTAACAAATGGAAGAATAATGACTGAAGTAGGAAAAAATACATATTTACATTTGTGTCTACAATAACTTACGTCATGTCCTTCGAAACCTTTTCAGAAATAATGACACCAAGCGGTCTCGTGGTCAGGGTTCGCTTCAGTGAGCGTCCCAGACCGATGCACTTCATAGCCTCTTTGTCATTCCCTGCACAAGTTATCCACATCTGGCTCCCTAAATAGGATACAATTATACAAATCAGATAACAAATTTACTTAAATGACCGGTTTCTTTATATATAAACCCGAAATGATTTGATGGTTAGTAAATTAAGCCTTAAATAAACCGTTAAACGCATACAACGTAGGGGTGAAACTGAAACTTCATAACATTTTAGAGGTGACATGTATCGAATTCAACAGCTAACAGTTAACAAAAAAGATATTTAACAATTTCGTGTTCATTGAAGTCGGTACGGATGTCACCATTAAATTGGGGGGTCAATTTAAGTTAACATTGATATATGTATCAGATTTAACATTTAGCGACCTCTAAGTGACCTCCAAGTAACCTTTGGTGACCTTAGAGGTCAAAATGAATGTCACCATTGACTTCTGCGCTACATTTCCTATCGAATTGACATATACATACATAATGTTTGTCGACCTTAATCTGACCTCTAATTGATATTTCGTGACCTTTTCAGACGGACGGACATACCAGTCCTATAAAGTAGTTTCACCCCTTAATTTTCACAAGTTAAGAATGAAGTTGTGAGGAGTTACAAATTTAAAATAGGGGACAAGTTTTTCTATTTGTTCATGTGCGGTATATCTTTTTTTATTTTTTTTTAAATTTGTTATATTTGTATTTAAACCAACACAACCTGTACTGATTTCTAAAAGAAGACTACTGCCCGCCATAAGTTTTGCATGTAAAAAAAAGTACTGTCGTTTTAAGCTACACACCATAGCTAAATATTTAAAGAAGATAAATCATTAAAATAAACAGATCTTTCTCGTTGTGAATATTAGCAATTTTATTACTTTTGTATGCATATACTAACCAACGTACCTATATCTCCACCCATTTCGAAAATTACAAGATGAACGTTGGATTTAAAAATCAACGTTGGAAACTTGGGTTAGCTAAAAATCTCAACTTGAGGTAAATTAAATTGCGATATTCAGTTTGATGCTGCTAATTAACAACTAACCTCACTATTTTTTTCCAGGTTTAAATAGATGCCTGTAAATAGGGTGGTTTAAATATCATGCTGAAATGGAAAATTTTGCAAAGGGTGAAGTCCCTAAATCTCCATGAGTTACATGATTTGGGATTAAGATTTTTAATAATTATTATCAAAACCGGCTGAACATGATTGCAAAATTGTTAATTGCTGAATTTCAGAAACAGAATTTCGGTAACTAATGGAAATTTATAAATATTTCCATTGAAAAATTTTCCATTGTAGCGTGACATTTTAACCACCCTGTATTACTCAGATTGCAATTAAGTGAAAAATATTAAGATAAAGATTAGAGATTTAACCCATAAAACGTGTATAAATATATAGTTATACAATCTTTGCAAAGCTGCAATGTTTTTCATATACAGGGTGGTAAAAAAAGTTGCAAAAGAGAAAACCCCGCAAATTTCCACCAGTATCGAGAACTTGAAATTGAGATTTATTATTAAACTCAGGTGTCAAAACTGATCGAGTCAAAATTTTTAAAATAATGAATTTCAGAAGGAAATCCTCCGTAATCATGTGTAATAATAATAATCGCTTTTCCCATTAACAAATTTTCCATTGTAGAGAAGGATTTAAACCACCCTGTATATTTTAACATATTCACTTAAAACTACCTGAATCATCTTGAATCGTTTAATTAAGGTAGCGTGGCCAATATTTATACAAAGTTTGGCACAAATTCATCTACCCCAACTTATTTAAACCTTGACTTGACTTACTGAACCGATTAATACTTACGAAATTCCAGCCCTTCCTGTGTGGACCTGTTTTATTACATCTGCCCATTGAATTACAAATAAGTGCATACACTTTTTTATTGCCTTTTCTCCCAGCTTCTCAACTTTGAACAATGTATAAATATGTATGCTGATTATGGGATGCAGCTAAATACATTGGATTATATATGTACATATTTACATACATACATATGTATGTAGTTTCCGCTCACTAAATATACCTAAACACATAGAATATGTATTTAGAATAGACAACAGTAAATAATTACCTAATTGTACTCAAGAATAAATTTCTATTAAAGTACACTCCTAAAATCGTATTAAATTTTTGAAAAGTGATGCTATCTGAATTTTGTACTTGTATATTAAGTAAACTAACTACATTAATAATAGTAAAATTTACTCACAATGGAACCTTTTTACAAGCTACAGCGGTATTGTCGAACGAGTTATATCAAACAATTAAACCAACAATTGGAAATTACATGTCGCTAATCATTCCGGGAAATGGGCCCTTTGAAGAAAAATGTTGGCAGCAAAGTTCAATTTTTTTAGTAAATTTGCTCTCCCTTTCCATCCACGAGGCGAAAACTAAGTCTCCCGTGGGTATTTCCACCCCCAATATTTATCTTCAAAGGGGTCATTCAACGGAATGATAAGGGCCATGTCATTCCTAATTTTTAGTTCTATTTTTTAATATAACTCGTTAAGTCCGGTGTAGCCTGGAAAAGAGGTTCCATTGTCATTGTCACAACTCACAAGCCCATCAAAAATTACAAAACCAAAAATTATATTAAAACCCATTAAAACCCATTGTTTAATATTTTTCAATTAAAGCCCGGGGTTTCTCCAAACCCTGTTGCCGGGAACCGAGTACTCGCACAACCCGAAGCAGCCCCATCTTTTTAAGAGTGCAGTGTATCGTTTTAAGTAAATAAGATAACAATTTATGTGTCCATCCTGCAGGATCGTGACGGACTTACGTAAAATATGAACCAATTAATTACTCTCCAACTTAAGAAAGCCCACTAAAGATGAGTCCAAAAATATATTCACGTATACATAGATATACATATTTATGTAATGAATTTTATTACATAAAAGTGGCACTACGGTTCGGCGAACACAAAAGAAACATTAATATGAATGTGTTTATGTCTGATTTAGGCGAATTCTAGGAATTTGCCAATTCACCTCTACACCCAACCCACTTCTGTTTTTGGTTTCGACACGCTGACAGGTTTTATGACACTTGAATTAGTAAATACCAGATCTTTGGGATTTTTTCGGTCCCAGCTTACGAGCTTCAAGCAGCGAATTTATTTTGCACATAGTTAGGCGTTAAGTTTTACATTCGCGTTGTATGTAATCTACGACGGCAAAAGTTTACGTAAAGTTATAAAAGAAATTTTACCTTCCAAATATCCAGAAATTTGAGACACAATTTTGCAAGGTTCTAAACAACAAAATGTTTTTTAATACTTCTCTTTTGAGGGTGAAAATTTAAAGTGTTGAAATGTGCTAATTTCTGTCTGGAATATTATGTAGACCCAAAAAATAGGTGATTAGAGTCGGTGTGACCTATCCAAAACGTTTGCAATATGCTCAGCGTTTTAAATTTTACCACTTAGGTTGATTTTTACCATCACAGTGGTAAAAAATGGTGAAAAGTGGTAACAAGTGGTAACAAGTGGTAAAAACTCAGGATTGGTTGAATTAAGCCGTGGAAAATCTAAATTGAGTGATATTTTAAATAATACGTATGTAAATATCTAATGGTTTAGCATAATATTTTTCATCTTCCTAACATTTAATAAAGGGTGTAATACAAATTACAAACATTTTACTTAATGTCTATGATAAACATACATTTTTTGTTACGCATTAGCTCACAACAATTATTAACTTTCTTTTAAACAGTGACAATTAAAACCTAAATTCATGGTCAACTGACAATTGATCGACATTGACAGAAGTTTCTAAAACATTAGGCTTCAAAACCGCTTAAAATACTTGCATGTTTTGTATCATTTTAAATAATTTTAATAACCCAACTAGTAAATAGTTGGCAACTACTGTGAAAACGAAACCACGAATTTTTGACTTTTATAATTAGTATAAAACAATTAAAAATACTAAGAAATGGTGGTACTATTTGGACTACTGTGCATATTTTTTAAATGTTTATATATATTTATGAATTTTAACAACATGAACATTACATATATTTGTCGCATCCCTCAATTACTTTAATTATTTATTGCAAATTCTTTGTAAACCTTCGTATGGCACAATTAGTCTCCCAATACCCCAAACGGGTTTATACCACTTAATATCATTTTATACCACTTTACCAGTTATTGGCTCGGTGGTAAATACCGGTACATAAATACCACTTGATAAATACCACTTTAAACACTGCATATGTTCCAAATTTAATAAAAACTCTGCCAAAACTCAAAAACTTAAAATTTTTGTCAATTTCGTGGCATATCAAAGCAAGAGTTGAAACTTTTTTGTACTAAAAAAGAAGGGTTAGTGGGTACCAGTATATGTGAAAAATATAGGCCTGATATGGGTGGTGAGAATTTTGTCATTTTTCGACACTTTTGGTCAATTCCTTATGCGAAATCCCATGTTATATTTTTCTGATCACATATGAAATTTGATGCATATTTGATGCATACTTTCATAGACGTATAATTTTGAGGTTAGGTTATTTTTGCAAAAATTATTTCCGCAAAAAAAAACAATCGATTATTTCTTATCAATAGGGCCTTACAATCGACTATTTCTGTTTTCCCGCAAATTATAAGTCATTTCTATAAATCAATTATAAGTGGGTGCTATTGGAATGCTCCACTTTTTTCAAATTTTATCTTTTATGCAGTTTAGACGACCAACTTGCATTAAACGTCGAAATCATTGAAAAAATTAACCTGATTGCTTTGTAAAGACCTAAAACTTCAAAAATAGACACTATTTGTGAATTCTTGCATAATATATAAATTACATGACATTTTTGACGTAGATTTATTGAAAATTTGATCTTTATTCTCATCTGCACTCCTCATTTAGATGTTTCACTGCACTAGTTTAATTAACCCAATTTGAGTCATGCACTACGAGAGTATTTTGTAAATTATTTTGAAGAGTATTTTGTATTTTGTATTTTGCACTCGTATTTTAAATAACTTGAAAATCTATTCAAACCCGATCAAAAAATAATTTATGGGTCACCAAGTGGCTGGCAGTAAACTTGAATGAGTTCAATCTCAACGGCAGCTGTTGCTCAAAACAAGCGAAATAAGTGTCTTATTTCAGAAATACATAATTCAGTCCAGGAGACTTATTTTCCAATCACTTATAAGTTAAATTCATTGCAACGCGCATGCGCGCGCAGTGTCACTTAAAAGTGGAAATGACTTATAAGTGGTCGGTACACTTATAAGGCTTCATGTTGTAAGCACCTAATGTATGTAAATTCTTTTAATTTTTTTTTAAGCATTTATTCGCACATTTATATGTAAGTAATGTAGGGTGTTTAATCACCGCTCAATTTCGAAATGCGCAATGCTACATATGGAGATAAAGCAATGAATTAAAACAATACTCCATTGTTTCAACCGAACCTCGTAAAATTTGTATTTCATTTCCTGCCGGAAATTGTTTACACGTATTAATTCTCATTTCATTTTACTCACTGCGTCTCATTTTAATCCGTTTAGCTTCCCAGCATATCAACGATATCAAGATTTCTTCCCTCATTCAAATTTCTGCATAGAAATTAAACCCATGTCCACCATTACCATGTCAAAATTTGCGATTATTTTGCTCATCGGAACTGTTACCTTGTTCCCCCTTGGAGCTGAGGGTGCCGCTCGCACCTGCATCTGCACCGCGGCCAATGGGAAAGGAAACTACTGCGGGTATGAAATTGAAGAAAACTGTGAAGCTGATCAGGGCTACTCGTGTTCCGGAAAGGCGGGCGAGGTCGCGGAGGACGTTCCCAGTGAGGCGATTACTTGCGCCAAGAAATTAGCAGACGCGGATGGATTTAGCGGACGTACGGGCGGATTATGTAAGGAATGCAAGTTAAAATTTTTTTAGAATTGTGGAATAATTTTGTTTATTTCTTTAATTCCCAATTTTTAGAATGGGTATTGAATCCAAAAACCATCACAGAGTAGGATAAATGTGCGGTCTCAATTTTCCCCTGTTTAAAAATTTCAAGTTTATAGGCATGCAAAATTGATTCAATAAAATTATTACGTATGAAAGGCGCAGATAAAGCGTTTTGCAGGGAGTTATCTTAATTTGTGAGGCATATTTCATCTCATCATGAATTTTGGGGAAAAGTGAAACAATTTCTATAAAATATATTTGAGGATGAGACTGTGTAGGTATCTTATGCATAAATGAGCAATTGTGAACATATTTATGTACATACATGTATCCATGAACTTATTACTATTCACCCAAATCGCCAGTTTAACTACATATGTACATACACATATTTATTTGTGTAGAAGAATTTACTTCTACTTCATGATCCTGGCACGTCTATGCCTTTGTCCGAAAAGGGCACACAAAATCCACTTCCAAACCAAATCCACCGAACACATTTGTTAACGGCTATTTACCTTTTTTTCATTTGTACCTTTCCATCCCTCATCGCTAAGCGTAAGCATACTCTTAAAAATAATGTTACGCTTTAAAAAGTAAATGTGTTCGCAATATTAAATGAACCATACATAAATACATATGTACATAATCCACAGTAAAATGTTAGTAACCTTATAAAAAGTAAAGTTTACTCCGGATTTAGTCTGTAAATAGCTTATTTAATTTAGAATGCAGAGTGCATTTACTTTACAAAAATGTAGCATAATTTTTAAGTGTGCAAAACTTTAAAAAAATAAATATGTATGTACCTATGCATGTATGGCCATAAGTGTATGTACCAGATTTCCTTCAGCTGCATGTGTCCCAAATTTTAAAAGTGTCAGACAGACGAAGCTCTGAGCTGGCGTGAAGAACACGGTCATCAACTCTCGTTTAACTAGATAACCCCTAAGATTATCTTTAAAATATTACAGATATTTGCCCCCTAATTTTCAAACCATAATTTACAGCATCATGAAACAAATCGTGTTCATTTTTTATGTCTGCTTCATATTTATTTCCCTGTTCTCCGTTCTACTATTGCTGCCGGGTAAAGATGTCAAGACGATTACAAGGCCGGCTGAATCGTTCCAATCTGACGAGGTGGACCCGATCGCGGAAAAAATTGGTAAGACAGCACTCTTAAAAATAAGGTTACCTTTCGAAAAGTTAATACACTTTGGATCCTGTGTTAGGTATTTAAACTATACAAAATCCAGCGTAAACTTTACTAATTATCAAGTAATGCATCGTTACTCTGGATTTAGTATACCGATTAGGATTTAGTCTACCTAATTTTGAATTCAGAGAGGATTTACCTTAAAAAGTAACATTTTGTTACGAGTGAATGTCAAAATATATTTCTGTACCATTTCCGGTCCCATTATTTTTTTCAGATTACTTATTGACGGTGTCCATATCAAATAGGTAAGCTTCGGCAGCTGGATTTTTTATTTTCAAATTTCCATCAAAAATAAGTCATATGGCATGAAATTAGTGTAATAGAAGAAAAATTTTGAAAAAAGTTGCACCCAACCATCCTCTATGGCTATTTTTGTGAGTTTAAGGTAGGGTTCGTAGTACAGAGATTTCTTCGTCATCTTTTGAGTTAGGAAGCTGAAATTTCGGATTCCACATCGTCTTGAGCTTCACTAGGCGGCATTTTTCGGCGTTAAGGTCTCATGTCGAAAATGACCTTAAAACGGGTCAATGTTCGCCACTTCGATTTTTCCATGTTGTTATACTAGGTGGCCCAAGTAATCAAATTATCAATCTATCCGTAAAAAAAGTCCATTTTTGGGGTAAAAATTACATTTTTAAATATTTACCTCACGAACAGAAATCCCTCCTCGTGACCCATAACAAAATCCGATACATGAACACTGGGACCATTTTCTGCTCCGACTTCCGCCCGTTCCTCACCACCGCCACAGGTTGGAGGGATAATATAAATCCTGGGTTCTGGAGGAGGTGGAATATGTACGTGCACAGGTATGTACACTTGCCCTTTGCTGTGGTTGTGTTGAGTCATGATTTCCATGAAAAATAGCATCACTGTAAAAAGGAGGAGGTTGACCCTCTTCCTAAGAAAGTAGACCTGGGTCGAGTTGTTGTAGGGGTGGAGCACTGGCAACGAACCCCTTGTTTTCCATGATTTATTTATTTATAGTTCGCTTTCTTCTTAATTCTGCATTTACAGTGTTTTATGTATAAAATTTTTTAAATATTTTACACCTTAAATTACTTATTTTGGGGTCCATGCGAATTTTTAAAATTATACCCAAAGACGGGAATGTGATGTGTGTAGGTATTGACTTGTCCAACTTTTAAGGAATCTTTTAGTAATAAATTTGTTAACGTTTGTTAAATAAAATGCATTTATGTATGCTCACTTTTCTTGGTATGCAACCCTGCCAAGGCTTTTCCATGAGTTTCTTTCGTCACTACATAATAGTGGTATTCACAGTAACCGATTATAATCGCTTCACGGATTATAATCCATTCAGATTATAATCGTCTACTGTGAGTACTCACGATTCTTTACACCGATTTAAATTTGTTTGGTGAATATTTTCCGTAGTTACTAAAATTTTTAGCTGGATAATACAAAATAAGCGATTATAATCCACACAATTGTCGAATGAGAGGATTATTTTTTTTAGGATTATAATCACATTGGTTTATTTTCGCCATAGAGAAATTTTGGATAATTATAATCATTAATGATTATAATCGCAATAATCTGTTACTGTGAATATCACTTATATTATGTGCATGACAATGTTTATATTTAACATTAGTATCATTCTTCGTTTTCCAGTGTGCTTCGTTTACATTGCACAAAACATATGTACATAGAAAAGTATGAATTATGTACTGCATACGGACCGCATGCAAATCACAGCATGCAGGTGTATGTACGTAGCCCATGTCACCTTTAGCTTATGATTAAATAGTCATCAATGGAAAAGTTGGTGGCTGGATTTGATGTTATTTTGTCTATGAACGCTATTTATATTTATGTATTTAAATGCTTGATTTAAGCCGGCATCCATACAGAAAATAGCTCACAAATTTATTCATCTTACTAAAAAGTCATATCCCACACGTCATACTTTTATCTTCAAATAAATGTCTGGAATGACAATGAGTACGAACTTACATACGTTCACAAATACGCCACTGAATCTATGTATGTATTGTCGAACCTTTGTTCTGTCTAAAGATTTTTTTGCATACAGTTTCACGTGTGCAATAGATTTATTCTCCATTAATATCAGCAGTAACAAATCCACCAGTTGATTAAAATGTGACGAGTATGCGAAATTTATGTGAAAGAAGAATACATAAGTAACTTCTGGTTTGCCAACTTATTAATTGGTTATGTATTAGGGGACCAAGTTCCTGTATGAAAATGAGAAAGTCGTCCGTCCGTCCGTCCGTCCCTCTGTGTGTGCGATACATAGAATAAATTTTAAAATTTTTAGCGCAACAAATAGTGCAAAAACACTATCAATTACATCCTTCCTATCGTTGTAATTCCAAGGGCAGTACCCATAAAATTAAAAAATTGTCACCCATTGCCAACATTTTAAGTTGATTTTTTCCATCCCACAGCTTTCTGCATTTTGTCACAAATTACTTATTTATTCCCAATTTACATATGTTACCTTTAACTTTTGCGGGGAAGTTTTCACCATATGCTAAAATTCCCAACGAGATAAATCAGTTTTTTGTCAATTCGGGTAAAAAATAAAAGTCCTTTATTAAACATTGCTTCTCCTTTTGAGAGAAAAACATAAACTAAATATTTTTATGTTACATACATGGTGTAAATAAAATTCCGATACCCCCAAGTACATGTTTTTTAAATGGATTTATTTACAAAGTTCCAAATTTTTTTGGGACCATTCCTTTTAGTATATGATAGGCTAGTATTTAGTGGTCTTTCCATTGGCTTCCATCATACTCTTGATTCTGTTGGGGAAGCTCCCGGTCAGTTCTTCCAAGACGGTGAGCGAGATTTGTTTCCAACTTTTTTGGAAACGGCGAACTAGGGAAGCATGGTCATGTGGAACTGGATCTTCGTATGCCGTACTCTTGAGGTAAGACCACAGATTCTCTATTGGATTCAAATCCGGGCTGTTTCCGGGCCAGGTTCCCTTTCCCCAGACCGTGAAAGGTTGCCCCCTCAAGAACTCCATGTTGACCTTGGATGTATGGGCTGGAGCTCCATCCTGCATGAATGTAATTTTTTTCCTTACTGGGAAAAGTTCCTTATTGTCAAGTGCCTTGAAATATGTCGGAAGTATTTCGTCACGATAATACTGTCCGTTGACATTCTGATTCTTAGGGATGATGTGTAACTCGGTGAGACCACGCGAACAGTACCCACCGGCAACCATAACTTGCAGTCCTTTCTTCGGCGTACTTATCGGGGGGACTTCTGATCGATTCTCGGTACGATACCTTATGTTTTGAGGGTTCACATGCGGGTGAACATATATCCAGGTTTCATCGGTAAAGAGGATATTTCGACGCCTTTCATCACCCCTTGGACCATCAGTCAAATACCCGTTTTGCTCCAAAAAGTGGCCAAATTTTTTGCGATCCTCGATATTTTTTTGGGACAAAAGGGGCTTTTTGGGTCTCCTGAATGCGGTGTGTCCCCATGATGTACTTTTTATATGTTTTTGGATGGTTGTATGACTTATTTTCTTCTCCAACCGATTGAAGCGATTCGTCAGATTCATGACCGCCGCACATTTTCGGGTGGAACTACCCGATTTCCGATACATTCGGGTCTTAATCATGTTTTTAGTTGTAGGTGACAATATTGTCGGTCGTCCAGGTCGATTTTCGTCTTTGACTGACTTCCGGTTTTTCCAGCGTCTGACAGTGGTTACACCAACTTCTAATTTTCGGGCAACTTTTTTTATACCCTGCCCCTCCCCCAATAGTGTTTGAATTTTAACCCGAGTCTCCGTCCTAGCAGGTAAATATTATGTCAACATTATCACAAAATATCACAGCTGATGATGTAAACAGAAAAAAGTTATGGCCGTTTTACTCACCGTCTGTCCATTATTTTAAGGGGGTATCGGAATTTAATTTACACTATGTAGAATATTATAACTGTTACGTAAAATAAATTTTTATTTCTGCAAATTAACCATCCCCTTCTTCCACTGTCACCGGAAAAAAGTTAGCCCTCTTCGACCTCGGTAACCTATTTTTCCTCACAGTCACCTCAATCCCATGTTTTCCCTTCAGATGCAGGCTTAACGCTGACTTGACAGCGAAATCATTGCCACACTGGTCACAAGGGTCGCTCTCCCGTGTGAGCTAATACGTTTGCATTTGTACCGTACAAATTGTACGGGGTGGGGGTGACATATCCAGGGGTATGAATCCGCTTGATGTGCTCACTCAATTTCGTCCTTAATTTGAACGCTTGATCGCACTGGGGGCAGGGGTATGATTACCTTACGACGTTACACTTGATAGAGTGTAACGTCTGATGTGCGGTGAGTTCTTGCTTTCGGGGGAACGAGGCGTTACACTACAACGAATTTACAAAAAGAAATATTTGCGTAATATAAAGATTCACTTAATTAACTAGAGTAACCCATCCAGCTATTTGTTGGAATGAAATTCAAACATTCTTCAGGGTGAATCACCTTGCCAGAATTCATATCGAACAAGAGTAACCGATGGAGCTGTCTCTTGTCATGAAATACAAATATTCTTCTTCCGGGGTGAATCCCCTTGCCAGAATACATATCTCAAGAGAGTAACCCATCGAGCTGTTTCTTGGAATGAAATTCAAATATTCTTCTTCCGGGGTGAATCACCTTGCCAGAATACATATGTCACGAGAGTAGCCCATCGAGCTACCCCTTGTCATGAAATCTAAATATCCTTCTTCCGGGGTGAATCACCTTGCCAGAATACATATCCAACAAGAGTAACTGATGGAGCTCTTTCTTGGAATGAAATTCAAATATTCTTGTTCCTGGGTTAATCACTTTGCCAGAATACATATCTAACGAGAGTACGCGATGGAACGTTTTCTGGTGATGAAGTTCAAATATTCTTCTTCCGGGGTGAATCACCTTGCCAGAGTTCATACATATCTCATGAGAGTAACCCATCGAGCTATTTCTTGGAATGAAATTAGAATATTCTTCTTCTGGGGTGAATCACCTTACCAGAATACATATCTAATGAGAGTAACCGATGGAGCCGTTTCTTGTCATGAAATATAAATATTCTTCTTCCGGGGTGAATCACCTTGCCAGAATACATATCTCACGAGAATAACCCATCGAGCTATTTCTTGGTATGAAATTCAATATACTCTTCTTCCGGGTTGAATCACCTTGCCAGAATTCATATCTAACTAGAGTAGCCCATCGAGCTATTTCTTGGAATGAAATTCGAATATTCTTCTTCTGGGGTGAATCACCTTGCCAGAGTACATATCTAAATAGCGTAACCGATGGAGCTCTTTCTTGTCATGAAATATGTATTCTAGTAAGGTCATTCACACCGCAAGAAGAATTTTTGAATTTCTTTCCAAGAAGTGGCTCGATGGGTTATTCTGGCAAGGTGATTCACCCCGGAAGAAGAATATTTGAATTTCATTCCGAGAAATAGTTCGATGGGTTACTATCGTTAGATATGTATTCTAGTAAGGTGATTCACACCGCAAGAAGAATTTTTGAATTTCATTCCAAGAAATGACTCGATGGGTTACTCGTGTTAGATATGAATTCTGGCAAGGTGATTCACCCCGGAAGAAGACTACTTGAATTTCATTCCAAGAAATAGCTCGATTATATACTCTCTAGAGACATTTGTTCTGGCAAGGTGATTCACCCCGGATGAAGAATATTTCAATTTCATTCCAAGAAATAGCTCGATGGGTTACTCTCAAGAGACATTTGTTCTGGCAAGGTGATTCACCCCGGATGAAGAATATTTCAATTTCATGCCGAGATATAGCTCGATGGGTTACTCTCGATAGGTACGTATTCTAGTAAGGTGATTCACCCCGGAAGAAGAATATTTGAATTTCATTCCGAGAAATAGCTCGATGGGTTACTCTAGTTAGATATGTATTCTGGCAAGGTGATTCACCACGGAAGAAGAATTTTTGAATTTCATTCCAAGAAATAGCTCGATGGATTACTCTAGTTAGATTTGAATTCTGGCAAGGTGATTCCCACCGCAAGAAGAATTTTTGAATTTCATTCCAAGAAATGGCTCGATGGGTTACTCTCAAGAGACATTTGTTCTGGCAAGGTGATTCACCCCGGAAGAAGAATATTTGAATTTCATGCCGAGCTATAGCTCCATCGGTTACTCTGGTTAG